TAATCGACTTACTAAGTAAAGCCACTTCTTCCTATATAAAGAGTTATAGTTAGTAGAGCAACTTATCACTATAATCTATAGGTATATTATATTAGTTTGTAAATAGCCAAAGAAATAGATTATCAGTTAAGATACTAAGTTCGTATTGAAGTTCTAACAAGCGCTTATAAAATGTTTAGATTAAAAAACGGGCTTTTGATAGTATATTATTTATAAATAAATAGCTAGATAGAATAGCTTAACTAGATTATTAAATAATACCTTAAAGTATTTATTAATTTCTAGTAGGACAATTAGGTTAATCTATTACTAGTTGTGACGAAACCATAGGCAGTCCTGCGTCTAAAAGTGTTCGCCGGTCGAAGGTATCCGCTGGTCGGACTATAGGTCTCGGTGAAGCCAAAGGGTTCATAACACTGCAAGTCGCAATGTCTGTATAGTAGGTAAAGGCTACTGTTTGAATTGCTCACTGAGGCAACTAGCTATCTGAATGAGTGACAGAGTGGTAGAACTATATATAGCTTCCCCCCTAGGTATCCCCGTACCTAGATCTCTGGAATATTTAGAACAATTGTCGTTCTCGTTGTTCCATCTAGAACAACGTTCCTTAGCATTGTTCCCAATCTTCCCAATCCTCATTTGGTCCTTCCTGGCTCGTAATGATTGGACGCGGGCTCACCTGCTAACTATGCAGGTTAGTCCCCACCGGCATCTGCAGGTTAATTCATGACATATAAGGATGTAGTACAGTCCTTATTATAGTAATTAACTACTAGAGGCGTTGGGCTATATAGAGTATAAGCTCTTATGACATTGTATAAGGGAGATAGATAGCCTTGTGAATTATAACTAGCTAAAATGAGAGTAGTATGCTCTAAGCTATATACTTATATTAACGTGCATGATAAGCGAGCGGATCAGATAAGCGAGCGGATCATTTTCTACTATCTTACCACAACTATCCTTCACTGTAACATATCAACACTAGGAACCAACTATAATTACATCAGAAATAGATGAATTAGAACCTTCTACAACCTCCCGGCATATACGTACGTTATGGCCAGGCTTGCCGCACACACTACAGCCCCGAACCTTTGTACGAGCCCTCTCTGCACCACTACTATCCGGCTACGTTTCTTGTACCACCTCCCCAACCACGGCCTTCTAGTCCAGTAGATCCTTTGCATCTTGCACTGCAAGTGATCCTCCAAGCTGCACGCGTGTTTTTTTGGCTCTCCGGCGCTTACTAAGTGCCTCGTTGGCCTTGCGGAGCGGAGAGACCTCTGACCGAAGAAGAGCCACCTCGTGCATTATAGCCATCGTACCCTTGGCAAGCTGGTCCACCGCAGTCAATATCGAAGTTGGAGAGCTGTTTTGATGGTTGGCAATGCAAGTCTTGATAAGCGTTGACTGCGAGGTCGCTTCTCGAGGGTTGTGTAGTGTCTGGAAGACCCAAGGTTGTAGTATGCCGGCCCGCGAGTTCAATGGCGTTGGTGTACGAAGCTTTACATCCAGCTTGGATATCACCCTCTCTGGATCGTATGGCATAAGGCCAGCACCTAAAAAGCCACTATGGATATTCTTCTCTATTATAGAAGTAAAGAAGGCCTTGCGGAAGGTATAGAGGAACTCGAGCTTGCTGATATAGTTAATATATATCCGCATTAGATCCTCGACCTAGCGACCATACACCTGCTTCAACAGCCCAAAGCAGCTGATATCAAGTGGCTGTAGGAGGTACTAGGAATACAGAGGCATATAGAGCGTGATGATATTATTCTCCTAGCAGTAGAGTTCGAATTCGGTAGAGTAGTGGCTCTCATGGCCGTCGAGGATCAACAACCGGTTCTTGCCCTTTGTATAAGGTGCCATATAGAAGTCGAAGTGCTTGATCCAATCGAGGCCTACTATATTGGTAGTCTAGCCGTTCTCGGTAGTTGCAATATGCCAATCGCCCGAGAGGTTGTACTCCGTATACCAGTTGGCGAGGTGGTATTGCGCGGCTAAGATAATGAAGGGCGGGATAGCCCAGCCAAGAGCATTGACTCCCTGGATCACGGTTGCCCATTCGCGGTTACCAGGCTGGGCTAGTTTTGCCCTACCACGGCCATCCGAGGTCGTAACTACCATGCCTGGGCAGATCATTCCCATTATAAACGCGGTCTCGTCAAAGTTGTAGATATCGTCATCTACAATGCTGTACTTAGCCTCAGTGTTTCGTACGAGTATAAACTACTCCCCAATAATCCTTGGATCCTTGTACTTAGCCCTCTGGTAGTCGTATCGACGGGCATAACGCGTATGGAGCTCTGGTTGTTTTTTGACGAAGTTGTAAGCCCAGCATTTACCAACAGGGGGCGCGTTGCGTTCACGTAGTAGTTGGTTGGCCATATCTTCCATACCACACAATCTAGGTGGAAATACGCGTGTAGATAGCTCAGTTATATACTGAACTATTACCTCCTCTTCCAGATCTGTAAGCTTACGCGAGTTGGCTAGAGTATCACGTCGTGCAGGCCGGCTAGTATGCCAGCGATAGAGGGTAGTATAAGGTATAGAATAGATCTTTGCTGCAGCCCAGAAGCTTAGCTTAGGATCATTTTCAAAAGCTTCAAGTGCAAGAACCACTTTAGCCTCGGCCGGAATTGCAGACATAATAGTATGGTAGAGGAAATTGATGTTGTAGGTAGAGACATGCGTTGCAGAGAAAATTGATCCGCTCGCTTATCTGATTGTCACGAATTAACCAACGGCGGGCTGCAGGGCAGACGGCCGTATGTGGGGACGCGGGGGCGTCCCGAGCCAATCACTTGGACAATCAGGCGGACCAGTCAGAGACAAGCAAAGGTGCTAAGGTGCCAATGGCGCTGAGCACTCTGTAGGACATAAATGATCAGAGTGATCAGGGGCATATCACGATAAGCACCCAGGTGCTCATCCCAATCGAAGCACTAAGCACCCAAGAAGATAGCTAGTATATAGTCACTCGTTCTGGAGGACTCTGGGAGTTCTCCAGTGAGCAATACAAGCAATAGCCCATACCTATTGTGCAGACACTGCGACAAGTATTGTTATGAACCTTTTGGCTTTACCGAGACCTATAGTCCGACCAGCAGTTACCTTCGACCGGCGAACCCTTTCAGAGGCAGGACTGCCTATGGTTTCGTCACACTGATCCGCTCGCTTATCATGCACGTTATCTAGTATAAGAGTTTTATCTAGCCTAGCGATAGAGATAGTTGTCTTACCAACAAAGTATATAAGAGTCTAGCAAGCCTATTATAGATAGGTATAGTAGTCTAGGAGATATATATTTCATTAGTTAAGTTCTAATAGCAAAGCTAAAGCTAGGTATTATTTAAAGATTAATATAATATCTTAGTTTATCTTTTATTTAACAGTAAACATTTTCGAGTTATATTTAAAGTAATAGTTTAGTAAGTACATCTTACTATATACGCCTTTTTAGTATTATAAGTATAACGGAGAAGGAAGATAACTATCAAAGATCTAAGAAATGAAGATTTATTCCCTATATATGCTAATACTCTTCATTCTCAACTAGGTTTTTGATATGTGTATATATCATCTGCTTTATCACCTTCGTCTTGAGAATCACACATGACCCCGCGTCTCCTAACATTATTCATTACAAGGCTCTGTCTTCTTCTCGAAAGCACATGCCAAAACGTTGAGAGCTCCATGACCATAGTGGCGCACAGGACAGAACCGCTTCCTCATACCTAACTAAGGCTTCTCAGCTAAAATGAACCCCGTGGGGCGTTTTGTTAGCACTGCGAATACAGGCGAGCTGGCTCGTGTGCTAGGATGTCAGGAAGCTTGAAGTGCACTCGTCGCCGAATACTGGCTTCAGCCCGGCGATGAAGCTAGTCATTGCCGCCAGCCAGTTCTCATAGGATGGTACTTGCTATTTCGTATACCGCTTGAGGAATTGTCGCCACATATTGTGAGACTTCGTTGGGGATAGCATGCCACCCGACACCAAGATAGCTTGGCCGGTCTGACTGAATCGTAGACGTTTTGCAAAGTATGGCAGTTTATCGTGCCCTATGATGGCTGGGGCGCTGCAAGGATGGACAAGTTGTTCACACTGGGGGTAACCGTGGGCCGTATATTCCTGGACATCGTCCTCATTGAGATGTTCATAGTCTGCTTTGCAAGCGGGGGCCCGAAATGCTGCCAGGGTTGATATGAGGCCGTATGTACAAAGAGTACGGGGTCTCCCTTGATCTTGCTCGCGCTGCGACGCCACTGGAATCAGGCCTGTGACCTCAAAAGCCTAAGGCGTGCCTCGATCTTCCAACGTTTTCAGAAATACCTAGACCATCAGGCACAAGGAGGAGTTCTGGGTTGCACTCGAGTCATGGCCGATGGGGCCTCGAGTGCTGTCATCTGCTGCCGCCGCCGGCCCGAATACCTACTTAAGTAGTTATATAGAGTTATAGACGGCACTCAGGTTCGCACTGTAGCTCACAGTCTCGCTCATGTCTTTCAGCCCAGGCTGGTACGTCGTCAAACCCAGGGTAAGCACAATGCACCAGACTGTTTAGTGTGTGTTTGTCCCACGCGGTGTAGACAGCCTCGGCCGCGCATTATGGCGCAATACCGGGGATATAGTTGCCACCAGGCATGTATGTACAAGTTGGATTCAAATGGCTGCTCCTGACATGTCACGGCTCGTCGTAGTTTGGAGATCTGGAGGGCGCAATCCAAGTTGAGGGATGACCCTTTCCCCTGGGTAGGTATTTTACTTATGCAGGTCCCCACAAAATCCGAACGGGACTGCCAGCTCCGTAAGACGGCCTTGGTTCTAAGATGGCAAAAGACAATATTCACAACACGACGAGAAACGCATGCACAATTCGACAGATATGCATCTCAGACAGCGTAGTGTATGGTCCACGAATTAGTAGCGTGGAACGGTCATAACGGTGAAGGTCATTGTTTGCAGGCGCAAGCCCACAAAGGCATTGGGATTATCTTGAATTGCACCACCTCCGCAACGGATGACGCGATTTCCAATGTTTCAGAGATGCTCCGGAGGCACTTTCTTTACATTGTTTGACGGACTCAGGCCATTACAGGCCGCTGTCGCCATTTGCTCATGATATGTCCCCATCAGGTGTTTTGCTATCGTGCTCCTAGGCCGAAGTTCTCTAATATGCCTGTGTTTTCTATGGCCCCTCCACCATATTCCTCAGACCTCTACTCTTCCCAGAAGCACACAACCAGCCCGCCATTGAGCCGAACAGGGTACAGATATTGATTCGCCATATCATCGGACCCAGTTGCTGACCAGAACTCCTGGAGACCAGCTCAACTCGAGGGGGCCCCAGCAACGCGCCATTGAACCAGCAAACCATACCCCAACCATGATGATACCGACGGGTCCGGTGGTCGTAGCCGAGGCGCAAGACCAGTATCTGCAACAGCTGGATGCGAAGGACTTGAGCGTGGTCTCCTGCATCGAAGATTTGGCTGATGCACGGAAGGCGGCCTGGGAGAGATATCTCGTTGTCTCACCATACCAGGAGCAGGACCATCTTCTCGACCTCCAGAGCTTGGACGTCGAGAACCAACTGTTAGCGGTCTCCCTGACCACAATGAAGTGCTTGCGAGACGACTATGCCACCGCACCATATACTCAGACGTTCAACTGGGATGAGATTATGGCGACCCTCCGAACACTGGCCCGGGAAACCAACCATGCGTGGAAAAAGACATCCTTCTTTGTGGTCGCCTTCCGCTCCCGTATTCCTCCGACAACAGTATACGAGGAACTGGGCGCCTTAGACAAGGCGGCCCACGCCGAGGCCACAGCAAGCGGTGGCTTTCTGAAGTAAGTCCTGTCCCCCCAAGGCAGCGGCTGGAGCTACCTCCCTGACACTCGTCACAGATACTGGTTCGGGACTCCGGACGTCGAAGGCCGCAACTTGGCGACGTGCATTTGGAGATCGCAGGAAGATGCTAGGAAAGGAGGCACAGGTCCTGCTCACCGAAAGGCGGCAGGTGCTGCGCGGACCTTGTACTCGTACTGGAAAATCGACCGCCTCAAGCTGACCATCGAGGACAATGTCAGCAGTTGGGCTATCACTGACTGGGACGAGTGAGACTGAAGCGAGTGGTCGTCTTGATTAGAGGGGGGAGGCTTCTGGGTTTGTCCACAATAGACTTGCTCGCACCTGCAACGTTAAAGGGATAAGCGCGCCTAATATAATTTTTTACGAGGACGGCGTTCATTGCCGGTGCTGTGGGATCAGCGGAGCTATTCGAAGGCTACCACAGGGCCAGAGGATGTCGTTATCAGCACTTGACCGACGGGGGGTCGTCAATTTAAGCAATTCAGTCTTGGGTTCGAGACGAACCCTCGGCGTGGGGGGGACGTGGGATGATGTTGCTCAGTACCGAATCATCTTAGCGCTCTAAATCTCATGACAGGCCGAAATCCTCAGCCAGGGCGACCTGCACCGTACCATATATCTCCTTAGGGTCATAACAAGGGAGCACTTGTGTCGTGTTTAGGCTTGAAGAAACCGAGTGTGCGGGATGGGAGAAGAACGAACCCCCTCGAAGGCTCAAAGAGCGTGGGTATACGGATATGCACCCGTACAGTACAATACCTACCAAAATAAATACATACAAGTATGACGCTACCTTAGTGAGCTACTTGCGCCACACTAGCCACACTCTTGGCTTTTCTGCCGCACCTTTCCGCTCCAGACTTCTTTCAAGCCGAGTCTTGGGCTGCTTGCCCACAAATCAACGAGATTTGCGAAACCCTGAAAAGCTGCTAGCAACCTCAACAACGGAACACAGTTCAAAGGCCGGCGCATCCGCGGGTTACCAGCTTCCACAGTGATTGCGCATTCATCTTCCAGACACCATGATTGACGCCCAGAAAGATGCGCCGTTCAAATCGGCGCAGATCGAGTCGCTTGTATGTAGTAGCTAAAACCGAGGTCCAGTGCCCCGCCAACCCACTTGCGTCTTACTGACAGTCTGGAACAGGTGGTGATGAAGATCGTGAAGCACTGTTCCTCAAGCTTCCCGACTACCGCCACAGGGTCCCTTGTGGGAATGGACAACAATGGGCTACTCGAGATTACAAACGCCTTTCCTTTCCCGACGATCGATGTTTCAACCGCCGACAACCACCAGACCGATGCGTCGAGTCTCGCCGCGGCTGCTCCCCGTGCGAAGGCCAACATAGCATACCAGAACGAGATGATCAGGCATCTGAAAGAGGTGAACGTCGATGCCAACAACGTGGGCTGGTACACGAGTGCCACCATGGGCAACTTCATCAATCTCAGTTTCATCGAAAACCAATACCACTACCAGCGCGACAACGACAAGACAGTGGCGCTCGTTCACGATGTGAGCAGGAGCTCTCAAGGCACTCTGAGTCTGCGCGCCTTTAGGCTGTCTCCCGAGTTTATGGCGGCCTACAAAGAAGCGAAGTTCACTACTGAGAGGTCAGCACACCCTTGATCCACCCCTGTACTCTTCCCGATCTCGCACTGACCCGAACCTCACGTAGCCTTCAAAAGTCCAAGTTGACCTTCAGGGACATTCTCATCGAGGTCCCTGTCATTGTTCATAACTCCCATCTGCTCACGTCGTTTGTTCACCAAGTTCCCGCGCCGCCCGAGAAGCCCGAGATTCCGCTCCCAGCTTCTCTCGACGACATCCGGCGAGACCCTGTCAAGTTACCCGCGCATCCATCATTTGATGCGCTGGACGTCTCCATTGATCCTTTCCTGGAGAAGACTTGCGACCTGCTGCTCGACAGTATCGAGGCCCACTACACCGATCTCAACAACCACCAGTACTACCAGCGACAGCTTACGCGCGAGCAATTCAAGATCTCGCAGTGGCAGGCGAAGCGGAAGGCCGAGAATGCTGCTCGCCTAGCAGCCAAGCAACAGCCCCTGCCCGAGGACGAGTGGCAGAGGCTTTTTAAGTTGCCACAGGAGCCCAGCCGGCTCGAGGGTATGCTCAACGCTAGGCAAGTAGAGCAGTACAGCAAGCAGGTGGACGGGTTCACAGCGACTATTACCTCCAAGATGTTTGCGGTGAGGGGAAACCTGTTGCCTGAGTGATCCGGGTTCATAGGTTCTGCCATGAAGGACTTGAAGGATAGACGATGGCGGGTGGGGTATCTCGACTGCATTAGGTCTGGCGTTCCGGGTCGTGGGCTTGTCTATTCGCTTTTCATTAGTTCGGAGCTAGCCATGGCTGATTCTGTCTCGGGACTGTATGCGTCTCCATCTGCGATACGAAGCACGAACGGTGACTTTGACGCTCACATGGTTGATAAAAATCGCGAGAGTTTTGGGTGATATTCGGGCCCAGTATATTTCCCGGGCTCTGCAACAAAGCGGCAACGTTGGCCTGATATCAGTACCCGTCCGTTTCTCCGTAGAGGGCTCGGCCAGATGGAGGCTGGCTTGGAGATCCTCGGATTCGGAGTTTGACCCAGCCACAAGTGGTGCCACGGAGTGCCACGGAGTGCCGAAGCCTGGCCTGCTTAGATCCAGCGCACCTTTGTGGCAGCCCGGTGGGAGACGCCAAAGTGGAGAGCTATGTACTACCTGTACAGATCGTAGTGTAGTCTGACCATCGAGTTTTCATTTCCCTCGCTGTCTCGACCCCTTCCTGGTAGGTTGGGTACCTATTGGGCGGTACCTTACCTAGTATCTGTCTCGGCTTCCGAGAGGTGGATTACCCGAAGCTTAAGCTGCCCAATTAAAGATTCTTTTTGCACCTGCATTCTCATGTCCCACGAACTGCCGTGCTACACCGGCGAGGCCTGTTGCTTGGACCCACTTTTCCACCCCTCCTCACCTGCAGTGGCCGTTCCTGCCCCTCATCCCTCTTAAAAAGACGGTCAGCGTGAACCCCGCCCATCTTACAATTTCCCATCCATCCCTCTTCTTCCCCCCTCACCCGCTTCTTCTCTCTGACCATACTTGTCCCATACACTCCTCTCCCCTACCGTCAGAATGTCTGCTCCCGCCCACAAGTTCAAGGTCGCCGACCTGTCCCTTGCTGCCTTCGGGCGCAAGGAGATTGAGCTGGCCGAGAACGAGATGCCTGGCCTCATGGCGACCCGCAAGAAGTATGCTGCGGATCAACCGCTCAAGGGCGCCCGTATTGCTGGCTGCCTGCACATGACGATCCAGACGGCTGTCTTGATTGAGACCCTCGTTGCCCTGGGCGCCGAGGTTACATGGTCATCGTGCAACATTTTCAGCACGCAGGACCACGCCGCTGCTGCCATCGCCGCGGCCGGCATCCCGGTCTTCGCCTGGAAGGGCGAGACGGAGGAGGAGTACAACTGGTGCTTGGAGCAGCAGCTTGTCGCCTTCAAGGATGGCAAGAAGCTCAACCTGATCCTGGACGACGGTGGTGACTTGACGCACCTGGTGCACACCAAGTACCCGGAGATGCTCCAGGACTGCTACGGCGTGTCTGAGGAGACCACGACAGGCGTCCACCACCTTTACCGGATGCTCAAGAACGGTCAATTGCTGGTGCCCGCTATCAATGTCAACGATTCGGTCACCAAGTCTAAGTTCGACAACCTGTACGGCTGCCGCGAGTCGCTGATTGACGGCATCAAGCGTGCTACCGACGTTATGATTGCCGGCAAGATTGCCGTCGTTGCCGGCTTCGGTGATGTCGGCAAGGGTTGCGCCATGGCCCTACACGGTATGGGCGCCCGTGTCCTCGTCACCGAGGTCGACCCCATCAACGCCCTCCAGGCCGCCATGGCGGGCTACGAGGTGACCACCATGGAGAAGGCCAGCAAGGTCGGTCAGATCTTCGTCACCACCACCGGCTGCCGTGACATCCTGGTGGGCAAGCACTTCGAGGCGATGCCCAATGACGCGATTGTCTGCAGTATGTCATCCGACCCCTTTCCTCCGGCTTTGTGTGCATACTAACTCGACTCTCCAGACATCGGCCATTTCGACGTCGAGATTGATGTCGCTTGGCTCAAGGCCAACGCCCAGTCTGTGCAGAACATCAAGCCCCAGGTTGACCGCTTCCTGATGAAGAACGGCCGCCACATCATCCTCCTGGCTGAGGGCCGCCTCGTCAACCTGGGCTGTGCCACTGGTCACAGTTCCTTCGTTATGTCGTGCAGCTTCACCAACCAAGTGCTCGCTCAGATCATGCTCTACAAGAACAACGACGAGGCGTTCGCTAAGAAGTATGTTGAGTTTGCCAAGAGCGGCAAGCTCGAGAAGAAAGTCTACGTGTTGCCAAAGATCCTCGACGAGGAGGTCGCTCGCCTTCACCTGGCTCATGTCAACGCTGAGCTCACAACGCTCACCCCCGTCCAGGCCGAGTATCTTGGCCTCGAGGTCGAGGGTCCTTTCAAGAGCGACCAGTATGTTCCTGCCCTGCCATCGCCCTGTTCTCGCCCGGCTGTTGCTGACGATCTATAGTTACCGCTACTAATCCTGTGTATTCTGTGTGCTTGGCCTTGCCGTGATTCACCACCGGCGAAGGAAGCTTTTCATGATAGATCTCCACGAGGACTTGGATCTCGGGCAGATCTTGGTAGCATGATTGGTGTCGTTTTTTAGAGCATTTCTCTTCGTTATCTTTTTCAACAACTCTTGCATGGCACATCGGGTTTAGGCTGGGTATAAAAGGCAAAGGGGATCTGGTACACATTTTCAACAAAAGTACGGCGTTGGCTTGGCTCATGATATCCCACCTACACCCACTGGAAGGCGTTTAACAGAGAGCTTGTCATGGCAGTGCGCCGGGGCGCTTCTTAGACACAGGCAAGCAGGAGAGTTGAGTAGTCCCGTCAACCGGGGCCTTGCAGAAATACAACCATGATGGATCTGGGCATTGGTGTCTCTACTGCTGTGCAATAACGCATACCGGACCGCAGCTCCAGCTCCAAGCAAGGGGCTAGGATTGCAACACATGCCCATGCTGTTTTCCGCATGGACAGGGCGCAGTTTGATGGCGCATCGCGACGACGGTGGGCAGGTCCTGTCCGTCATGCCAACTGGGGTTGAGATTGCCCTATAAGCTTTGGGAATCACGACATTCGAAGCTGTTGGGCCACCCCGCCTGTAAGATGCTTTATCTCCCGTCAATCACTGACCGGTGTCCTGTCCATCCAACCCCTCGGAGCAACTCAAGGCCAATCAGGCCTGCTGGGTGGCAACCCAGTGAACGAAACCCGGAGTTGTAGTTCTGCGAACCCATGCACCGGCGATGTGGGGGTGCCGTTTTTGTGTAGTAGTGTTCCAACTCTCCGTAGAGGACGGCCGCGTCTCCAGCTTCTGCTGCAGTTTGCGGTTACCTTACCCTTGCGAGATAGCTTAAAGTAGCTACCCTCCTGCCGTAGTTTCCAGTACCGACTTATCACTGCCAGCCTTCTCTCCAATCACCGTCCCGCCCAGCACAAGATATACTGCTGCCCTGATGCACCGAGGCTCCCTCTCCCCGCCATCACTTCCACTGTCACGCCTTCCATGATCGTGTGCAAGTGACGAAAAAAAGAAAAGAAAAAAACCAAGCTGTTGGTTTCCATCCAAAACCAAACATCACACACCCCTTGGGCCGACCTAATCTGGGAACCAGACCATAAGCTCAACCACGAATTGAAGCCTCCGAAGCCTTCGCCATGTCTCCCAACGGCGGAAACCGGGCCAAAGTGCTCCTGTTGGGTGTTATCGAGCAGTAAGTCAACCTTCCCCCCTGAAGCTGTGGGGATAGAGAAGCGTACACGGCGGGAAGAAGCATGCACTGGACGGGTGAAAGAACGTGTGGGCGTGGTGGGGAAGAAGAAACAGGACGGGGGAAAGAAAGGAAGTGCCATACCTGAACGCTAACTGTTGAACCAGCGCCCATTCAGCCTGGGACTCGGTCAGCGAGATTGCGGATGTTGTGATGCCCAGGGCAACTAACCGGGCCGACTTCATCGAGGAGGCGAAGTCAGGCGCATTCGAAGGCTGCATGGCGGCTTACCGCACGTTTGACAGCTTCGAAATCACGGGGAAGATCGACGCCGAACTCCTCGAGGTACTGCCTCGCTCACTCCAGTTCATCTGCCACAACGGCGCCGGATATGACCAAGTGGACGTTCAGGCTTGCACTGCGCGGGATATCCGCGTGTCCAACACGCCCACGGCCGTTGACGATTCCACGGCGGACACTGGCATGTTCCTCCTCCTGGGCGCTCTGCGGAACCTGGCCGTCGGCATGGCCGCGCTTCGGGCTGGAAAGTGGCGTGGCGTGCCGCCCCCAGCTCTCGGACACGATCCCGAGGGCAGGGTGCTCGGCATCCTGGGGATGGGCGGCATCGGACGCAATATGGCGAAGAAGGCGCTGGCGTTTGGCATGAAAATCCGCTACCACAACCGCACGCGGCTGGACCCAAGCGTGGAGAAGGAGGTGAAAGCGGAATACGTCAGCTTCGATGAGTTGCTGGCGGAAAGCGACGTCTTGAGCTTGAACCTACCCCTGAATGTGAGTCACCCGGGGTTCGTCCGGTCCTGAACTTCGCATGTCTCTCTCAGTAACGCTTCGCTAACGGCGCCCGCTCCCCCAAAGAAAAACACCCGGCACCTCATCTCCAAGCAGGAGTTCGCCAAGATGAAGCGGGGCATCGTAATCGTCAACACGGCGAGAGGCGCCGTCATTGACGAAGCAGCCCTCGTCGAGGCGCTTAATTCCGGCCAGGTCAGCTCGGCAGGCCTCGATGTTTACGAGCAGGAACCCAACGTTCACCCGGGCTTGCTCGCGAATCCGCGGGTTCTCCTTGTGCCACACATGGGCACCTGGACAGTCGAGACGGAGACCAAGATGGAAGAGTGGTGCGTGTATACTCTGAGCTATTTCCACCCACCCGCCCTGTGCATCGCCGAACAAAAGTATGGCCGAATGAATATCTCTAACAACACTGCCACACACAGGGCTATCAGCAACGTCCGTATGGCCATCCGGCAGGGCCGGCTGCGCAGCATTGTTCCGGAGCAACGGGATATGTGACAAGACAGGCACAAGGAGACAAGGGCGAGTCGAGGAAGGAGCCGCAGACGATGCAACCACGCGTGAACGGCGAAAGGTGAACGGTGTACGGGGGTCCGTCCTACTTGGTCTGTTTTTAGCCGGCACCCCTCAGCTGGTCCCCTTACCCCTTTTCTCCGCGGGGGCCGAATACAGGGGAACGGGGACAAACAGTCTATCCCAGGCTGCTTTTATGGCAGGCGAATTGACATCGTTGAACATCTGAGCAACAGGTGCCAGGAGCGCGGTATCCCAGTGTAGCCAATTCAACCATCCACAGCAAAAGGGCCTTGAAGTTGACGTACGTGTAAGAAGCCTAATCTCGCTCCTCGACCTAAAAACCGGGCGAAGGATTTGGAGCAACACAGTCACATGTGGCGCTGGACGGAATAGTTTGTCGGCCTCGACCAAGTAGAAGCCGTGGATGCCGGGTGAGGCCACCACCCAGGAGATTATTGACTTGGCTGCGCTGTGTTGACGCGGAACCTACCTGGCGATAGTGATCCAACCGCAGCTGCACATCAATGCACCGTTCTGGTACGGCAGAAGAGATCCGGTCAAATGATGCGGATATATTTTTTGTTCCCCTTGATGACCAACACCCCTGACGCCTCGACAGCCACGATACAGCTCCTTCTATGGTACTAGTGTACAAGCGACTCCAGTGAAACTGTGCCGGCACCTGGAAACGCGGAGATGCCAGCCAGCAAGTACAAATACGCGGTAAAGTACGGTGGCAGCGACGAATGCGTAACCCAGGCGCCCCCGTGCCCTCACCCGGTTTATATAGTGGTAGATGAATCAGCGAGGTTTTACCTCCCAATGTCGAAAGAAACCATCCTCGGCATAGAGCGCAATACAACCGCAGAGTCGCTAGCTCCTCGCTCTGGCCCTATTCACGTTGACACCGGGCCGGACGAATGCACGATACGCAAGTTCGGCAAAGCGCCGGACCACGTTCGTAGTGCCGCCTGCCCTGGTTGACTCGTCCCGAATGAACCTGGTCGCTACAGCGAGCTTGCTACGCAGGTCAGACTCCTCGAGATGTGAGGGCACTGATTGCTCGTTGGAGCCCGCGTCCCAGTACGCCGTGTATTCCCTGAGCACTGCGATACTGTAGAGCACATCCCGGTTCTCCCTGCCGTCCAAGAGCGATCTCATCACGCCTAGGCAACGCTCTCTGGCCGAAGCGTCTGCGGGGGAAGGGGACGCGTGATCCTGAAGGAGATATTCGGCGAGCTGGTACCAGAATTCAAGCTCATTTCTGCGCAATGGATGGATGTTTCCGGCAGGTGGCGGCGAAAGCGGGTTGCCTGCAAGGGTTTCGCCCGTTATGAGAGCCTCAAAAACCTGGACACGCTCGCGCGCTTCCCGGGCGTCGTCTTCAGCGGGAACCGATTCCGCGTATCGCTGGGGTTGGACAACATTGGCCAAGAGGGGCAGCCGCGCGAGAGACCAGATGACCGATGTCTCAAGCTGGCCAGAAGGTACCATGTCCGCAGGATCGGTGCTTTTGATCTTGGATATTGTGCGGACAAAGGAAGCGAAGAGCGAAGTGAGGGATTGATTGTTGCGGAGCACGGCTGTCGGATCTGCCGCCGTCGCCCGGTTCTGTTCGAAGTCATACCACCGTGTTTCAAAGAAGAGAGTGAGACCTGGGACATAGATTTCGCGGTAGAGCTTCGTAATCTCATCGAGCATCTCGGCGGAGGGCGGCGAGCTCGGCGACTCAAGGGCTGCGCCGCCCAGAGCTATGAGCTCATCGACCTTCATCCTCTTTGCTGGAGATATCGTATGAGTGGACATGGTCTCCCGGATCTGAGGTTGGGACATTGCAGACGGGGTGGAAGGAGATAAGGGGGTGCCACCTCGCAAATGGTTCGGGCCGAGAGCGCCCTGGCCCGCCCCTCCGACAACGTTGATCTGCTGGTATCGAGGTGCCCGTGGACCCGCGGCGCCTGCCGTGTCAGCGCTTTGCAACGCTGGGTCGATGGCGGTCACGTAATCGTAACCAGGCTCGGGTTTCACGCTTTGCTGGGCGGCCGACGGGGTAGGGCTCGACGCGATATTCGACGGGAAGGCAGGCGGATAGGACGCTTGATAGGGGTGAACGGTCGAAGGAGGCGCGCTGGACGGGGGTAAGACTGTGGGGGGCGCGGCTGTGGGCGGGTTGTTCGGGGCGGGTTGAATGGCTGCCGGACCCTGCTGCTGCTTAAAGATGGGGTCGTAACCAAGACATTCACGCTTCGACTTCTTGCAGTTGTTACAAGTTGGGTGCGCCTCGTCGCACTAGATCAAACGTTGCATGTTAGAACAAGGCAAAATAGAACGAAGCAATGCATGAGAACCAATAAAAAAGCGACTCTCAGCAAGGCTCGAATTGAGAGCGCGCTGCGGTGCGTGGATGGTGGGTTTCGCTGATGGCAAAAAGTGGAGTTTTGCTGACTGGCTCGCTTGGGCGTGGTTTGGCTCTCCAGACCGAAAGGAAAGCATGGGGTTAAGATCCGGTAGGTACGGGAACGATCACAAGCGAGAGCCTGAAATAGCCCCTACCAGAGGTCGCAGCTTTGCTCTCTAACCACATTCCATTCGCCTAAAATGTGGTTCTGATCTGGATGCGGCGGTCTGAACCTCAAATAATACTCGCAAAGATGTGCGGCCTGGGAGTCGCTCCGAAGACATGGGATACGGCAGCATAAGAATGAAAGAGCGCCACGTACCTTTATCCTGCGCTTACGGCAGGTTAGACAGCCCGTTTTTGTACGCCGCTTGATCTCCTGCCGACCACAAACGAAGGAGCATTGTCAGCCACTCGACTATTTTATCAGCATCCCGTTGTTCAGCATCGTTACCTTCTTGTGTCTACCCCCGCTTAAGGAAATGCGTGGATCGTGGGATAAACTGGGGGGAATGGCAAAACGCATCGCGTTGGGATCTCCAATACCGTACACTGGGTGGGGATGAACGCCGTAGTATCCCATGTGAGCGGGAGCGGGAGCCGGCGTCATTGGGGCACCCATGTGTGCACCCAGAGGGAGTGCGTGCTGCGGTTGCCCTTGAGACTGCCGGTGATCGAGCGTCCGCATGCTGGGGAGAGTGGTCGGGTTCGGCCGGTAGGGATCCGCGGAATGGATTGACTGTGGTGAATATACATATTGCGAGCCTGGTGGCATGCCGGCGGGCGGGTAAGCTGCCGGGCTTGAGTATGCTACCGGCTGCCGAGCGGCTCCGGGCGGCGGTTGCGCGTTGGACATCCCTAGACGGTCTGGCACTGGCGCGCCGCGGTGCTGCGTCTCGGTCCGGACGTCGTGGACGCTTGTTGCTGGGTCCGCGGGGAGTGCAACCGACGCGCGACTGTTGGAGCTGCCGTTGACCGTCGAGGCGGCATCCGCTCTGGTCTTCCCGTCGATAGCAAGAGGGCTTCGTCCGCCCCTATCGTTGGTCGAATGCGTGTCCACACTCCCGACGGCCGGCGCGTCACTGGCTTGTGGTGTTTCGGCTGACGGTGAGTTTACTCGAAACTCTGCTTGCTGTTGCTGTGGTGGGTGATATAGGTGCTGATATTGATGCTTCTGCTCGACGGGCGCGTCAGGGTTTGGCTGCACACGCGGCTGAACGGGAGCCGAGTCGAGAGACGACTGCGGTCGCAACGGGGCTGCTTCGGGGGGTTGAGCCATGATTGGGAATTTAATTAGATTTTTTTATGGAGCCACGACTCGATGTCCCTAAAAAAAGGGCGACAAGGGGAGAGGCGCGACCCGGGGCCGGCTTTCCTGCGTGGAGCGTCGACTGACCTGCGTGTTGGTGTGGCTGCTGCGTCCTCAAATTCAACGATGTGCATGCAGTGTGCTGCGTGCACAACGCCCAGAGAGGTAAGGTACGTATATACACCTATGTAGGTACGTACCAAACGTCGATTGGCGAGTCGCGACCTGCGGTGTCCTTCCCGGAAAGCTAACGCCCTCGGCCGCCCCCACTCACCCTCGCTAACCTGAGGCTGGTGTTGGACAGGGGCTATGTAGAGGGAGGCCCATGGACCACGCATTCAAGATCTCCGGCCTCCCTGAAATTCTCAGTTCTGATTCTGGCTCTCCGAGGCATGTGCACGGTCTGGTAATCCATACAGAACAAGTCCATTTTGTGCAACCAAAGCTTATCCTAACCATCCCGCTTTCCCTCATATCTCACAACGCGCTCGTTCAGGTACATACATTACGCCGCCGTGGTTGACCGGGTCCAACAGCGTGATTGATTGGACTCCCGTGCCAGGGTCGCCGGCCGCGGAAAATGAAGTGGGCCTAGATCTTCGAAGGGGGGCGGCATGAATCAATGCTCGGCATGGAAGGGGGCGAGAAAGAGGTTGCCGTAGTGTACATACGCTCAAGAGAACTGACAGGGCCGTCACAAGGAGGCCCAAGGCGTCAGAGACAACTAAGGTTGTCGTGCAGCTCGTGCTATTTAGACGGCCAGTCTACTCGCGCTACCTGAGAAGATCGGCTATCTGTTTTGTTTGCACTTCTCGAGCCGACACGGGTGGAAGCGAGCGAGGGATAAGTGGTATTGAGAGCGGGTCTCGAGCGGATCGTTGGAGGCGCCAGCCGAGGATAGCTGTGTGCGATCCGTGCGTCTCTCCCTCTGAGCCAACTTAGCAAAGTGCAAGTAGCCGTTCATGTGCTGCTGTGAAGTTGTCGTTGCGCTTAGTCCGACTGTACTGCGAGCGAATACATTGGTTCGATTTTATGCTGCTAGTGACATCTACAAGCATCGCCTGTAGTTACTCTATTAGGAGCCTGTCTTGCTGGATGCAGCGATCTTCGGGCAGACTGTATCCGCACAGTACGGTTACAAGTCTTCCCAGCAACATTGGCTAAAAGTCCCACCCAGGCGCGGTTTCGAGACTGTGCGTCTGATGTTATTCCCATTCGGTTCCAATATGAGCATTGCATTACCCGTTGACACAAGCAAGAAGTATCTGCTACAACAAGACATGCATGGTGAAGTCCTACTGATAGCCGGAAGAAAGAGAGGCGGGTATTGCTGCTGCATTCCAGGAAGGTTTGAAGCCGCTTCGAAGGCTCGGGAGATGGTATACACAATACGGTTCGTCCGTACACTGCTCCCTATCAACACCGCTCACTCGAAGAGCGACTAAGAGGGTTCTCGTCCAACTCTACTCTTCCATTTCTTTAGGGTGGGATTATCATTCCTCATCCTCTCGAGACACTGTGTAACACCCAACTTGGCTACGGCGACGACAATGCACCGCACAGCATCGGTCGACCGAATAAAACCCTCTGTCCACGCTTTGTCGCCGGTCGATCGAAAGCCTCTCCGTTAAGCCAACACTTGGCCCGTCAGAGAGGAGGTACTTGCCTGAATCACGCTCGGTAAAGCGGCCGGTCCACCTACAGAGCCTGCTTGCCGAAGGGAGGGAAAGGGGCAGATTGCCTCATCGCCTGTTCTCATCCCCCTTACAGCCTGCCGTTCCAGAGCGGCCTTCAAGTTTGTATTAGGCACGCTAACTTGACGCGGCTTCCGCTCGATGCATACGAGATTAACCGCCAGGCGGCAGCTCCAGCAAGCCGCTTGGATGGAGGGTTGGGCTTGCGAGGACGGGCGGCATGGCTCGCTTGTCAACTGCCGCGCGGACCTAAGTAAGGTAGCTGACGTCCCGGATTAGACGACCGCAAGCGCCGGCCTTCTGAACGGGGTACACCCCTCAGCACCTTCACCGGTCCACCGTTAGCCGCGCTGCCCCGATGAGAGACTACCTAGGGTTTAGAACGCTCCGAGACGAGACCTGCGAGGCGGCAAGGGTACTTTCCACTCGCGGCCACCCTCCGTTTATTCCAGATGAAGTAGGTTGGCTTGCAGCATCGCTTATGCCCGGCGAGCAAGAGCCAATCCAGCACGTTCCCCCCGTTTGCACGCTGAGGCTGCCTGGGTCGCGTGTCTTGACCTTAGCCCTTCCGACCCCTATGGCTCAGGTGGCAATTCGGGGCCGACCGCCAGTGTATCCTCGCTTCCCAGTCGGTATGGCCACGACCTGCTGCTTTGTCCCGGCTGCCGCACACGGGCCCGGAGACTCAAGCGCTGTTAGACTGGTCTGAGGGCGCCGATGACGCAGGGCCGTGTATGCGCCTATTCATTCCCACTTCACGTGCAACGAGGTCGGCCGTCGATCGGCGCCGGTTTTGGGGCCCGCTGTGGTCGCCGCAACCCAACCTACATGGCTGCGCCGCGGTTTTGCAGGGGGTCTCCCAGCCGGATGGCCGTACCTGTTGGTATCAGGCAATGATCTGGCAAGTGAAGCCGACGGGACTCGTGGAGGGCGCGGAGCCCTCAGGTCTTTTGGATTCTGGTATACACGATACAGGCACCAATGGCTTGAGAGCCACCGTCAACGCTGTCTCTCGCACGACCACGCCCTCCCGCCGTTCAGCACTTCGTTTCCGGGAGCATGGGAAGCGTTGGACGGATTGCTACGCAGAAAAACAGTTAATTCTCCTGCTGTAGCAGCCGGGCGACAGGGTTCTCGGACAAATTGCTGGGTTTTGGCTGATTTCCATCTGGCAGTTTAGGCTCTAATCGGTGCTGTGGTCTTGCACTTTCTCCCTGCCTGGACATGTGCTGGATACCGGGTGGTGAAGTTTGCCAAGGCGCTCGTCGACGTCCGATTTCAGTCTTGTGCATATGCGACGGGATTTGAACAACGGAACTTGAAGGGTTGATCTGTGACGCTGAGCCGACGATGCAACACGCATTTCGCTCCTGGAACCTACATACCTCGTAGATACACTCGTACATTACCATACACTGCCCGCAACGCAGCAATGCACATGCGGGGCGCGTATACCGGGAGGCATCCGGAAGGCACAATGTCAGCTTTCAACAAGTTCAAGTCTCGATCGTTGGTAAGTCTGCAGGGAATCCCTGGGTGGGACCGTATTCGATCCGTCCGGGTCTGCGGGCCGGTAACCAGCACCACGCAACGGCATGCGTGAGCGGTTCAAGTTGTTCTCAGCATCCGTTGCCGCGACGCATCCGACATGGCACCTCTTGGACCTGTAGAACATCTCGACTGCTCAAGGCCTGAGCATAGATCGGCCGTCTCGAGGCATCCTCTGCGGACGCAGCAAACACAGCGTGCCGCTGAATAGAATCAACATCTCCGCCGCCGGCGTCCCGGGCAGCTGTGATTGGGCCGACATTCACTGTGATAGCTGCATTTTCCTCAGGAGGCGAAGTCCATTGGGTAGGCTACAGGTTTTGCCGTAAAGCCCTCGGTCTCAAACTTTCCCCATCCTCGCGAGTGTTAGACTTAGAAGCCAGCTGTCTCAAAACGCAAGTGCAGTTAACTAGCAAATCCCAGGCATTGTTTAAGGTTGGCTACTGGTATGACACGGATCTTGCCGCTTACGATGGCAGGCGTGTAAGCATGGACCAATCACGTACAAAGAAGGTCTTCGATGGACCTCGGATGACGCCACGGTATCGATCCAGAGCAGCGACGTTCTCTTCAGCCTTCTCTGCCGTACCCGACCTGACCTATCCACGACAAGGCCGGTGGTGTTACGTATACGGCAACGACGAAGTCAAAAGCTGCCCGCGCCTCCCAGACCCGTCGAATCTTTTTTATATACAGCCCCGACATCCGACACGCTGGCGGGTATTCTGTGGACGCACTCAGCGGCTCGGTCAACAGACGCCGCGACCCCAGCAAAGGCTGCAGAGCTCCCAGGCCCTGACGTGATGAGCCAGCCTCCTGCGCCGTCACCGCTCAATCCGCAGCTTTGCTTCTCGATAGCGACTTTGCGAGGCATGGACAGCCCCTCGGTGCCCCAATTGCTCCTGCGGTCAAAGCATTGCTGACCATATGGCAGATTTTCTGCGCCTGTCGCGCAGCTCGATCGACGACACTATAACCCAGAACCTAAATGCTTTAGAGGCTCCCGCCAGGGCAGGATTCGACCCGACATCGACGTCGCGTCTCGGCCCACGGCCCCTGTCCCATCAGATCGATGCGGCAACCTGCAAAACTTTCCAGGATAAAGTGCTTTTCCCGTCGTGGCAGGTCCGCTCCGATGTTCTCAGTTACTGCTCGTTAGTCGCCACGAGCCCGGACCCTGACGACCCCGAAAGAGCCTTGAGGGAGGCGGAAACAGAGAAAAACCGGGAGCGGGTTGTCGATGAGAGACTAGACCCATACTCAGCACGCTTCTTCCCGCGGGAAGCTCGAACAGAGCAGTTGGCCTTTGTTCTCCGACAGGAGATGGGCATAGAAAACATAGTCCGGTCTAGAACCTGGGACATAGTTCGCCGAAGATGCGGCCAGTCGACCCATGAGACGTGGGAACAGGCGTTGGCGGATTGGCGGAGATCTAGAGAAGCATCTGACGCAAATCGATGAAGCCGGCGTGTGCCGGCGTAGCGATATGAAAGTCGGAGATTCATTTGTCTTGTATGTATAGTATGTACTAGTACTACGAGTACATGCATAGGTATATGTGCCCCCAGGGCTATTGTAAAACTACGAACGTGAGCCCGCAAATAACAGTACTACATTTTATGCCAAGTTTCAATCTCATCCGAGCTGGGAAAGATAGCGAGCTAGTCAATTATCTCTAAAATCCTCACATTAGCCTCGAGCAAAACGACCGGAGCACGCGGAGCTAAGTATGCACGGGTATGGTATGCGGCGGATCCCCACTCCCGTTCGAGCGGTCCGAGCCCGGCATGGTGGGGCCCAGGTAAGGTCAACAACTCTTGGACCCGCCAAGACTCAAATCCAATCCACCGCCGCCACCATCCCGACTGGAAGTCCAAGAACCAGCATCGAACCGGGGAGCTCATCGCGTACATCCACGGTCGTCGCGTGATACGCTCCGCTTGCTAAAAGAGGAGAGCCGCTGAAGCCATCCTCCTCCACTCTCCCTCCATCGAAGGACGTTTCGGAGCTTGGCCCACCTTCCGACGAGAGCCCTTTCACCCCTCTATCGTCCCACATCTGCTTCGGCACCAGCTCGGAGTACAGAAGCGTCTCCACAAACTAGAGTAAACCGATACCCATCCCCTCAATCTCGACCGAGCCGACTGCCTGACTCTCCTTTGACCTCTCGAAGGCGCCCTATTTCTGTATCAACTTGGGCCGGTCCCGCACGCAAGCCCCGCCATTCGTACCTGATGCCGCAACCACTCAGTACGAGAGAGGCCAACCTCTTTCGTACCGTCATCCGTCACTATGAGGATAAGCAGTACAAGCGCGGTCTGAAAGCCGCCGAGCAGATCCTAAAGAGGAACCCCAGGCATGGAGACACAATGTCCATGAAGGCCCTGATTCTCAATGCCCAGGGCAAGACCGAGGAGGCGTTCGCCCTTGCGAAGGAGGCACTGACGATCGATATGAAGTCGTACATTTGCTGGCATGTCTACGGCATCCTCTACCGCACCAATAAGAACTTTGACGAGGCCATCAAGGCCTACAGGTTCGCCCTCAAGCTGGAGCCCGATTCGCACCAAATCCAGCGTGACCTGGCCGTCCTTCAAGTTCAGATGCGCGACTACCAGGGCTACATCCAGAGCAGGTTCGTCATGCTCAAGGCGAGACCACAGCTGCGTCAGAATTGGACCGGGCTTGCCATTGCCTACCACCTCGACGGCAATCTCGAGCAAGCCGAGAACATCCTCACCACCTATGAGAGTTCTGTCACCACCAAGCCCCTGAAAAGCGATCTTGAGAACTCCGAGGCGCTTCTGTATAAGAATTCAATCATCGCCGAGAGGGGGGATATTCAGCGGGCGTTGGAACATTTGGAGGCAGACTGCAAGCATTGCCTAGACCGGCTGGCTGTTATGGAGCTCCGGGCCCATTATCTCGCACAACTTGGTCGGAAAGATGAGGCGGCAAAGGCGTATCGCGCGTTACTGGATAGGAACTCTGAGCATCCAGACTATTACAAAGGCTTGATCGAAGCCTTGGACATCCCGGCAGATGACGAGACCTCCCTGAAGGCTGTTTATGATGAGTATTCCGCTAAGAACCCTCGCTGCGATGCCGCGCGGCGTCTTGCGCTGGACTTCTTATCCGGTAGGTGCAAATTAGTTATGATGTCGAAACTCGCTCGCTGCTGACGAGGTTCTAGGCGACCGCTTCCGCACCGCCGCGAAAGCGTACTTGACTCTGATGTTTGACAAGGGAGTTCCCTCTACGTTTGCCAACTTGAAGCACTTGTACTCGGACGCGTTCAAGAAGGATACCTTGCCTGTCCTCGCCGAGGAGTATCTGGGAGAGCACAGCGGTGGCTCGACTGCTGAGGGCCAGGCAAATGGCGACAGCTCTAAGGGTGAAGGAGCCGCTCTTTACTTCTTGGCACAGCATTATAACTACTACATGTCGCGCGACCTCTCCAGGGCCATGGAATTCGTCGACAAAGCCATCGAGCTGGATCCCCAGAATGTCGATTTCCACATGACCAAGGCTAGGATATTGAAGCACCAAGGCGAGATTGCGAAGGCTGCGGAAGCAATGGACCATGCTCGCTCGCTCGACACAAGAGATCGCTACATCAACTCCAAGGCTGCGAAATACCAGCTGCGCAACAATGAGAACGAGAAGGCTCTGGCCACGCTGGGCTTATTCACGCGAGCAGAAACCGTCGGGGGTCCTCTTGCCGATCTGACCGACATGCAATGCATTTGGTTCCTGACCGAGGATGGCGAGGCATGGCAGCGACGGGGCAACCTCGGCCTAGCCCTGAAGCGTTATCATACCGTGTTCAACATCTTCGATATCTGGCAGGAGGATCAGTTCGACTTCCACAGCTTCTCCCTGCGGAAGGGTCAAATCCGAGCCTATATCGACTTAGTGCGCTGGGAGGACCGGTTGAGGGAGCACCCGTTCTACTTCCGGGCCGCCTTGGACGCTGTCAACCTCTACCTTTCGATGCATGACAAGCCCCAGAACGGCGCCAATGGCGCTGGGGACGATCTGGCCAATGGCGAAGATGCCGCCGAGAAGAAGAAGGCGGCTAAGAAGGCTAGGAAGGAGGCCCAAAAAGCAGAACGGGAGGCTGCTGAGAGGGCTGCCAAACGCGACCCGAACAAGGCTGGCCCCCAGAAAACCAAGGACGGCGAGGAGGCGAAGAAGAAGGATGATGATCCGGACGGAGCGAAGCTGGCCGCCACTACGGATCCCCTGGGTGATGCGATGAAGTTCTTGTGGCCCTTGCTCCAGTTTAGCCCCAAGAACATCGACGGCCAGATCGCTGGTTTCGAGGTCTTCATTCGTAGAAGTGAGTTGCGTTCTAGTCTAACTAACCTTCGTTGCTAATGTGCTGACGCTTGTTGGCAGACAAATACCTCCTGGCCCTGCGCTGCTTGAAGGCGGCGCTCGCCATCAACCAAGAGCACCCCAAGGTCCTGGAACAGGCGACCAAACTACGGAAGGCTCTGGCCGATGCTCAGGATTCGCTAGCGCCCAAGTTGAAGGAGGTCTTTCAATCCGAACTTGCCGGTGTCCCAGGAGCCTAGGTGACCCTCAGACGCCCGCGCAATCCCGCACACCTCTAGCAGAAAAAGGGGCCGGGTGGGGAATTGGCGATGCTGTATTGTCGGCCCTACGACCGATGGCCTTCTCGTGCTTGCAGCGTTACGGTAGTTTCTCCGCATGCCTTTGGGGTTCCTAGTGGAGTATCCGCACGCATCTGGCCGGTATTTACGGGGGAAAGAAAAAAGAATGGCGTTGTATAAAGGGTGCGGGTATGTAGCCAGGCAGCATGGAAGGAGCAGTTGTTTGCGGAAAATCCAACCTTGTTCGTTTACCTTCTCCTGTTGTTTGTCCTGCGGGTTCTGCCATCACCCGGATGTCGAGGTGAGAGATAGGGAACTTTGCCATATGGTATGTACCTGGTGTGTGTATATTATATGCCCGTAAGTACTTACCACGTTAGGCATGTATGTCATCCCGGGGGATATGGTATTCATATGCCAGCGATGGAAAGTTTCGGATCGCAAGCGACGACGTGTTGAAAGCGCCTTGATCGCGATCGAAGGGCAGTGTTATAGAAATTGTAAAGCTGAGAAAGTAACCGGAAGCGGGTGACTGCATGTCCCCATTCTGACCTAGCCACTGCGATGACCCGCATTCACCATCTAGTAGGCCGTCAACTCATGACACCTGCTAGGGTAGACTACTAGGAGTAGAGACTTCCCGCTCTTGGTGTCCCGCTCCTCATGTCCCATGACATACCGCATCTCAATCTACTGCACCTCCCGTACGACCTTATCTATTGCGTTCGCAACATAGTCCACATTCTTCGAGTTCAAGCCCGCCATGCTAATCCGCCCATTCTTGGTCATGTAGATGTGGTAATTTTGCCGCAACTTGAGGACCTGGGCCTCGGTTAGCCCCGTGAAGCTGAACATGCCGATCTGGTCCGTGATATGGTTCCATTTCCCGGGCGTCCCCAGCTTCTCGAGCTTGTCCCGCAAGGCCGTGCGCATGGAGATGATGCGACCGGACATGGTACGGAGATTGTCCTGCCACTCGGCAAACAATGTCGAGTCGTTCAGGACGATGGACGCAATGCGGGCGCCGTAGATGGGCGGGTTGCTGATCTCGGAGCGCTGGAGAATGGCGAGCTGCGAGGCGACGCGGGTCGTGATCTCAGCCGCATCAGAGGAGGGGCTCGCCACGTAGTGGAAGCAACCGGCCCGCTCGCCGTAGAGGCCGAAGTTCTTGGCGAATGACTGCGCGATCACCAGCTCGAAGCCCTCTTCGACGAACAGCCGGATGGCGCCGGCATCCCGGTCAAGGTCGCCCGAGGCGAAGCCCTGGTAGGCGGTATCAAAGAAGGGGAAATGCTTCTTCTCTTTCATCAGCAAGGCAATGTCGCGCCACTGCTCCGGGGTGGGGTCCACGCCGGTCGGGTTGTGCGCGCAAGCGTGCAGGAGGATGATGCTGCCATCCGCCGCCTCCCTGAGCGCCGCCTTCATCCCCTCGAAATCCAGCCCCTTGGTCTCCTTGCTGAAATACGGGTACGTGGCGATCGGCAGGCCGACATTTGTGAAGATCTGGTGGTGGTTCGCCCAGGTCGGGTTGCTGAGGTAGACGGTCCGGTTGGTGCCCTGGATCTTGTAGAACTTGGCCAGGAAAAGCGCGCCCAGGTGTACGGCGCCGGTGCCAGAGATGGTTTGTACCGAGGAGACGCGCTTCTCGGCGATGGCGGGAGCCGATTTTCCAAGCAGCAGTTCGGCAGCTTTTCCGGTAAGTGCGGCGAGGCCCGTAATGGGAAGGTATTCATGGTTCGCTTCGGGGTCGTTGCGCAGAATCTCGTCCGCCTGGAGAGTTGAGGATCGAAATTAGCTTGCTGCTTGGCGGGTTGATGCGGGGGAGGGGCAACAAGCCGCCCAGGGGAAGTTAGAGAGAGATGGCGGGCCGATATGCTGCACACACCGCGAACCGTTGGAAGCTACCACCAGCAAGACTGATGGGCTGATTGATGATTGGGGATGGAGGGAAGGAGTGGGTTGCATAAGGAAGTTGCGAACCTTTTTGACCACTGGCAGAACCCAGGGCTTCGCGTTATCGTCACGGTACGCACCGATTCCCTGGAAAGAGGCTGGTCAGCACCATCGCTGCTGTAAGGCAACTCGGTCACCGTTGAAGAGATGGACGCACCAAATCGACTTTGTCCGGGCTTGGATCGGCCCGGTACGCCCTCATCAGCCCAAAGAGGGGATCCTCGGGGGCCTGAGGAACCACCTCAGCGGGGAAGTTTGTTACTGATGGCGGCGCCATGTGGTTTGCGATGCTCTGTAGTCGGGATGTAGCGGACGCGGGGACGGAGGATGAGGATGACGAGGGAGGCGTAGTGTGACGAGGTGAATCAGGCGCCATTTTAAATGCCCCGTTTCGCCGTTCTTCCGATCTGGCTCCTTATTTACCCTGCGCTGTGACACTACGCACCTACGGATCCGTCCAGCCGCTCGAATGGTAGGACCGCTGCTTGGCTCGACAGCCGACAGCGGACGTGTTCCAATGCTGACATGCACCGATGGATTCGTTTGCAAACTAGCTGCCTGCAGCCACCCTCGTCTTCGAATACTTGGGGCGCGGGACGACAATTACACAATCCGGATCGTTTGATATTCTTGCGGATCAGGCACGTGGAGCTAGAACAGTCATAGAGGAGGTGCAACGTTGTCGCGTAATTCAAAGGAGCTGTCGATGATCTTGGATTCTGGGGTAAGGATCCCGGGCAAGGAGGGGGCGTCGAGTTTGCTTATATATACTCTATACTGTCTAACTTGTGTTCTCCAGCGATCGCTATGAGGTCAATTGCCAAATAGTGTATCAGAGTGCATGTGAAGCGGGCTCGTGGCCGGCTGGCGACCGAGCCGCGCCGAGGCAACTCGGCGCTGGGGTGCAGCTGGCTGCTGAATGCGTGAGAGAGTGCGGAGTGTCAGGCCACTCACATCTGGGGTAATTGAGAGTATGGATACGCTGTGGAACCTGGGTTTGACCCGGATATCCGGGCACGAGGATCATGGGACACACGGAATCTTCAAGGAACCAAACGATAGATACCTACCACAGTACTCATGTCTCCGGAAACTGTTGACCGAGGCCTCCCTAGGTTTTCCGAGTCTGTCTAACTCTAGTTAGTTATGTGCTTATCACCCGGCTTCAGACCCAGGCATGTTGCCTCAGCTGCGGGTAGCGTACCTAGAAACCCCTGCAGTCAAACACCTAGAGGAGTATGGCATGTAGTGTATGTAGGTTGTGGGTTGCAGCTATTAGTTGCTTCAGAAATACAGTATGTTTCTTATAGATGGATGTTTACGGATATTTGCCTTCAAGTTATCCGGAGGGGCGCGTTGGTGAAATGGGCCCGGGCCACAGCAATGTTATCTACCTACCTAATTACGCGGCACCCCGCCAACAGACAGTTTAACGTTATCTTTCTGCCGGGCGGACAGGATTTTCAGTCGCAGCATGCGATCTTATCGCCAAGGGCAGCATTTCAAGCTCGCAACACGAATTTCCAAGACCGAATCACCAGCGCACCGAGGCGTCCTTTTGAACCAGCAGCAGCATCAATTGATATAGACGAAACACAACCACCAGAATGGCGTCCAAACAGAGCATGCCTTTCATAAAAAACCTCGCCTCGAGCGGTATGTTTTTTTACGCCGTGGGCGCGAGCACACTGCCATAAATTGCCCCTCCCAACTGACCTGATATGTTCTTCTCGTCTTAGACCGTAAAATCCGCACCTCGGCGCTCTCATCCCTGCATTCCTTCCTCTCCGCCCGACAGGTCGCGTCTTCGCTGACGCCGCTCGACGTGCTCAAGCTATGGAAGGGCCTCTTCTACGCGCTGTGGATGTGCGACCGGGCGATCCCGCAACAGAATCTCTGCAACGAGCTGGCCGATCTCGTCTATATCCTGCCCCGCGAGGCCGTCGTGCCCTGGCTGCGCGGCTTCTGGGCTACGATGTCGCGTGAGTGGACGGGGATTGATGTGCTGCGCATGGAGAAGTTCCTGTTGCTCGTAAGGAGGGTGGTTGGGGCTGCGTTCAAGTGGATGAGGAACGGTAGTGGCAGTGAAGGGAGTGGGAAGAAAGAGACTGGAGGTTCTCATTGGGACGCGGGCAAAGTGGAAGACCTGCTGGGGCTCTTGGGCGAATGGCCGTTTGCGCTCGAAGAGGAGGTGCTGATAGAGCAGGTCACAGGGGAGGACGGTCAAATATCTCAGAAGATCCCAGTTGGGTTGAGGTTGCACGTCTTGGATATCTGGGTTGATGAGGCGGAGAAGGCGGGCTTGCTTGATGATGAGGACGAGGATGCAAGGCAAATCATCCAGAGGATCTCGGAACAAATAGATGCCCTCGAGCAGGCGACAACAAGCCCAGCTGTACGGGCCAGGTCAAAGGAGTCGCTTGCTGATGACCGTCTACCGGGGAACAGGAAACAAGGCGACGAGGCTCAGGGAGATGAAGGTATGAAGGACACACAGGGAGATGGTGGAAATTGGGACGGGTTTGATGATTAGACTCTCCTCTCTATCAATTCAGCGTGGCATCCGTGGTTATTTCTTGGGCTCGCAGCGTCATGTCTAGCTCGAACCGACGGACCCGGCTTGCTTCCGGCGAGCAACCGAGGCTAGCGATGATATAACGTGTAAGTGATCTATCACACGCTCAACGATGCCTAACTATGCAGTACCAAAAATGCCCAAACCAAATCTAATCCACTCGGTATCCCCAAGCCCGCACAAAGGAATCCATATGGTACAGAAGCCACTACATTGGCACCCAGGGGTATATTACATGGGCCATATGACGGGCAAGCCACGGCCGAAGCCGTGGCATATGTGCCAGCGACAATCGCAGGGCGCAGTGTTCGATCACGGTGTTGGTCCGCAAGGTCGTTCATTCCGAGAAAACGGCTAGGCAAGAAGCCGCTCAGTGGCAGTCACCGTGTCCCAATTTCGCGGACCCGGAGCCTCAAAGGTGCCTGTGCCTTTCTTGGACAGAGTTAGGCCCAGACCCTGGTGTACTTCGGCCTGAATTGGGCCGAACGGGATGGCCTCCCCGTCGATGCTGATGTAGCCCTTCTCCTGGTTGCGAGGGATCACCCGGAATGCCGAGACCTTGCGGTACGACACTAGAGGGCTGTCGAAGAATTCGCCTGATTCTACGCCCAGTTGTAGCGCGACAGCTCTCATGGGTGATATGTCGCCATCGGTCGTGATTAGGTCCATGAGGCCGTCATTTGCTAGCGCCGCTGAAAAGAAATTGAGGTCCGGCGCCATGTAAGCCATCTGCATTTCCAGTCAGACGATGTCAACGGCGAGGGAGGGATTTTCAAGACGGTGGTAAAGCCTACGTTGCCACAATAGAAGCTACCAAGTTTCTCGTGAGGGATGAGCTCCCAGCCTTCCGGCAGCTTGTCGTTGACGGTACCGTACTTCAGGGGTGGAAGGCTCAGTTCATCGTCGCTGTCAGTGGGGTCGGGTGATGGCGACGGGAGGCTGGGCTCTTTATCAACGCGGCCCTGTGGTTTGTCGCCGTTTTCCGATGGGTCAGTTCCCGCTTGCGCGACTTTCTGTCGATAGTGCCTCTTGACATCTCCCTTGTCGTCAATCTCGGCTTTGACAGCAATATCGCACGGGTATGTTTTTCGCTGCAGGACGCTCGTAAGAAAGCCAACAGTGAAGCGAGCGGCGCCCATCCATCGCAGATGCTCGGTGCCCAGGTCCAGCTCTGCCATCATGCCCAGCGCCTGGCTGAGGAAGCTGATGGTCCGCTGATCCCCGTGCGTCACACTGACCAAATCGAGTGGTGTGGGCACGCCCTTGACGATGGCCAGCGCCGCCAGGGTTGGGCGGTGAGTGCCGTACAGGTTGCAGCTCATGGCGTTGCCGGACCCGCAGGGAATGTGGCACACGGCGATCTTGGACAGCGCGCGGCGGGCATCCGGGCGTTTGGCGAGGCCGTTGAACACCTCGTGTGGCAAGCCGTCGCCCGAGCATGGGATGGCGATGTCGTAGTCGTCGATATTCAAGTCGCGAGCCAAGTCCACCGCCTCGCCGGAGTAGCTGGTGCGCACGACGGTCATGGGCATGCGTGCGGCCTCGAAAATGGGCTTCACGTCCTTCTCCCAGATCTTGTCGGCGCTGCCAGGACCAGCATGCGGGTTCACCAGGACCCAGGCGCGCTTGCGGCGGACCGAGCCGCTGTAGGCGCACTCCAAGAGCCGTTCGACCCACTGGGCAACCTGGTCGCCCACATCGTCGGGGCTCTGCTCGGCAGCAAGCTCGGGGATCGCAAACTTGGCACGGCGTACTTCCAGAAAGTGAGGCCGCGTCTGGTCCGCGTAGTCAATCACGAGCCACCTCTGGTCGCTGGTGATCTCGACCCAGAGGATGTTGTAGTAGGGTATCCTGCTCGGTGTGCCATTGGTTCCTTGCCTCAACGTAAGCAATAGCCCGGCGGCAGTGTCTTCGTGCTTGCGGAGCTCTTACCAGGAACCCCGATGCATAGACATGTGCGACTTGATTTGCTGGCAAGCTGGCCTGCATCGACGGTAACACAGCAGAATGCGTGAGCCAGAAGATTCCGCAGGGTACATCTTTTTTTGAGAATGGAGGCCTACCAGACAAGAGCAGGGCATCCTGCCCAAGTGTGAGAGTCACACCCGGCGAGAGGGTGAGCACGTGGCCATCTGTGTCGTGAGCTGCGCCAGCACTGCTCTCTGGTGTCTGCTGCCGGTCTGGGTTGGCGGGACCCGGAGACGTGTCTGAGCCCATCTGTCGTGGCGTCGTCAACTCCAGCAGTCGGCGAGTGGGGATGATATGCGCGCTTGCAACGGCGGCATGTGACGGCGCGGCGAGCAGAAGAGCTCGAAATGGCTATTGCCAACCAGGAGAGTTGGTATGGGTCAGATCACGTATAACTAGCCACCACAGTATAACAAAGTAACGATAACAGACAATCAGTAGCAGCTTCTGGCGGGGAACGGATGCAACGGAATACTGCGCGACACCTTGTCACATTGGGAAGCCGAGTCTGCCGGCAAAGGGCCTGTCATTCACCACCACGAGCTGGTGGTTATTGTTAAGAACCATTGTCCCTGGCCGCCATTGACAAGGGGTGCATCCGAGGCTGACACCGTGCGAGGACGCGCTCGGAGGTTTTGCAGATTTCGGTTAGCCGCCCGCGCGTCCACTTCAGTGAGCGCTCTCACCGCGGGAGACGCGAACGCGTCTTAACTCCGGTAACTTCCTGCAACATTACATGCCGAATACGTACAGACAAAGTATGTTACCAGGCCCGTATGTATTACGAACTGTCATATGCATCAAACCGGATACCAGCCACGATAACGAATAGCTAGTCCAAAACGTTGTGGCGACTAGGGAAGTTGAGCTGGACGGTTGCTCCATTGTTCCGGCTTCGACCCATTGCTGGATACCTGGACTTGCGTTGGCGGAGGTCACATGAGATACGACGTTTCGCCTCCTAGGCTTCAGGAGTACACTATATAATCAGGTCCCATAAGATGAGAGCAGTGCAAAGCCCAGCGGCAGCAAAGAAGGTGTACCGAGCCGGGCTCGCTCTCCCCGCGCTCTTCTTCAGCTCTTTGTTTCCCTTGCCGATGCCCTCAGTAGTCTCGAACGAGTCGGCGACCAGCTGGTCAATATGTGCAGACTGTGTCGCAAGGTTACTGACCAGCAGGTTCTGGAGCTCAGCTATCTCGATGAGTGAGTTCTCTGCAGTCCTGTACGAGGGTTAGCCAACAGCAAATGCGTCTGCAATTCATGACTGTGGCCACCCACCTGACTTTGTCCAATGTGCTTTCGAAATGTTTGAGCATGTCTTGGTTGCCCTTCTCGAAAATTTGCTTTTGGTGGTCCGTAAGGTTATCTACCGCCGCCGACTGCTGCTTCTTCTTCTCCTCTTCCTGCACTGACAAACCTGTCTCCCGGGCATTGTTGGTCGTCAGAAGCTTCCCTGCGCTATGTTTTGCGATGCCGTTCCCAGGCATTGCCATAGCTGGGCTCCTCGCCTTAGCCAGTACACTTCTGTTTTTCTCCATTTCCCTGGTTAAGCGCGTCTCCATCATTCGCTGCTGTGTCCGCGCCGTTTCCTGCAGGCGCACCCTTAGAAACCATATTACGCTCTCTCGATGTGCCCCAAGTTGACGAGCGGCAGCCTCCACAGTGGCCTGCTCGCTGCGCGCAGCGTCCCCAGCCGCCCAGGATCCCAAGACACCTAGCCCGCGCGACAAGCGCTTCCGCAGCAACGCAGCCCCGGTACTCTGCCGCAGCTGTTCAGCCTCTTCCAGCGCGCGGATTTGCGCGTTGAGGTCGCGGAGCGTCATCTTTGCGTTGGCGTCGATTTCCTCCCGGTCCCGGTCTGTAAGGTCTACATGTTGCGACGGCGCCGAACGCGATGCGGCGGTGCGCAGGTGTGTCTTTCGTGGAGCAGCGGTCGACAGGTAGGCTTGACGCAAGCGGCGTAGTTCGGTGTGTAAGCGCGCAATCACTGAGTTCTTGGAGACACAGCGTCAGTTCGCAGTTGTTGATGACGTGAAAAACGGCCAGGTAACGCACTATCCTGTATGCTTCCTTGAGGAATTCATCGGCCGTGTCCGGGCTGAACGGCTTCGTTGGGGCAGCCTGGTGCCCTTTCAGTAGGGCGTCAAACTCTGTTGTCAGATTGGCCATCTCGGGACCATCGCAAGATGCAGCGCTGCTTGATCAGATCTCATCAGACTAACGAAGGGGGCAGTCTGGGAGGTTGTGTGGCCGAACTGTGGCTGCCTTAAAGCTCCACGTTGCTAGGAATGTAGTGGCGTTCAGCTGGGAAGAAGCCTGCGACAAGCAGACCCAATCGGATGTTACCCCTGCCAAGTACCTAGTTCTTGGCTTGATAGCTTCAACTGCCGGGATTGGGAATGCTGCACTTCAACACAAGAACATCAACAAGCACTCATGATGCTTCATCAATCCGTATGCTCTCTGTCCTCCCCCCATTTTTCTCCTCTCCCGCGACACTGCGCTGCTCATCAGCTACCAGCGGCCGCCAATAATGAATGATCTTTTGAACAAATCGGGTCTCTTCTGTGGTGAATCTCGTTATACATGGGCCCAATGACGCCAACCCCATCTTCTATCTCGCGACGCCAGCGGTGCTACTCGGGGCTGGGCGCCGGCTGTCGGGTGACAAGGCTCTGTTTATCTTCTGCCTCCCGGGCCGATACCGCAATGCCGCTTCGTGTCGGTGTTGTCAATCGCCAATCGTCGGTGCTCCGGGCCTGCCTGGTTTTTGCTAGGTCCCGCTTATTCCCCACGTTCCTCATGCTCTGTTCGGGAATAAAAGAACTTCTCGACTTACCGCCGCCCTTATGTGGCGCCTGACATGGCTATGACCTCTCGTGTTTTGATCCGTCGCCGGCTTACAAGTACAGGCTGGGCTGGTTGATGGTGTGCCCCGAAGATCGGTTCCGATCACTTATAAGTTGAACGCCGTCCTTGGTTCTGTGCTATGCTTCATGCTGGCCCCATGCTGGCCCCATGCTGGCCCAAGAGGTAGACACTCAGACGAGGGAAGCTTGTTAGGCACTTGTTGTACACCATGGATTCTAGAGAAGTCCCGCCAGCAGGGGAGAAAGAAGAGGCCAGTTCTGGCAAGCCCCAAGACCAACCTCCCGCCCCGTCTTCTGCTGGAGATCGCATCGCGAGCGCCGTGTCCCCTGGGAATGAAGCATGCGAGGAGGGGACGGACACTGCCTTCGAGTCGCTTCGCCCAGTGTCGAGCGGGCCTGCCTACAGCGTGTTCTCCAAGGCGACCAAGCGGTGGATTATCGCCATGGCCGCGTGTGCCAGCTTCGTCTCCCCCATGACGGCCAACATCTACTTCCCGGCACTGAACCCCATCGCCGCCGATCTTGGTGTTTCGGTTAACCTTATCAACCTGACCTTGACGACGTACATGGTGTTCCAGGCCCTCGCTCCCACCATAGTTGGCGACTTCGGCGATATGGCCGGGAGAAGGCCGGCCTATATCATCTGCTTTACCATCTACATCTTTGCTAATCTTGGACTGGCCCTTCAGAACAACTATGCCGCGCTGCTCGTGCTGCGCATGCTCCAGAGTGCCGGAAGCAGCGGCACTCTATCGCTATGTTACGCCGCGGTTGCCGATGTTGCCGTCAGCGCAGAAAGGGGGAAGTACATCGGAATCGTCGGGGCCGGCATCAACATCGGGCCTGCCCTCAGCCCAGTTATCGGCGGGATCCTGGCTGAATATCTGGGTTGGAGGGCCATATTCTGGTTCTGTCTCATCTACGCTGCCGCCTGGCTCGTGCCATACACCTTGGCGGTCCCCGAGACCTGCAGGAAGGTGGTGGGAAACGGCTCCATTCCGGCCCGTGGCTGGAACATGACTATGCTCGATTTCTTCCGCTGCCGCGGAACACCCCAGCATGCTGTCGCTACTGACAGGGCCGCGAAACGCCAGTTACGCTTCCCCAACCCCCTCCACGCCTTGATGTTGGTCTTTGAGAAAGAGCTCGCCGTCCTCCTCTTCTACAACACCATGATCTACCTCGTTTTCATCCTCATCGCTGCCACGCTGTCCACCGAGTTTGCAGACATCTACCATCTCACGGACCTGCAGATTGGGCTTTGTTATCTGCCCTACGGTCTTGGCTGCTGCGTGGCAGCCATTTCGCAGGGCTACATCCTCGACAGCAACTACCGCAGGACAGCACGCAAGATTGGCTTCACCATCGACTACAAGCGCGGCGACGACCTACGCGAATTCCCCATCGAAAAAGCCCGGCTCATGTCCGTCTACCCGATGTTGTCTACGGGTATCGCGGCCGTGATATGTTACGGTTGGGTCCTGCACGCTGAGACGAATCTTGCTGGCCCCTTGGTCCTGCTGTTTGTCGTTGGCCTCTGTGTCACCGGCTCCTTCGGCGTTCTTAATACCCTCCTGGTCGATTTGTACCCGGAAGCTCCGGCTACGGCCGTGGCTGCGAATAACCTGGTACGCTGCCTTTTCGGTGCCGCTGGTACCGCGTTCATCGAATCCATGCTCAGGGCGCTGGGAAGGGGCTGGACTTACACCTTTTGGGCCCTTATCCTCGTGGTATTTTCGCCGGCGCTGTGGCTCCTCACTACGCGAGGCCCCAGGTGGCGGGAAGAGAGGAGAGTTCGCAAGCTCAAGGCGCAGGAAGAGAGGGACGCCGCTGCCTCTGCGGAGTCGAGCTGATAGATGGAATGCAACGTCAGCTGGCAGAAAGTGATGTGCGTGTTTACATCCAATGAAGGGAAACAAACGGATTCGCGGATTCGAAGTTGCTCATGTGCGGGAGGCGCCTCGGGTAAGCCCGAGAACTCGGCGGTCATTGCGGTCATGGATTGGGCGGAGAACATGTGGGCAGCGTCCCTTACGTCGGGCCAAGGACGCTGCTGCCGATTGAGTCAGGGGAGCGATAATTTAAGGGTATTATAGGAGAAGGCGGGGTATATGTCGAAACACTGCGTCTCCCCGTGGATGGCTGTCTTGGGTAGGAAGCGAGGGAGGGAAGCAACGGAGAAGCTCACTCCAGACATGGCCCGGACGGGACCCCGATGAGTGCATGGAAAAGACAGCGAGAGGCAGCAGTCGAGTGACACCCTGATCCACGAGACAATAACGTTGAGACAGGAATATTTTCCTCCGCACACCTAAGGCTCAAACGCCGACGGGATAGAAGAACACCAGGGGCCTTCAGGGATAGATGAGAATGCCCAGAGGTAAGCGACGTTGAGAGACTCGGACGCGGTCTATGATTTTATGACAACACGCACATAGATCTAGATGCATTTATAGATAGATAGATATCCATGAGCTTGAGCTTGTCGCAGAATCCAATTCAGAGTACAGTTGTGTGCTATATCGCGGGCCTCCGTCGATGACGTGAATGGGCAGGTCAGCAATGCCTGACTGAGCAGAGATTATGCCGGCTGACTGGGCGGCATTGCGTGCGAGATATGATAGTATATAATATCGGAATATCATAGACAGACAAACGCTCCATGCATCTACATATATGCGAACAAAATCAACGACGAGATAGGAAACCTCGACATCCAACTCCTTCGTACCCCCTAACACAGTTGTCCAACGTCATTGTCATCGCAATCGTCAACTCATCACATCGTCGAATCCATCACCGTCATCAATCATCCACCTCCCGTCAGCCGCTTCCACCATGAGCTCCGCGGGGTAGTAGTGTCCATAAACATGGCCGAATTGCGCCGGCTGTCGACACGCCGACCATCGCTCCCATCGGAACCGGCGGCCCGCCGTTCCCTGTCTCTATCCCTCTCCTTGTCGCGGTACTTGTCCCGCTCCCTCATGCGCTCCCTCTCCTCGCGGCGCCTTCTCCGGCGTCGCTCCTCGTCATATTCTTCCGGCGTCATACCGGCTGCTTCTGCATACTTGGCCTGCCGCCTGGCTGCGCGCCGGGCCTCGCGACGTGCCTCTTCGTCGTCGTCGTCGGCAGCCGGACCCGTCTCGATTGGCGGGGGTTCGGCCATGTGCGCGCCATGATCCGCGGGCGGTGGGGGCGCGTCTGCGTGTTCCTTCACCCATGACGACGTTCCCGAGTGCGGCCAGGAGCCACCCGTGTTCTCGCGTGATGCCCGCCCATAGACGTAGTCGTCGACCGCCTCGGGCCTACGCCGGGAGGCCCTTTCCTCTCGTTCCCGCCCTTCCTTCATGGCGCGTCGGGCTTCTCGGCGGCGGCGACGCTCCTCTTCGTCTTCGCGACCGGAGTCTCCGGACTGATGGCCGCGGCGGCGTTCGTGATGCCTGGCCGCGCGTCGGGCTTCTGCTTCGACCTCGGCCGCATCCACCTCGGCATGCCGTCTCCTCCGCTCGGCTCGCTCGGCTTCCTTCGCATCACCACTGTGACGCTCGGACTGTTCACGGGCGCGCTGAGCCCGTCTCTCGGCGCGACGGGCCTCCTTTTCTTCCTGACGACGTGCTTCGTCTTCCTCCTCCTGTCTCCGACGCCGCTCGCGACGAGCCTCATCCTTGGCGCGGCGGGCCTCCTCGGCAGCCGACTCTGCCGTAGCTCGCTCTGCAGCCTCTTTCTCGGCACGGCGCGCACGGCGGGCGGCGCGGCGCGCTTCTCGCTCGGCATCCGCCTCCTCACCTCGCCTCCCCGCCTCATGATCTGGCGATGTGGGATAAGTGGCGCGATGGCGCGGCTCTGGCCGCTCTGGGCGTTGTTCCAAACGCGGGTCTGCTTTGGAAGCGTTGAAGACGCCGCCGAACAAAGAGGAGAGCCCTGTCTTTTTCGCAGCTGAGCCGGAGCGTTTCAGGGGGTTACGCGATGGGGTTGCATCGGCCACGTCGACCATGACGATATCGTCATCTCGTGAGTATTGCTGAAAGACATCGTCAGTTCCTGATTGCTTTGATCAATCAAAAGTGCACGAGATCGACTTACCCTTGATCTTCGTGGTCGCTCCATTTTGTCGCGGCTCGGGATGCCATCGTCAGCGCCAACCATTACAATATCCTCGTCGTCCACGGAGGCTGCAGCACAATTATCAGCAAGAGGTTTCGCATCGAGGCTGGCGCCATCCGTACCGTTTCTGCTGCGTCTGTTGAAAGATGTCGCGAGACCAAAAGCAGCGCCGACGCCGAGAACCTTGGCTGCCTTGGCTGCCATGTCCTCGGGCGGAGGGCTCATAAGGCCGCCGTCCATGTCGGCGGAGTGCCTGCGTGAGCTTGACTTCCCACTACCACCATGGCGCTTCTCGCGCGTAGACATGGAGCGGGAAAGAGGCGGCGTGCTCGCGAAGACGCTTTGGAGGCGGGCGGCCGTGTCCTTTGGCCTCGGCCTCTCCGCCTTGTCTGAGCCCGAACCTCTTGAAGACGGCTTTTCAACTCTCTCGGGATCCTCCGTCGAGGCAGGTTTCTTCCGGGCGCTGGCCTCCCTTTCTGGCTTGGACCTAGACGCGGACTTCTTCAACTCCTTTGGTTCATTCGACTCCCTTGGTTGTTTCAACTCCCTTGGCTCCTTCCACTCCTTTGGTTCTTTGGTTGGCGTCGCTGTCCACGTGCCCCAGGATGCTGCGCCCTCGCGGTTGACCTTGGGACGCTCTCTCCTGGATGAACGGAAACCGGCTGGAGACATCATCGGTGGCGCGTCCGGGACCGCGGGCGGGGGGACAGGGACAGCCGGGGGAGGCGGTGGAACATCGACGATCTCGGGAGACGCCCGCGCTTTCTTAGACTTCTTGCTGCTCTTCTTTGCGGGTGTCAGATCGATGACCTCGACAATGTCATCGTCGCCACCCCTGTCGCTATGGTGGTGGTACTGACGCTCCTCGTCGCTGACCGGAAAGCTGCCAGGGCCATTGAAGGGCGCAACGGGCGGTGGAGGAGGCGGAAGAGGTGCGAAGGCGTCGACGTCAACAACAGCTTCCTTGTTCTTGCTCTTGCTCTTCTTTGAACTGCTCTTCTTCTCCTCCTTTCGCGCCGCGACGGGGATGGGCGCTGCGGGAGGCGGCGGAGGCGGAGGCGGAGGCAGCGGCTGCTCGATTGGCGCGTCGTCCTGGTCTTCGTCGTCAACCACCTGGAAGGCACGTAGGCGATCTGCGATCTTGCCGCCGACAGCCTTCTTGGATTTCATCGACTTGGCCGATTCGGTGGCCGCTGGGATGTCTTGCCACGCCGAGGTGGCGACCTCACCAAATGCGCGGGCAGCAACAGCTTCCCAAAGCGGAGATGACTCAGCAGGTGCACTCTCCGGGGCTGCTGCCTTGGGAGGAGGGGCTTCCGTAGCGTCCGGAAGCCACGAGCTGAGCTTGGACTTCTTGGATGTCGACTTCTTGGCGGTCCCCCAGAAGCTGAAGGCGCTGTCAGCCGCGGGCTCCTCCTCGGCTGGCGCCTTCTCCTCTTCCGCTTTAGGCTCGTCGGCCAGCAACTCCTCGATTTGCTCGGCTGTGAGATTAACGTCTTTGAAGTCGTCATCGTCATCAAAGGTGTTCGTTTCCTTTTCCCTCTCCCTCTCCCTCTCCTTCTCTTCCTCCTTCTCCTTCTCCCTCTCCCTCCCTCTCTCTTTCTTCTTCTCCTTCTCCCTTTCCCTTTCCCTTTCCCTTTCCCTTTCCCTTTCTTTCTCCTTCTCTTTGCTCTTGCTTTTCTTGGACTTCTTTAAAGACACTACTGGCACTGGCACTGGTTCCGGTTCTGGTTCCGGCTGCGGCTCTGGTTCTGGCTCCGACTCCGGCTCCAGTTCTGCCGCTGCCGCCGCCGCTGCCTCTGCCGCCTCTGCCTCCTGCCTCTCCCGTTCGGCAGCTTCCTCCGCCTCGCGGGCGGTCGTCTCTTCGGCCTCTCGGGCGGCAAGCTCCTCTTCCTCCTTCCGCTGTCGCTCTTGTTCTGCTTCCTCTGCCTCGCGTGCGGCTTTCTCGTCGGCTCGCCTCCTGACGCTCGCTTCCAGCCGGTCAAGCTTCTCTTGGTCGCTCCTCGGAAATTTCTTGGGCTTCTTTGCCTTCTTTGCCTTCAGCGCAGCCAGTTCCTTCTCCTCCTTCTCGGCCTCGGCATTTTCGGCGTCTCTCGCCGCCTGTTTTTCGGCCTCCCGCTTAGCTTGCTCCTCCGCTTCCTGTGCCTTGCGCTCCTCTTCCTGCTCGGCATCTAGGTCCGGGTTGTCCTCCGGTTTAGTGTCGCCGATGCTCCAGGAACTGAAAAAGTCGACGTTGTCCAAATCCGCAGGCTTCTCGAGACTAATAAGCTCCTTGTCGTTTCCTTCGCTGGGTGGCTGGTCCTCTTGTGGTGGCGCCTCATCCACGACCCCCTTCTTCTTCTTCTTTTTCTTGTCCTTCGAACTGGGCAAGTCCCAGGGGTTCTCATCCTCATTAGTTTCAGGCTGAACCTCCGGCTCTGGTTCTGGTTCCACGATCGGTTCCGGTTCGGGTTCTGGCTGATTCTTCTTGCCCTTCCTTTTCTTGTCTTTCTTGGTGGTGCTAAAGCCCCAGGGGTCATCGTCCCCCCAGGGATTCTCATAATTCTTCGGTTCGCGTTCGGGTGCTGGTTCTGGCTCTTGCTCCGGCTCGGGCTCTGGTTCCGGCTCCGGTTCTGGTGCGGGTGCGGGTTGCGGATCAGGTTCCTTGGCAGGTTCCCCGCTCTTCTTCTTCTTCTTCTTGTCCTTCTTGCTGAGACCGAAACCCCAAATATCCTCTTCTTTCTTCTCTGGTTCCGGTTCAGGCTCGGGCTCGGGCTGGGGCTCCGGTTCCGGTTCCTTCGGGGGATCCGGCTCCGGCTCCTTAGTCTTGCCCTTTCCCTTCTTCTTATCCTTCTTTGACAGGCTGAAACCCCAGATGCTATCGTTCTTCTCCTCTGGCTCTGGCTCTGGCTCTGGCTCTGGCTCGGGATCGGGCTCCGGCTTCTGCTCCGGTTCCGGTTCCGGTTCCGGTTCCACTACCGGCTCCGGTTCTTTGACAGGCTCGGGCTCGGCGACCGCGTTCTTCCCCTTTTTCTTCTTACCCTTCTTGGTAGTCGCGGGTCCCCAAGCGAAGCTATCCTCCACCGGAGCTTCTTCAACTTTGGGCTCCTCCGTCACCGGAGAAGGCGAGTCTTCGGTCTTTTCCTTCCTTTTACTTTTACTGCTACCGAAGTTGCCCCAGAAGTCGTCTTCAATCTTCTTTGTTGGAGCGGCCACAGGTTCCGGCGCAGGCTCTGGTGTCGGCTCCACGTCCTTCGGGGATTCAGCTACGTCGTTCTTACCTTTTTTCTTCTTGTTCTTTTTGCTTGCAGGAGCACCCCAGCCCCACGGGTCGTCCGCGCCGCTAGCTGTGGCCGGCTCCGGATCGGCAGGGGGCTCCGGCTCCGGCTCTGGTTCCGGTTCCACAACCTTCTCCTCGGGTTTCGGCTCTTCGGTAGTACCTTTCGTTTTTTTCTTCTTAGCGCCCCAGAAGTCCCAGGGGTCGTCTCCGGCTTTCGGCTCCGGCTCGGCTGGTTTGGGAGGCTCCTCAACCTTGGGTTCTTCAGCAGCAGCCAAGGCTCCCTTTTTCTTTTTACCCTTTTTGGTCGTCAGGGTGAACAGGTCAACCTCCGGTGGTGGTGCGGCTGCTGCTGGTGGTTCAGGAGCGGCCGGAAGGTCCGCTGCCGGTTCCGGTTCGTCATCCAATCCCCAGATCCCGCCCTTCTTCTTCTTCTTATCTTTTGTCGTACCAACCGAGAGGCCAAAGTCAGCATCTTTGCCCTTGCTGTCGTCCTTCGGCGCCTTCTCGCCAAGCTTCTCCTGGGGCGCATTCTGGTCTGTTGAGTTCCTCCCATTCGTAGACTTACCGTTACTCAGACCCCATGGGTCGTCCTCGACGGGGGGCTTCTTCTCCTCCTCCACGAACGTCTTTACGAGCGAAGAGAACCCCCAGCTCGAAACACCCTTGCTGACAATACCCTTGGTCAAGACACCCCAGCCTCCAAACGACGGTTTGCTCTCAGCGGGGCTAGGCTGAGCGCTGACAGACGGTTTTTCATCCAACTTGATATCGTCAAATGTCTCGAAAGCCCCCGATCCCGTTTTCGCAGCAGGCAACCCGAAGTCAGCCTTCTCTGGCTTCTTCTCCTCTGGCGGGGTGGGAGGGTCAGCAGCAGTGCCACCCTTTCCTTTCTTCTTCTTCTTCTCCTTGCCGGCACTGGCCGAGGTGAACCCCCAGGCATCGAGAGGGTCTTCATCGCCCGGCTCCTTACTCTCCTTTTTCTCTTCCTCTTTCTTGGTTTCTACCACCTCTTCTTCCTTTTTGTCGTCGACCTTCTTGTCATCCTCCTTTTTGTCATCACCCCCGTCACCTCCGTTGCCGCCAGCATCTCCACTTGGTGCATCACCGGCGCCGTCGCCGTTGTTTGCTTCCCCAGCGTCCTCTCCACCGTCCTTCCCAGCGCCGTCGTCAGCATTGCCGTTGCTGTTATTGCCGTTGCTGTTGCTGTTGCTGTTGTTGGCTTTCGCGGCATTGTTCTTCTTCTTCTTTCCCTTGGCATGGGTTCGGAAGGTTTCCTCACTCGCAAAGTCGATCCGAAAGCATGTTGTCGGGTCGGTGAGAAGGGCGTCCCTTTGGCATCCGCGGCCGGAACCAGACGGAATATGCGCAGTGGTAGCGGCCGGGGCCTCGTCTGAGCAAGGCTGGTGTCTCTGAGCGCACGCACCGCTATTGGTTGGGTCGTGTAAGTCCGTGGACAGCGAATCGAGGTCCTCTTCGCATGACTGGGAGTGACCACAAGGGCGAGAGGAATCGGGCAGGCCGAGATGGCGGCGTAATAGAGGCCGGGGGGGTTCCTATAGTGAAGTCTGTCAGTGATCATGAAACAAGAACTCCGCGACATAGCGCCAGTAATTTGCGCTCCCCAATCACGGATCCGCGTCTGGAGCCCGGCCACCCCTCGTTAAACTCAGGACCCTAATCTGGGCGCTCTGGCGCTGAAAGGAGATGGGCGCTCGCGTTCGTCCTCAGCAGCAAGCTTCTCGAAGGTAGTTGCGCTCAGAAATGAAGATATTCTATTCCTTACCTCGAGACTGGCGCACAGCGCGACCCAGGTTTCAGCAACGAGGCCCAGTCTTATCTTCAAGACGGCGGCGTCACAGCGGTGATTCGACCGCCCATGCCACCCAATTGCTCTCGTCGGACGGATGTGTGCTGGAGAGCCATGCTTAAAGTGTCCATGCCAGCCGTCGAAAAAGCCTAGGACCTCAGTGGTGGCCATGGTGAAAGCCGATCGAAATGACCATCTGCAGGGCCGCTGTTGTCAAACACATGTGGTGCTGCGGTGTGTAGCGAATAAGGGTCAGCAGCTGGGAATCGAAAGCAGCCGGGATTCTATCGTATGAAACTATCCTGACTGAGGGTTGAGGTGAGGCGTTCCTGAGATTCGCACCGTCTCTCGTGGGGTTCCCGCAATGCAGGCGGAGTGTCCTTCGTTCACCTGGCCGATATGTGGCAGTCAAGATTTTTTTTCTCTCACGATCCTTCCGGCTTCAGAGGCTCCCTATTTCCTTGGGAACACAATCTCCCCAACTGGAAGATAATTTGTCGCGCCGATCAGGGGACGGCTGGACTTTGGGACCAATGACCGGTTTGGACCCGAAGGGCACCTGCGTCTTGTCCAAGACTGGCCGTGTTGTGCCACCACACCGCCAATGTGTGTCGTCTTCGAATCAGCAGCTGCCTCGAGTAACTGCGCGGACGAAGCAGAAACTGCTGCGTGAGTGGTTGCAGCTCGATCGTCGAACAGAAAGGTTCCCGTCGGTACTATTCATGCACGGCCCAAAGTACCCTCCCGTCCACAGTCACACCCCTCCTTGGCTCCTGCAAACATAAGCGGACTGCTGCAGCTCGGCGGCACGCAGGGGATGGCCGCGTTCGGCACGACAGTCAGGTATTAACCGGCGAAACCGTCGATGTAAGTGCTCTGGACGTTGATATCTTGGGACGAGCACTATCCATGGATGTAGGTGCAGGAATCAACCAAGACCATTCCTGCCGGACGCTGTCCCTCTTCTCATGTATCCCTGCCACCCTCCCACTCCCGGCGTGTCATGTGGGGTAACTGATCACCCGGCGCGCTTGCGTCCTTGTCAATGTCACCAGCTTCAAGGCACGAGAAAGATTTTGTGGATGGCTGGGTGCCAGGGGCTGCCATTGGCCGCGTTGTGCAAGGGGTCGATGGGAACTCCAACTATTCCTTTTGGGTTGACCAGCCCCCTGACTCCCGATGCCCGGAACCCTGCCAGTGCCCGTTGTCTTCGACTCTCAGCCTTGCCCCACGGCCGGCTCATTGCAACACTGCAAAAGACAGCACCGTCCCAAGGAGATATGTATATGCCGTATCACGGGAACGGGAACTTGAGCGCTGTGCTCTGGATGTCTATAAAGTTAGAGCAGGGAGTAGGTAAGCTGTCGCTTTCATCAGCCGGGGTTGTGTGATTTAGGTTGCCCGAGCCCTTCCTGTCTCCGCATCTGGACACCTCCCTTCCACGGAAATGCCGAGGGGCTACCAGGGCAGCTCTCTCAGGCTCAGGCTCGGCGAGATCTGTCTGCTGCTGACTACCAACCTTACGTACTTCTTGCTCCTCGAATACTAGCGCGACTTCTCTGTTCGTCGCCGTTACTCGTAGCGCCAGACAGACAGGGCTACCTTATGCTACCGTCACTAACAGGCCATGCCACTTGACCGTGCAATCTGATATGCAGCCCGATCTCATGCTGCAGAACACGCGGCTACTTCGGCGAATCGTCTCCACGTATCGAGACCAGCGGGTACTGCTCCGGCGTGGGCTGGGCAGCGATGCGCATCTCGCATGGTATTGGTATTGCTTCCTCTAACAGAGAGCCCGAGGCTACAGGTATGCACTGCATATAACTGGAAACCTAGGATAGGCTCTGCGCTCCGATGCAGTGTCTCGACTGAACATGACTGACTAGATTTCTCATCCCGTCTACCTGCTTGTGCACGTTGTCTATTTCGAACCTCCGCCCTGATGGGAGGCTTCCAGCTGGGACGAATTAGAGAACATTGGATGGCGGGGCCGGTCCCTCCCGCGCTTTTGCATGCAGCGACCGCTAAGGATGGTTGCAGCTGAATGGTGGGCGGTCGACCGTCGACGCCCGAAATGGGGCTGCTGCCCTCTTACATACACGACTTCCTCACCGCCAGAATCTGCTGTCAGGAGAGCAACACGCGAGTGGCCAACACTAGCTTCGACTTTTGCAAAAAGTGGGATTCAGCTGCGTGAGAAAACTTGGTCTTATATGCCAATCGCGACCTTTGGTCGTTGGCTGTCCAACCGGAGCAGTGCACCTGGAGGCGGGCTCCGAGCTTCGAGACTTAGACCCAAATCCGTCCGTCCTTCCCAGGGCACACGCGAGACGTGCTAGAATGTGTAGGTAGATGCGTTGCGGCTTCTAGCATCACCCAAGTCATCAAGTGCAGTGTCAGTCTGCAGCACAACGCTCCGAGACGTTAGCAAGGTGTCCCAAAGAGGACTAATAGGCCGGCATTGCAGCCTGGTTCAGAAGAGTGAGACGGTGCGTCTCCGATTCGGACACGCGCAAATATCAGGTGTACCCGTACCCTCCGTGACACAACCTGAATCGACCTGAATCGACGCAAAGCAATCTGGCACCAGGGGCCCACAGAAGTCATGCACAACCTCGCATTCAGGAGTCAACTGTTGACGGAGCAGCGGCGTATTTGCTTATCTCTCGGTTGCAATTGTGCTTGCAAGTTGCAGGGCATTTCGATTACTTATCGTTGCAGGCTGCGGGTTTCCATCCTTTGTTGATGTGACAGTCACGTCGCGCCGTTCCATTTGTTGGCCCGTTCTCAGGATTCACCACGTCGCATCTGGACTTCCTTCCCAGCAATTCCGAGGCATCTATCTATCTGCTGATCAACAAGCCTTCGACTGCCAGCCAAGGCAAAGCAACTGGCACAAAAGCCGTCTTCTAGCCGGCAGCCGGCCATCAATCTCAAGCACTGCAATTCTCCACCAGCCGGAGCCGTCCTGCTCCCGCACAGTAACAAGCTGCCATCGACCGAGTCGCCGCGATGTCTCCGCCTCAGCCGTTCACGGTCGTCACCCGGGTGCCAATCCCGAGGACACTCGCCCCAGAAAGGGTCATCGCCGCCCTTCAGACATACGAGGCCCTCATCACGCCGAATCCCTATCTTGAGCGGTTCGAACGACGGCCCGTCCAGACCGCGGAAGTGGCAAACGACTCCTTCTTCCTCAGTGATGGCAAGAACCTGCAGGCCTTCGTGGTCTACGACCGGGTGCCTATCATCCCGGGCGTCGGGTCCTGGGCTACCAAGGAAGTGGCCGTCCCCTGCATCTTCCAGAGCGTCGAGCATGGTGTCCGGTGCTGTGCCCACGCCCAGGGAGGCGTCACCGTGCGCAGCAGCTATGAAGTGAGACGCCGCGGGGAGATCACGGATGGGCCCGAGTTGGAAGTTGGCTCCGGGGACGGGGACTATGAGCTGATTGACATTTCCAATGTCGAGTGCAGTGCCCTGGTGAAACTATTTGTTAAGACTCGGTTGGCCAGTGGTCATCTCGTGCTTCTCCGGCAGGTGATAGCCGACCTGGTTCAACAGCCGGCTCAACCATGAACTCGGAAGACCGGGTTGGAGGGTTGTGATGGTTATATAGGGCCTGCAGCAATTTTTCTAAAGTAGGTGTTTCGAGATACCCGTCAACTACGAGTTGCGCTGTGCTACACTCTTCAAATTTAGAAGATGTATGTATGTACGTATTATACCACCTCCTCACTCAACTTGTGGATGGATATATAGGTTCATGTCATAGTCATTGTGTACACCGAGCTAGCTAGCCCAACCGGCAGCCAACTCCTCACTCAAATTGTATACACCAACTTCGCGCCGCTTACCTTTCCGTCCTTCAGCTCCTTCAGCCCAACCAGCACCCCATCGAGACCATTGCCGCCCCGATTCACATCCGCTCTCGCAGGTTTGATCTTCCCGGCGGCCAACAATTCCCTCGCCAACTCCCAGAACTTCACGCCATGCTCAAAGTCCTCCGGAATCGCCGGCATCGGGCTGCCCTTGTCGAGCGGCTCGCCAAACATGGTGTAGGCCAGCGTGAAGCCACTGTCCACCTTCTCGTTCACCGCCTTGGTAACCTCGTCCGCCAGGTTCAACAGCGACCGGTAGTGGCCCTCGCGGGTCTTGCTCAGCGCCGCGGCGCAGATCCGGGGCGCGTCGTCGGTGGCCACACAGTCCCACGCCAGCGTCAAGGCGTCCGCGTCATTGCTCCAGGCCCTGATGTCGTCCACCACAGTTGGCGAGCGGTAGTCGAAGACACCGTCTGCGCCGAGGGACTTGACATAGTCGAAGTTGGACGGCGAGCAGGTCGTGGCGACGCGGTAGCCGGACAGTTTGGCGAACTGGATGCCCAGGAGACCCGTCGCGGTGCTGCCGCCGTAGATGAGGATCTCGGGAGGCGGGTTGCTCGGCGAGGCGGTGCCGGGGAGCGGGAGCCCGAGGGCCTGGTAGAGACCTTGGGCCTTCAGTGATGAATAGGTGTGCGACGTGTCAGTCAGGGTCTGAAAACCAGAAGAAGCCTATGTTTGGGTTCGTGGGCAGCTTACCACCGTGCTGACACCAACACCCAGCGTGGCAGCCTCCACGTCGCTGAGGTTATCCGGCGTCTTGATCTGCAGGTCGCCCTTGGCAATGATGTACTCGGCGAACGCCCCTCCTTCGGGTCGGAGCCTGTTCGAACCGTGCACGAAACCGGCAACGCGGTCGCCTTTCGCAAACTTCTTGGTCACCTTGGGCCCGACCTGTTCGACAATGCCGGCGTAGTCGCAACCCACTACGGCCCCGACATCGACTGCGCTGGGCACAGCGTCGATGTGCTTCCAGTCGGTTGGGTTGAGAGCCACTGCAGTGGTCCGAATCAGGATATAGTCATCAGGCAGCGCGGGCAGCGGCACCGTCTTGACTTCCGCCTTGCCCGGTGCGGTGATGACCACGGCCTTGATCTCGGAAGGTGGAGCCATGATTGTCGAGCGTTCTGCTTCTCTTTGCTTCTGTGTCTCTTGGCCGTTTATAGTTATAGCGTTCTCTCTCGTCTGTGTACGTAGCCAGGCGTAGCTTCGGAAGGTAGGAGGTAACAGTCCACGACCGCCAGTCTATGGAACGGTATGGCGGTCGCGTGGAGATATAGCTCTCTGATGATTAGAAATGCAGCTCGTCATTACGCATCATACCGTGCCCACACTCCCTCCGAACCCCAGGGATGGGCATCCCGATTCTGCCTCTCATCCGTGACTACGATAGTAATCAGGCAAGTTAGCTGTGCCATGGCCTTTGTTGGCCAATCTTGTGCCCCTGACACCAATCCGACGTTGCATAGTTCTAGGAAGTGGGTTTTCCCGAGAGGGGTGAAGAGGGGTGAGTAGTATGTAATATTACCTGGTACGTACTTGTACATACGTTCAAAGCACGTGCAAAGGTAACCTAGATAGTAATCAGACCTCATCCGGCTTGACCTTCCTGGCCTCTAAGGGGAATTTCATTCGTTATTAAGCAGGATCGTGTTTGGGGAGGCAGTGAGAGTCTGCATCTTGCTGCATTCAATGAGCGTACGGTAGCCAGATCTCGGGGAGCCGCGAATTCTACGGGTCCTCCCGCCATGGTGTTGAGGGCTCTCGGAGATCGGCCGGTATGTAATGACGTTCCGTATTCTTAAAATGGTACCTGGACGGGGGTTATACTTCTTCTCAGAACAAGCGATGGAAACCGAAAGAAGGTGGCGAGAACATGGTGTAGAGACGATCTTCTTAAAGACCGTAGAGCTTCGTTTCTCCAAACCGTAAATAGCTAAACAATATCCGGCCGAGTATGTAAGTGCATGCCTTACATACCTAACGTCACCCCAAAGCATCCATCATGTCGCACTTGCGTTCTAGCGTTAGTGCATGGCAACTCCCACCAACTCCTTGTGTATACTGTGTAAAGAAACTCTCAAAACTACGTGGCGAAACGAGTGCTACGGTTCGAGAAGGTAGCCTCGAGGCCCATGCGTATCTATACAAGCAGTTGCGATGGAGTTTAGGAAACTGAACAACATCCAAATAGCCATGGCCACGCCGAGCTTTGTGTTTGCCTCTTTGCTTTGCCCAAGAGTTAGTTACCTTAGCAACCACCAGATCTATAACCCAGCACAAACAAGCAGACCAACCGAATCGTAAAAGCCATCAACCATCAGCCCGATGAACACGATACGACCGCTGAGCCAATACCAATACGAGCACCGTTTTCAAGAAGAAAGTAGGTATAAGCCGAAGAGGAAGATGTGACACCTGTATAAAACCGATCTGTCCACAAAAGAAAAGGGTGAGAACACCCGCATGGCTCCAAATGCACCAGGGAATCCAATTGTCGCCCTGCACTAAAGCGACCAAATGACCAAGGAAAGGAAAAGGCGACAAGAGGGTATCAAGCGAGGAATCAACGCCCGCCATAGTCGCTGGCGTAACCTATCTCGCCGAAATTCTCTTGCATCCCACCCGGCCCGAATCCCGTGCCGGGGCCGCTGACATAGCCGCCGTCGTCACCATCATCGTAATCACTAGCATCGAAGCTACTCCGGCCGCTCAGTTCGTCTTCCATGCCGCTGCCGCCGCCTACGTCGGTCGCGGACCAGTTCATTTGCGCCAGGGCTGGATACTGCGCCAATAGCGCCTGGGGTAGCGCGTAATTCCCGCTCCCATCCATGGGGTATCCCGCGGCATTCGGATCCAAGCTTTGCGCCATCGCATAGGCTGGATGTTGCATGGCCATGCCTTGCGCCATAGCGTGCTGAGCTTGTTGTCGTTGGTCCTCGTTGTACTGCCTCATGCGATCGGCCATCTCCTCATCGAGCAGCGGCTTGATGCATATCCTGCCGGCCTCGGAGCGGAAATGGCGTCCAAGCGCATCAGCGCGGGCAAACCGCCGGCCACAGCCCCACTGTCCCCCGTTTTTGAGGTCTCCCTTGCATACAAACTTCTTCTCGCCAGAATGAAGACCCTCGTGCCGTTTGCGGTCATGCTGACGCGCAAACGCCTTGCCGCATACAGTGCACACAAACGGCCTCTCGTCGGTATGTGTCCGCAAATGGGATCGCAGGTTGTATGCCCGCGTGAAGCGTTTTGGACAGAGGGTGCACTGGAATGTCGCGGGGTGCTTCTGCACTCGCTTCGCCCCGCCTGCCCCGCCCTCTCCCTGGGCACCGCTGCCGTTGTAGTCGGGATCTACGAGACGAAGCGCCATGACGTTGTTGGGCACTGCAGAGGTGGACTGACGCCTTCTAGTTGCCGAAGCCGTACTGCTCGCGCGGTCAAGGGGAGACAGGGAACGAGACGACTCAGACCTTGCGCCTGCAGCGGCGTCGGGCGAGAGGCCATCGGAGGCCGAAGCGCTGCGGTGGCTGCTGAGCAGCGTACCGCTATTATTGTAGGGATCGGTGACAGCGCGGGGTCTTGATATCCGACGCCCTGAGGAAGACGACATCAGTTCTCACGTTGCAAGCTGTACAGGGATATTGTCTACGTACCTCGCTCTGGTGGGGTTAATGAATCCACATCAAGGCTCTTTGGTTGTTCAAAGCCGCTCCGCACAGCAGTGGGCGCAAAGTCTATGTTGATAGATGGCGGGGCGGGCATGGTGCTTCCCGGATGTAGCTCCGGGTTATCCTGCGGGAGGGAAGGGAAGGCCTCTTGAGGTGCCTGCATATACGGCGACGGTCCGAATCCGTTGTTCTGGCCTGACAGTAAGTAGCCCCCTTGCTGATTCATGTCGGGCAACTGCTGAGGGAGTATCCTTGGTGAAAGGGCCGGACTATGGGATGGACTCCTAGCCCCATGGCTCGGGGTGTGCGTGCCAGTATCCGAGATGCTGAAACTCCCGATCCCGTGCAACTCGCGGTACAGCGCAGCGTCTTGCGGCCGCTGCATCGGCGACTGGCTCTGATCGAAGTGATCAAAGTTGTCTGAGGTGACGAGATGAGGAGAAGGCGCAGCGGACGATACGTCCGAGTACTCTGATGGAGTGCGTCTGTGGCCTTGAAACTGAGACCCGGCGTGAGTCCAGTCTATCTGACCCGGGAGAAGTGCAGCCTCCGGGCCTAGAGATACATTTCTTGAGTGTCTCCCTGGCGGAGAAGAGAACTGGTGTTGATTGAAGTGGGGAGAGTGACTCGCAGAGCCCGGTTGATGATGTGGGTCGGTCGGGTTCATGAGATGAGGAGGCGTAGGGTTGTGGTTCGCTTGCGCCATCATGTTGGCATCGGCAACGGAGAGCTGTTGCTGGTTGTCGCCGCCAAACAGCGGTGTGTATCCCTGTGGCTCGCCTGGCGTCGGCGGGAAGATGGTGAAATCGCCGTCGCCAAAGGTCGGCGCAAGGAGGTTCGCTTGCTGCTGCTGTTGCGAGTGCGATGGGAAGCTGGCCGGGGATGGTGCGCCGAAGGAGGGCTCAGCCTTAACCTCGTCGGCAAAGTTTTGCGTCAGATCGAAGGCCGGGACGGCGGAGGAGCCCGCAAGGCCGGGCTGGGAGTAGGCCTGTGGTGCAAGCTGCTGATTGCTCAGAAAGCCGCCGGTGTTCGCGTCATAGGGCGAGAAGTCGGGCTGGCTCACGCCGAACTGCTGTATGGAAGGGTCGACAAGGCTTACACCGAGACCGATAGATGAGGCTCCGGCTTCATTCGGATTGGGGAAGCGAGCAGGCGACGGCGAGTGCGCATTCCTTATACCACCCCCAGTAGATGCCGCGGCCGAGGGCGACCGCCCACGGGCCTGCGAATTATGTTGTTGGTCCATGGGACGTTGCCGATCCGGTTGATAGTGTATTACGCGGTGCTTCTGTCTTTAGAAGCAACAAGGCAGACTACCAATCCACTTGCGGTTGAATTGTGAATCAGCCTTCCGGAGTGGGCAGTGCACCGTGGCTGTGTTTGCGACGACGACGCGCCTAGGATTCGGCTGCAGCAGGCTGCTTTGCTGGCAGCCCCTCCCCCGTCCAAGGTGCACAAATGGAATGCCGTTGTGCTGGGTGTCACCACAAGGGAAGAGGGCATTCGCAATCCAAGGTCTCGTAGCCGCCGCGCGTATTGCTGACTCTCCCGAAATGTGGTTCCAGGCTGGGGACGATGCTCATGGAGAGGCAGGCGGGCACGGCGGGGCCTGGTCCAGGCCAAGGAAGGGGGGTTTGCCCGCCGGGCGGGGTGGGCCCCACGGCACCAGCGCGAATCATTTTGAGATGAAGTATTCCGTACCTCCGCACTTTTAGAGTTCGGGCGCCGCCCAGGTCAGGTTCATGAAACCAGCAATGAACGATCCTCGTTGTGTCTCACCGTTGGTATCCAGCCAAGAGGATCAACTCATCCCGCAAGGTCTTTGCTGCATGCAAGCATGCAGTTTATTTATTGTTTTACAGCCCCCCTGATCCGGAGACGCAACAGCAAACAACCCTTCGATGCATGGGGCACTTGCTGCAGGTCCGGCAACCTGCTACATTTATTAAGCACTCTGTCTCATTCGCGTGCTCATTCTCGCCCAACCGACTGAGCAGCACAGCTCAGTCAAATCATATGAGCCGCACGACCTTTGGGCAGTTTCACTCTCACCGCAGGAATCTTTTAAAAGCATCCTTGGCGTCGACGGCCTTACACTGTTAGTCGGATTGCCCGAAGTGGGGCGTTCCAGCGTCTCTCGACGATCCAGGAGTCGGGCAATCAGGGCAAAGCTTGTGCCCGGGTTGAGAGTTAACCATCGTGCATAGGTAGGTACTGTGTAGCAGTGTATCGTAGAAGATACCTAGGGCACTCTATGAATCCGGTCGTTGAGTCACTTGATAGGTGGGCTGGAAAGCATGTACGGATAGTCTATTTTCAACAGATGTGGTCCGACGTTGTAGCTCGGCCTATCACACAGGAACCTTTTCCTAAACCAGAGTGGAGGGTATCTCGTCTAATCTTCCTGTAAGCCATCCAACGCCCCCAACCAATGCCAAACCTTACCAGCCCCTGATCCGCGAACGCCGACAATGACAGGGCCAAACAGATGATGCTGTATATGACGCCCCAGCCTTAGAGAAAGATGGTTCACCCGATGACCTCGTCCCGCTCATACCCGGTGCCCTTCAGAGCCGCGCGGGGTTTCTGTTGCTCAGACCCGATCTTATACTCGCTGACGAACGGGTTGGGGTCCTCGACTTGATTCAGATTGCTCAAAGTATGGTTGATGCCACGGTGAACTGCCTCGTCCGCCCTGACATAGAGAATGAGGTCTTTCATGGTTCGCTTCCCCTCGGGCATCCGCCAGTAGGTCACGGCGATCTCGGGGATCTGGAAGTCCGGATTCGACCACTTGGGCAAGTCGCCGTTTTCGATCTCTTTGAGAAGACGGGTGTAGGTGTGAACCGCCTCCTCCTCCAAATAGCCCACAAACCTGTGGGTGATTTTGGGAGAGAGCAGGTAACTGAGAAACATAGCGTTGAAGAAAACGCCTTGTGCCCCGAGGATCATGGTCTTCATGAACCATCCTGGTTCCGCCATCTTGGTGAATACGAGCAGGTGCATCCTCTCGTTGTAGGAATCCTCGAGGAGCGTCTCGATCCAGCCGTTGTCTCTCTTGAGGCGCCTGAGGGAATGGAGATGGCGCACCATGCCACCGACCATTCCCGGCACTCCCGCAATCGACTCCAAGAAAATCACCCTGACGAGCTGCGGATCGGGGTTAGCGAGGTGGCAAGTGAGCAACAATATCAACAGGGGCGAACTCCCTGAACAGGAAGTCTGCTAGAAGCTCTTACCCATTGTGCCTCGGTCAATGGCTTGTGCGCAACCACAGCAGTGGTCGGGTTCTTCATATCAACCTGCTGGTCACGTCCAACGCCCGTGGCAAGGTCAGTCGCCCACCTGTCGTTGAGTGGTGTTATTAGCCTGCTACGTCCTAGGAACTTAGAGTTAGGGTAGCTCTCTCTTACCGAGCCAGACGAACGAGCTTCCAAGCAACCCAGTCGCCCACTGTTCTTGGCGCACGATGTTCCGGAGTAACTGCCAACATCTCCTCCTCCGTATAGCCAGGATGGGGCCATGCCGGGGGAGTTTTGCGTATAAAAGGCGTGTCTTTTTCTGGGAAGATGTCACGCAGCTGCTTGGCGCTTGTCGTGGAGAAGCTTCGTGTGCTGGAAGAGGGGCGATGGTTGTGAGCTATCGCAGCGGCTTCGACTGCTGCTAGGTATCCAAGCCCGACTGTATGGGGTTGGCGGAGGAAGGATGCCGTAACAGCCCGGCCGAGCTTCGCGGCTTGTTGCGGTGAGCTAGAGCATATCCTCTTGCTTGCTCCAAAGGGGATCATGTCGAAGGTATGAACTAGTGGCTTGTTGGAGAGGAGTGGTTATTCTCGCTTTTTATTGGCTTGATGTCTGATGAGTTGCAAACACAAAATCGAAGTCTCTTCGGAATGCGCCTCAGTGGCTTTATATCTCCATTGGAATGATCTATGTACCTTACTTTACAGAATGAAACCGCCGAAGACAGCCGGAGGAAAACCCAGAAATACGGTAATCGAGGGCCTCAGGCCGAGTTCGTCCGGCCATGACAAAATCAGACAAGCGAAAAAACGGACAGGTCTCAATTCTTTTTGGCTATGCGAGGCCCAGGCCAATGGGCTGACACCCCGAATGTGGTGAATCTCTTCCGTGTTGGGCTGTGTCAAGGGCGCGAGGAGTCAGCTGTACTCGGAGCCGGAACTTTTCGGATACGTCCTTGTACCATTGAGGGCATCTCCGGTATTTTCCGCCCAATCCGTTCAAATCCGGTCCCAACGGGGCAGTGTCTTGGCAGGGTTCAAACATGCTTTTGCACCCAAGCACAGTAGACAAGTCTTCGGAACGATATTGATGAACATGATGCAGATCAACGGAGGAGCAGGCAAGGGCGAATTCCGGCACGTGGTGTCATCCACAGCCGGGCAGTTCTCGCAGTTCAATTCTCTCAGGACTCATAATGTTATGAGCTGGCCGGGAATGTCTTGAATTACTTACGTAAGAAGTAGGTAGTCTTCTGAAGGTTGTGAAACCCGCATGTTTCGAAGTCTGTCTGTCCTGATACATGTACAATACATATGAGGGGAGATGGAGAGAAGGTTTATCATGGATGTTCACACCTCGAATTACTGGGAAAGACGCGTGTTGTTGATCGCTTGTGACCGGACTTGCTCATATATGATATGCTTGAGGCTCTCTCAGCTCGTGTTCTTACACGATAATAAGTTAGGTTCATTTCAATGATAGACGGACCGTGTACTAACCGTAAATAGTCCTAAACAAGGGGTTGGAGTGCCTCATTTCTCAGCACTGATTCATTTTTGATTTCTCCCTATGTCTCTAAACTTCCAGGTTCGCCGCTCCAAGTTCGGTGTCCTTCATTCTCTCTTTCTTCATTCGCCATTTCCCCATGTGCTGTGTGCGAACTGCCAACAACCTGCTGTGTGTTTCCGCATCTGGACACACTGGTAACAAGGCCGTTAAGTACGGCGGCGAGGAGCAGAGGGTCGCCACATGATGGATGACGAGGTGAAAGGCCGAGATCCGTTTCGTTCTCACCCTGTCCCCCAGAGCAGAAACGCAACCGACGCAGGGACTCGATGTTGTCCCTTCCATGCGACTCGTTTTGCTGGATTTGGACGGTTTCAGGGTGAGGGGCTTGCGACGATGGTGGGGCGCGTCTGCGTTGGTGATAAAGCCACTGAACCACACCATCATCCATCCAAGACTCCCATTGGACTCCAGAGATTCGGTATTGACCGACCTTATCAGGCCCTTCCTGGCGTCGAGCGCGCAAACCGCCAACTGACTACGGACCCCGCAGTTAGAGAAGCCCAGCTGATCATCGTCTGAGCGCGGGGAAAGATGAAATGCAGGAGCCATATAAGATCTGCAGAGGGTGCTATCTACTGGAGACGCTGGAAGGATTCTCGTCCTGCCCGGAACTTGGGCCGGGGGATCACAAACGGCGCTGTCGTCATCTTGGGTTACAGTCTGTTGTGCTTATCGCCCGATCCTGAGACGCATTTCCAGAATGTAAGTACCCTGTGGCTTGCCCATCCGTCTTCGCCTTCTCTTTGAACTCACATCCTACCAGCTATCCGCCTAGTATTTGAATTGTCGTTGAAGGCAAATTCCATTTAGTACTCAGTACGACGGTGGTACTGGGCCCTTAGGTTGCCAGTTGCGGCTAGGGACTCGAATTTGTTCAATTTTGCTAGGACACCCCACACACAGAGCCCTCTGACATGGAGAGCTCACGGCACGTGGGCGCCATCACCGAGCTCGATTTGAGTGCTTGTCACCCAAATACCCTTGTTGGCAGGATCAATGCGGTGCCTGGTCTGAAAACGAGTGCCGGTAAGTTCTTCCGCAGATTTTGAGATTTTGATTCATTGCCCCTTTCCATTCTGTGTTCAAGTGTGGTGGGATGTAATCCCATTGTTCCCACAACATCCCAAGGTTGGGTGTGAACTTCATCAGCACCAATATCAAGGATACCACTGCGGCCCTGACTGCACTACACTACCTTGCTTGCTTTCTGTTTCAATCTCTTATTACTGTGATATGTTCGCGGAGAAGGGGTGCGGAGCAATCAAGCAACACCACATCCCACCGTTACATCGTAGCAGCCAAGCTCAAGCTTTCAGTGTTGACACTGCTTGGCAGCGTTCTTGACATTCCTTCGCGCGAACCTCGTCCTTACCCATTCGCCAATGTCTTCCAATCTCTCGACGCCCTCTCTCGGGCCGCAACCGCCACAGGATACTCAAGGAATATCCGATAGCGACATCCCCCCACTCTCCCTCGAGATCCTAACCGCCCGCGCCGACAAGGCCGCCGCGTTGAAGCTCATAGCCGACAGCATTGCCCAGCAGCGCCAACAAGCCGCCTACTACCTCGTCTTCCACCCTCTGCCATTCGCCGGCCTTCTCGCCGTGCTAACAGCTATCTACCGGTATGCTTGGGCACGAAACAACCAACATGACCTCGGCACAGCACTGCTGCTGGCGAGCGGCGCCATTATGACCTACCTCCTTGTCATTCGCTACCTGACATCGGGCTATCTGCAAGCGGCCGAGGGGCTCTCCTGGGATTTTCTTACTCCCGGCGGACCGAGTGGGCAGGGCGGACAAGAGGATCTTATCATCGGCACACGCTTCGGGTCCGAGATCATTGGCGCGCTCGTGCTCCGCTTGGAACAGCTGTCTTCGTCGAACAGCAACCACGGCCGACGTAAGTCGCATAGCCGGCAGAACAGCCTCAAGGGCGGCAGGGGCCTCATCCGCGCGTGGACGACAAAACTGCGGTATCGCCGGAGAGGCGTGGGAGGGGATATGCTGCGGGAAGCGGTGCGCGTGACACGCGAGCGGTGCGGGAAGGATGCTGAGGTCGGTTTTGCGAAGGAGCATGCTAACAGCGTGATGGTGCTACCGGAGAGGTTCAACGGAGTATTCAGGAAGAGGGAGATGCAGGCCGCTAAGACCCTGGAGGTCGTGCTATCTACGTGCGACGGGAGAACGAGGTGAATAGGCGCCAAGGCTCGGGCGCTTTTTTTGAAGGTGAATATTATACCCCTGTCGACTATCTAGGCCCCTCTATAAGGACTTGGCTGCCTAAGTTGGCTTCTATTAAGGCTTGTCTTCAAGTTGCGATGCAAATTTCTGCTCACACCACCTTGCTTCCTCAACATGGTCCTTCAAAGTGACCGAGAATGTGCTTTGAGGAACTCTCGGAAAACACCAGCCCAGCTTGTGATGGAATCTCCTTTGTCCATCTCAAGTTTCAGTTTGGATCTAAACAACAGATCCTTGATCATATGGCCCCTTGACGGTTTCCCACCCTAGGTACAGTGCCCTCTTCAATTTCCGCCGAACATCGACCGGCTCGAGATTTCCCAGCCCTCCAGACCGATGCATATTTATACTATATCTTTCCTCCGCGCCCATCATCGTGATAACGACCTTCAAAAAGCGGGACCATGCCTGTGTGAACAATCCTCGGGGTTTGTCCGCCAAATCCGACTTAATCTTCATGAAGACGTGGGAGGTGATTTTGCCTACTCCTTCGAACACTCTCCCCCTGGTTCCCTGCTGTCTCCCTCAAGCATCTTCAGACGATGCCCGCTGCGCGCCCCGATTCCCCAAACCCACCCTCTTCTGGGCCCTCGGGTCGTGGGTTTCAGGGTCAAATCCATAGATGGGCCTGCCGATTCGGCGAAGCGCAAGGATAACCTGAGAGACTGCAGTTAGCATCCCCGGATGCATACTTGAGAGCTAGATAGAAATGTGAAGTCATACGTCGGTGACGGTGACCGTCTTGACGTTCCTGTGCTCCGTGTACGTGACTACGTCTTTCAGGACCTATTGAACTTGGTGTCACAAAGCCAGGGACACATGGACAAATCTTTAGGCGTACCGTCTCGAGGAATCTCTTCAAGACAGAGCGGGTTTCGTCGTAAATATCGCCCGAAATGCGCTTGACACCACCACGGCGAGCTAGACGCCTGTTCTCTTCTCGTCAGCTGCTTGTCCAATTGACTAAAACTACTAGTAGTAATAAGTGAGATAATAAACGCGAGCAGCAACACCAAGGTATTGTACCAGCGGATTGCCAAGGCATCGCAACCATGCAATGGACAGAACAAACAACAAGAGCGATGCTAAAAGTCACTATTGATAAAACTAAAAGAACAATCATGCATCTCGACCTCACGCATTGCATTATTCCGATACGGTCACGACTGAATGAATGCTGCGTACACCGACCGAAGAAGGGAAAACACCGACACGGTGATACCGACCCACCCCAAGCTACCGTACATATACATACCTAATGGCGGGTTTGGTAACACCACGAATGCAGTCTTTGACGATTTTCCTAGGAGTTTTGCAGTATTAGTAAATCTGTCCGCCAGAGGAGCGAAGCATGGGAATTCAACTCACCGATGGCGCTTTGCGCCCGTTTTGTCGATGGTCTTGCCTGCCAGAGCAGGCCGATGCTGGAGCCCGCCGGGGCCCCACACCTGGGGATGGTCGGGGCCATACTACTGACAATTGAGGCGACTTATGTTCTGGTAAAAAAAACAATCCACGTGATGATGGACTTGAACTCGGGGTCGCTTGTCACCGGTGGCTCGGTGATGGTACGTGATGTTGTTGAAAGAAACGGGTTATGAAGTGCAGTGGGGCGAGGAACGAAAGACAGGGTGCCGAAGGTGCGCTTTCTTGATGTTGAAACGGAAACAGTGTACGCTTCCGGGGAAAATATCATTCTCCCTTTTTCTTAACAACATTTCCGTGGGGAAGAACTGAGTGGGCGGGTGTAGAATGGTGAGGCAGTGAGTTCCTGGTTTTGGAAGAGGCACGGTATATGGGGTGGGCGAGGAACAAAAGCATGGTCTGGAAGGTGCACGCGCTTCTAACGTTAGAACACTAAAGGCATCTAAGTGAAGATCAGTCTTACTTCTCTTGCTAATACAGAAGTCCTGTGCTTTCCTGGAAGAACTGAGCCAACTATTGAATCCAATTCCTCGTCGAGTTTCTGGTGTTGAACCTGGAAGGGAGTGGCATGAAGTGAGCGAGGAACAAAAGGCAGGGTGCGAAGGTGCAGTTTTGATCTTCAAAGCATTTAGCACTTCTAGGTTGATTTACCTACCTTGTGTGGGAGCTGCAGTTGAACTTCCGAATGGAAGGATACCACTGAAATGCGCTTGTCAACTGAGGTACCTAAGGTACCTGTTAAGTCCAATGGCACCTCGGGAGTTCCGAGACAGCTGTCACATCGTGGCATAGATTTGTCTCTAGTAAGAACGCTTATATTATAGGGGCTAACTTTGCCCATTGCCTCCAGAGATTACATCGTTTGTTATTCAACGAAGCTTTCCGTATTCCAGAACACCATAACGTTCTTTGCTCCGGTATCGCACATGAACCACTGAGGAAGCTATTGAGTGGTCACTCTATCCGTAACCATCTCTAGAGCCGATCTTACCAACCGCTTCCTGACTAGAGTACCCAAGGCACCCGGGCTAAAGTGAATAGCGGCCTATTCTGAGATGAAGGTGGCTTCGCTGAAGACGACGCCCTGCTCGGTGACCTCCTGGTCGCCGATTTTGAGCTTGAGAGAAAGTTGGGACTTTTGCGGGGAGTACTGGCGCCTGTTAGCTGCAGGATTGAAACACGTCAGAAGGGGGGGGCCAACCTGGTAGATGTAAGGCTTCGTGCCTGCGGCGGCAGCCACAATGTTCTTGACAAAACCAGGAACCTCGGCCATGACATCGATCCTGTCCAATTTATCTTCCAGGCCACCCTCAATCACGGCCTCCACGGGCTTTCCATCCTTAGTCGTGCCAGACCACGTATACCTGATTGTTGTTGGCTCGGGCCAGTCGTTCTCACTGTCACTCTTGGTTTGGATATGGGTGACGTCGCTCTTGCAGCCACCCACGATGATCTCCCCGTCCTTGGCAATAACCCCGACGGCCACCACGGTCGAGCCATACGAAGGCGGTGTCGTGAACTGCATCAGGATGGCCGAGTGAGTGGGGCCTTGGAAGTTGCAAAAATTCCACCTAGCCGCAGCATGATGGGGCTTCATGCCCTGTAGCGCATGGGCAAAGAAGGCCCTACCGTTGAAGTTGATAGGCCCCTCCTTAGTGGTGATGGTTCCCTCAGCGGTGCATCTCGGCCAGAAAAGGTGGCGCATGGAGCCCCATGGGTTGGACAGATCGGTGCCAAATAGCGTCTTGCCAGTTTTGCCCGCCTTGAAACCCGGCGCGGTCCGCTTGACGGTCAGGTTCACGATGGCCTGCTCATCGGTCATCGACTTGATCGTGTATGTGCTTCCGTCCTCGGACAGCTCGACGGCGCAGTCGTCAGCGTAGAAGCTTGTCCTGTCCTCGCTGAACTCGTGGTTGTTCAAGGGTGTCGAGGACCACACGTGAGGCTTGGAGCGGTCGAGGTTGAAGATCTTGCAGTTGAATTGGCAGGTAGTGCGAATGCCGCTAGGCAGGTGTCAGCATGGGCAAGTAGAACCCGGTAACAGCAAAACCATACGCCACGTTGCTATAGATGACCTGGCAAAACGCGAGCTGGCCGTCCTGGGACATGAAGTAGAACGTTTGCGTCTCGACGCAGGTCGACTCCATCACCTCCCATTTTAGGTCGTATTTCGTAAGCTCTGTGTAGGGGGTCGTCTCAGCCTCCTCGGCGACGGACTTGATGGCGGAGGGGCCGTAGATCGGCTCCTGCGTGCCGGCCACATTGGCCAACCTGATGGGAAACAAGTCAGATCATGGGGAGATGGGAAGGTGGGGTTCGAGGTCCCTGAGAACTCAGATCTTACTGCTGCTGTGCCCATTTGAACATGATGTGGATCTTGAAACTAGGCAGATCAAGAAGGTAGACAGATTCCAGAGAGTTGGAGAGCGGAAAAGGGTCGCAACCTAATGCGCAGATGACGGTGGTGTTTTCTCAATTAGGTCTTTCACCGCTGTCGAAGGCCCAGCACCCCTCGATTCGACACCCCGCCAAAGGGGCAAGACGCTAAAACGTTGACACCCCCCCGGGCCCGGGCATGTGTTCGTGGCAACTCTTCCTCCAGCGCCGGGGACCCACTAGTTTAAAAACAAGCATACGTACTGTGTGGTAAATGTGGCTGGGTCCACGATCTCGGCACAGACGCTATGTGGCTGATGCCGCTGGCCAGGAAATTTTTGAGTCTCACGCCTCGACATTTACTCGGCTCCCGGCGACTTTAGCCCGCGACGACCGGGCTCGTCCTACACCAGCTCAGCGCTGCGACTGCTCTTAAGAAGCGTCGTATCTCGACCGGCAATATGTCAAAAGCACGAGCCGCAGCTGGCGGCGTGGATCAGGTCGTTAAGATCATTGTCGGAGCTGGTCAAGCAAGCCCCAGTCCACCAGTTGGGCCGGCGCTCGGTAGCAAGGGCATCAAGTCAATGGACTTCTGCAAGGTTGGGCGACACCAGAGAACAGGACCGGGACCCGTGTTACAGAATGTGCTGATGCATGCGCATAGGAGTTCAATGCCAGAACACAGCACATAATTCCCGGCACCCCGATGCCTGTCCGGGTGACCGTGAGGCCAGACAGGACGTTCCATTTCGAGGTTCGGACACCGCAGACATCGTGGCTTTTACTCAACGCCGCAGAAGCACCGATAGGCAAAAAGGGTCAGAGGAAGGGAGCCAGTAATCCGGGGAAGGAAACTGTGGGAACAGTCAGCCTCAAGCATGTCTACGAAATCGCCAAGATCAAGCAGTCCGAGCTCCGACTTTCCGGCCTCTCCCTTGAAGGGCTCTGCAGGTCTATCATCTACCAGGCGAAATCGATCGGCATTGCGGTTGTTCCCTGACGGAATCGCTGGCATCCAATATGGCTGGGAGGGTACGGCGTTACGGTTGTTTCTGAAGCGGTTCGGCCAGGGAGCATCATCCGAGAATGCGAGGATTAAGAGCTCCTTTCCAGATCTGTACATGTATCTGTACATATATCTGTATCATAACTGTGTCTGGCCGGGACATCTGGCACCCCACCTAGCGTTCGCTTCTGCTCGTCCCTGTTCGATCTACCGATGGTTCTTTTACGTCGGGCCGGATGTTCGGTCTTCTCTCGGGTTGTCTTGCGACGCTCCTGTGTCGAGATAGCTTCCTGGATGTTGCGAACGATTCGCGAACCATGCCGCGAAAGGGTGGTTCGTGCTTATATCGTTGCCGGGCCCGCGGCCCGGTCTTAGGTGGCAGCCGTTACGGCAGGCCGGGGCTTGGCTTGGCGGAGGGTTGCACGATCCGTTGCAGCCGGGATTGTGAGGAGTGCCGAGCCCCCGAGCCTGCATCGTCCACCCGGAATCATGAGGATGAGGCGGATCTCAAATCAGTGTCCGCCCGAGTTGCACGTGTCGGTCTTGCACATTTTGATAACGAGGGAACCACCGGATGCGGTTGCTAACACCACATGCACGATAAGGATACCCATTTTGATCCCGTTTTCGACGTTATCACTCTCGAGGACCAACGGCTAATAAACGGTCTGAGCTCTGAAGAGCCCTTCGTTAGCCAAACGGACGGCGTTTGACTGGACTACTACTAAGTTATGCCAGGTGGTGCCCTACGCGCGAGTCGTACGCTCGCCATAATAACCCAAACACGAAGTCTCGTGAAAAAGCCTATCCGTCAGAAGACTTGGGCCGAGATCCACCTCCAACCGGGGCCAGCCTGGTAACTGCCCACAGCATCGGTGCTGCCGACACAAGGGCGGCCTTGTCTGTCCATGACGAGCCATCGGCAGCTGGTAAGTTGTAACATACCCGCGCCTCCCGCAGAACGACAGAAGGCAAAACAGCCAACATTCGGCCCGCCGCCCGCCAAGTATTATGTACCCGCTAAGCAACTGAGCCCCACCGAGTCGCAAACGGTTTCGTCGACCGCTGCCCAGAACACACCCGTCATTCTCGCCTGGGCTGCTTTTTTCGTTGCTGACTTTGGCTCACCGTCGCCCCTCTCCCTCGCGCAGGCGCAGTATTTACGAACTTGGATATTCGAAGCGTATTGGCGTGTTAAGAAAGATGGCGACCAACACTCAAGAACAGGAGCTCCGTGAAGACGGTATGGAAATCGCTGCCCCTCATCCCCGCGCCAACCGGGTTACGTCCGTCATTTGGCATCGGTCAGCTGGAGAATCGGAGATTTTGATGCTGATGTTGATTGGGCATCTAGACTCTATCCAAAGCGCAGCAAATCCTCGAAACATGCAACAGTCCCAACCGCCGCCTGCAGTACGGTTCAAGTCCACAATTGAAGAGATTCAACCTGACAATGCGACGTCCACAAGCCTACCGCTCTCCGGGGGTGATTCCCTCGGAGACCCCGGAGAAGTGACGCCGGATGAGATTCGCGAGCTCTCTAGGAGGTTGAAGGCATGCCCGCTTCAGGAACGCAGAATGAACATATTCTCGTACGAACCAGTCTCCCTGCCCGCATCAAGGGTACGTATTCCGAGTCTCTATCTCGCCTTTTACCGTGTCTTCCGTGTGCGGTGATGGCGGGTTTGCGGTGCCGAAAAGTGGGATGGGCTTGTCTCTCATTTCCCCCTTTTCCCTGAAGCCCATCTACCTGCTTCGGATGTGGGCAGCACCCTCACCGTAGCCGATGCCGTCCGTCTATCGGATCTCGACTGACTGATCGGAATTTCTAGAGCACATCCCGCGACGATGAGTCTCGAGAGCCCAGCCGCCAACCCACCCGAAGCTCAGGGGGACACGGCTCACCACATCTAAACGCCACGCGGCGAAGCCCCGACATGCATTCACCACCTCTTACCCCAGCGGGCACGGACACCACGGAAGGATGGCCCAGACGAGAACCCACTGGCCATCATGATCGAATGGGGAAAGCTCCCGACATTATCACGCCCCAGGACTCGACACACGAGCCGCCGTCACCTGGCTCAGCCCGCCTGTCGGTCCCTCAGCATATTTCGGCGGATCGCGATCGGGCTTCCCGGAGGCCCGCGACCTCCGACGGGAGAGAGCACACACAGGCGACACTCGGCGGACACCGCAAGGGGTTATTCTCGGTCGGCGCTGGCAGCAGTTCGACCTCGCCAGCCAATTCGGTGCCGCCGTCCCGTGATAGTAGTCCATCGCGGGCGGCAGCTGCTTCCCAATTCTACTCCCGGCAAGCCCCTCCCCCGGGAGAGGCGGATGACCCCTACGCTGCCAGCAAGCGGCAAGCACAGAAGGGCATTGATTCCCGGTTTATCTTTTCTAGGAAGAAGAAGCAGGGGGCTTCGCCTAGTTCGTCGACCCTCAGCCTGCCAAGGGCGCTGGGGGAGAAACGGCAGTCGGACGAAGGCCTTGCTCATAGCAGGAACAGCTCGATGGCGGACTTGAAACGGTTTTTCAAACTGACTCCTAGCGGCAAGGCGAAGCGGACGTCATCGCCAGCCGCCTCCGTCAAGTCTGGCGCCAAGACCGTGTCCAGCTCTAAGTCGGCACAGATACCCTTCGGCGACGACCATGGCCTGTCATCCAAGTACGGAAAGCTGGGGAAAGTGCTAGGAGCGGGTGCGGGAGGGTCCGTGAGGTTGATGAAGCGCGCTGAGGATGGGGTGGTCTTTGCCGTCAAGGAATTCCGACCCCGGCACTCGTACGAAACGGAGCGCGAGTACGTCAAGAAACTGACCGCCGAATATTGCATGGGCTCTTCCCTTCACCATGGCAACATTATCGAAACGCTGGATATTGTTCAGGAGAAGGGAAAGTGGTATGAAGTGATGGAGTACGCCCCGTATGACCTATTTGCCATCGTTATGACGGGCAAAATGTCTCGGGAGGAGATCAGTTGCTGCTTTTTGCAGATTCTGAGCGGCGTGACATACCTCCACAGCATGGGCCTGGCACATCGAGACCTTAAACTCGACAACGTGGTGGTCAGCGAGCACGGGATCATGAAGATCATCGATTTTGGGAGTGCCCACGTCTTCAGGTATCCATTCGAATCCAGCATCGTCCCGGCAACCGGTAAGTTAGCAGGCTTTGCGAGTTACGAATTGTCGAGAGCTAACAGTGACGCAGGTATCGTGGGCTCGGACCCGTACCTTGCACCTGAGGTATACGACGAGAAGAAGTACGATCCGCAGGGTGTGGACATCTGGTCCTTGGCCATCATCTTCTGCTGCATGACGCTCAGGCGGTTTCCCTGGAAGCTTCCCAGACTATCCGACAACTCTTTTAAGCTGTTCGCTGCCGACCCCACGCCAGGCCATGACCCTAAAAAGCTTCTTCATCCGCCCTCCAGCTCTATGACGGCGTTGAGTGAGATCCCGGCGCGGGATTTCGATCCGGAAAGCCTCCGTGATGAAGGCAACAAAGCGGTAAATCGTGATGAGGCGACGCAGACTGAGAGGCCGTCAACGACAGCAACATCCACCGGCCACGACAGAAACACCCAACACTCGACCGCGGAAAAGAAGGAAGTGATCCGCGGTCCGTGGCGTATCCTCAGGCTGCTTCCTAGGGAGAGCAGGTACATCATCGGGCGCATGTTGGAGTTGGACCCGAAGAAGCGCGCGAAGATGAGCGAGATACTGGACGATCCGTGGGTGGCAGATACGGTCATCTGCCGGCAGGAAGGCGGGCGAGTCGTGAATGCTGAGGACCACACACATGTATTAGAGCCGCCTGCGCCGCCGCCTGCTGCTAAGCCTTAGGGGGGCATTGAGCGGCCACAAGCATGAGCAAGCGGGAGAGTGGACGCGGGGTCGGGAAGGTTGCTAGCGAGGTTGGGATTGTAGGATACCAGGTTGTCTGGACAACGAGTTTCAGCCGATTTTGTATTTTCTGGCGTTCAGGGGTCTTGGGAGTCACGTCTGAGAGAAAGCGGGTTGCATATAGACTTGGGATTCATTCCTACATGCAGAGACTCTGCCACCAGAGATTGGGTAACGGGAAGGGGTTTATTAAGTAAATTAGAGCGTAGTCCGTGCATCATTAGAGGATGAGCCCGTACATTGCATTAAATACTACTTCTTTACCGTAGATGGGGTCATATTGGATATACCTTCGCGAAGTTGAGCTTTGTTCGACAGAAACGGCTGAGTTGTGGTCGTTGGCAAGATGAGGATCCAGCACGGGCTTCAACAGAAGCTCAGTGAGATGGAGACATCACGAAGGCACTTTGCCGTAGTAGCTTATAGCTGCCCACCTTGTGTAGCATGCATACTATTACACTCCCCTTGTCCCTTGTTGGACCGATGCCAAAACTTAGATCCTCGGCTGCATTTGGCTCGCTCACTAACACAAGTGACTTAAGTGAATACCATTCGGAAAGAATCGACTGAATACAGATATTGTTTCATCCACCGAATAATCTTCATCGGCACATACTGGACACATGTTGTTGACTGCCAGAATCCACCAAGTTGTACGTTCCGTAACTTCGTGGAGGTCCAATCTACGGAGCACCTCCGCTTATTACGCCGGCGTGTCCGGCTTCGCATCCCCACATTTCGGGTTCTCTCGGCGTGGAGAAACATCCAATCCGATGGCCAATTGGGCCCGGCGGTCCGGGACCCAGTAAAAAACTGGCGACATTCTAGATGATTTTAGAAGCTCCCCGGATCATGATCCGCTTTAGTACCGATTGAAAACGAAGCTCTCCTCCTCCTGCCACACCATTGTTTCTCCGTCTTTCTCCTGCAAGAATCGTTACTTCCTCCGAAGAGTGCAACACTTCGCTGCCCTCAGCAAACATACAATTCCTCACACAATGGTGAGCCGGCTCCTCCTCTTCTTGTTCGGCGAAGCAACACCGGAGGGGCTTCTCGATAGCTTCCTTCCGTGACGAAGAGCTTCAAACCAGGCCCAATGCACACCCGACAGAAGACAGTCATGAACATCTTTACTGACTATATGCTCGACTAGGCCACTACGCTCCGCTCCATCAAGTCCCTCGTCCCTCTGCTGGACCGCGTGCTCGTGCAGCGCATCAAGGCAGAGGCCAAGACGGCGAGCGGCCTCTACCTGCCCGAGTCTAGCGTCAAGGAGCTCAACGAGGCCAAGGTCCTGGCTGTCGGGCCCGGAGCGTTGGACAAGGATGGCAAGCGCATGCCCATGGGCGTGTCGGCGGGCGACAGGGTGCTGATTCCTCAGGTATGAAAGATGGGCGGACGGTTATCCTAGCGCTTTAGTTTGCGAGGTAGGGGATGCTGACAAGAGGCGCCTACAGTACGGCGGCTCGCCCGTCAAGGTTGGCGAGGAGGAGTACCACCTCTTCCGGGACAGCGAGTAAGTCTTGAACGTGCTCTCTGCATGTGAAAAATGCGTCGTGATGGCCTCAGTATTGACTTGGAGTTGTAGGATCCTGGCCAAGATCAACGAGAGCAGCAACTGAAAATGGACAGAAATAAACCCGATACCCACGAAGCAATGAACGTGTACCATATAATGTAAAAATACAACAACCCATGTACGACATCTCCAACGGTGAAATGACTAGCAGCCGCGCGAAGCGGTGTTAATACTGCTGATGGCGCATCTTTCGGACAGGTAGATCAGGTGCTCTTCTGGTGTTGGATCGGTGCGGGATTGAAGAATACACACTCACCTCCCTCCTGTCTGACTTGTTGCTTCTGGTTTCGGCCGCGAAAGGGAATCTCCTTGAATGGCACAAACCCCGCATGTCCTCGAGACTGTCTCACCCGCTGTTCTTCGTGCCGTGTTGTAGTTCGTGACACGAGGGTGAAGGAGGTGGAAGCAGTTGTTGGCACCGCCTCCTTCAAACCAGCTCGCTGGATCATTCCGAGTAGTTGCGGTGTCATCCCATCTGCTCCGTGGGCATCTTGGAGGCTGACAGTTATGAGCATTATCAGGTCATGTTGACCGTCGCAGCTTGTAGCGGCCACTGCAGGGCTATATCGTTCCGCTTTTTCATGTTACACCGCGTGGGCTTGGAGGAATCACTTCACATTGGTTCAACCGTCAGGGTCTCCCGGAAAAGTTGAGAGGACGACTCCTAACGAAGTGTCTCGACATACACCGATGCTAGGTCTGCTGACTTGTCAGATAGGCGCACGAGAAGTGAACCCCTTACCGGCAACCTGCAGGAAAATGTTCGAGATGGCGTCGAACGTCCACGCCGCACTGCCCCTGACTCGCTCCGTAACCGCCTGTCCTCACACTTGCGCCCGAGAAGATGCGTTACATAGGGCTGCAGCGTTGTTTGACCGATGACGTGCATGATTCCCCAGTCACATCGGTCAAGGTTCTGACATACAGGGGTGAATCAGCTCCGGGCGACGACCATCTCAGGCATTTTCTGTTCGACAATCGTACCTACTTGATATGTAGAGAAAAGGCATCATCTCCACTTGAGCAACACGCCGGCATGGTCTCACGTTTCCTTAGCTTTTCTGGGGAAGGTGTCACAGATGACGAGGCTTGAGGGGAACTCCCGTGGAGGATGTCACGGACCGGGGAGTTGAAGAACTCCTGTGGTTCAGTCTTGTGGTTTGTAAGTTTCTGGCCCACCTTTTCCCTTACAACCCCTTTTTCCTTTCTTTTTTACTCTGGATTTGACTTGCTTTTGGCTGTGTTGGTTGGTGATTTTCGTCTGAAAGAGCACCCATCTTGGCCGTTTGTTTACAAGGGAGAACAACGTTGGTTTCAACCCGTGACCCCTTTCATCACTTTGTATTAGGGAATTTTCTTTTTCATCTTTTTTGGGTGTGGGCTACCTGGCCTCTCAAACTGATGGACCTACCTAAGCATCTCGGTTGGAAGCGGATTTCATCTTGTCGATGTGAAATGTGATCATCTTCGCCGTTGCGGTGGTCTCGATCCATCCCACTTCTATGCCATAAATCTCCCATCACCCACTCTGTTCCTCAAGCCAGTTTCCTCCCCCTTCAGTCATTCATTCCTGGCCTCTCTTTGATAGAGAAAGCAAAGTTCTTCACCAGGCCGCTTCTCCGTGTGGACTCGGATTACACCCTCATTCCCATTCTGCATTCGTCCAGGTCCTCATATTGTTGTTGTTTTAGCGGCTGGCACCTGCAGATTTCGACCGAGATGCACCCCTCCATTCTCTTCAAGCTCGGCGTGGTGACGGCCTTCGCCTCGCTGTCGACAGCCCACACTGTTCTCACGACACTCTTCATCGATAATGTAAACCAAGGCGACGGCACCTGCATCCGCATGGCCAAGCAGGGCAGTGTTTCCACCCATCCCATTGCTGGTGGCCTCGAGAGCCCGGATATGGCTTGTGGTATGTACGCCGCTTCGATCGGTTTACATAACCTCTCTCCGAGCTAACATTCTGCTGCTTTAGGCAGGGACGGTGAACAGGCTGTGGCTTTCACTTGTCCAGCCACGGCTGGCTCCAAGTTGACCTTTGAGTTCCGCATGTGGGCTGACGCCTCCCAACCCGGCTCTATCGATCCCTCCCACCTCGGTTCGACTGCCGTATATCTCAAGCCGGTCTCCAATATGAGCACTGATCCAGCTGCCGGCGAGGGCTGGTACAAGATCTACGCCGAAGGCTACGACACAACCGCGGGGAAGTGGTCGACCGAGAAGCTCATCGCCAATAACGGCCTCCTGAGCGTCAACCTGCCCTCGGGGCTGTCCAGCGGATACTATATCGCCCGCAGCGAGCTCGTTACGCTCAACAACGCCACCGACGACTATGTCGACCCGCAATTCTACGTCAACTGCGCGCAGCTCTTCATCCAGGGCGTCTCCGACTCCCCGATAGTCCCCTCAGACAAGCTCGTCTCCATCCCCGGCCACGTGCATCCCACCGACCAAGGCCTGGGCTTCAACATCTGGAAGGACGACCCGATCAAAACCCCCTACGTGGTGGTAGGCCCGGATATCTTCTTTCCCACCGCCGGCACTACCACCACCGCCGCCGCCACCACCAGTATGGAACCGTCCCAGAATCAAACCGACGGCTTCATCCCGGCCAACTGCCTGCTCAAAAACGCAAACTGGTGCGGCGTCGAAGTGCCCGCCTACAGCGACGAAGCCGCCTGCTGGGCCTCGTCCGCCGACTGTTGGGCGCAGCTCGACGCCTGCTACAAATCTGCGCCGCCCACGGGCAGCCGGGGCTGCCGGATCTGGGAAGCCCAGAAGTGCGCCGTCATCCAGGAGGCGTGTGGCGCGGGCCAGTGGCGGCAAGGGGAAGGAGAAGGAGGAGGCCCGCCCAACGCCGGGCAGAAGTTTGTGGATGTCGACGTGGACCAGCCCGTGCCGGGGGGCGTGATCCCCCCCGCGACGAATGCGGACGGTGCAGCGATGGGCTCTACTTCAACCTCGACGGCTGCTGGTGCGGGTAAGACCAGTTCGTCGAGCCGGAAGCGCCGTCGTCTTCGTGAACGCCGGCCGAGACGGAACTTGAGCGGTCACTAGAAGAACTTCAGAATCGTGGAAACCCTATTTGAGTGATCAGGAATCGGTGTTCTTTCACTTCTTGCGAGGCTTGTCCTTGACCTTGTTTTCACTTCTTTGGAGCCCAGGATTGTTACCCCCACCCATCTGTGCTGCAAACAGTTGAGTGCTCGCTCCTACGCCTCGAGAGCATGGTACGGAGCATGTATATTACCTTGACATCACAGTCAACGTGGTATGGAATGTCTTTGACGAGGATAGCGAGATTTGCCTTGGGATGTTCCTTGGCGCTGATGACTTATCTGTCTGAATGTCGCTCTGGGAAGCAGTAGGAAAGTAAAAATTACAACTGTATTAGTACATGTACTGTGCTATATCAAACAGCGCTATTGTAGCCTCGTAGTGAAGCAATCTGGCCGGGTCCGCACCAGTTGGCTGAATAGTTGGTCGAGCCGAACCAATTTCTCGGCGAAGGCAAAGTTACCTAGGGTAGTGCCGGGTAGATACTCGCTTCTCCATACCCACACAACTCCCTCTCACAACACGCACGCCGCATCCGCTGCAGTTTCCCGATGGTATACCGCAGAATCAAGCAAGCAACTTTAGTATATCCCCCATTCGCGTCTCCTTGGCCTTCTTATGCGTCTTCTGCTTCTCCTGGAAAGCCTTGTTGACGAGCTCTCTCTTCTCCGCCTGGATATCGAGCACACGCTCCTCGATCGTTCCCTCCATGACCAACCGCCACACCGTCGTGGGCCTGGTCTGGCCCAGCCGGTGGACGCGATCGACAGCTTGGTCTTCGATGGCCGGCGCCCACCAACTGTCGGCGAGGACGACCGTGTCCGCCGAGACGAGGTTCAAGCCGACGCTGCACACGCTCAGACTGGCCAGCATGATGCGGGTTGCCGGGTCGCGGTCAAGTTGTTTGAGAGCAGCATCACGCTGCGCCGTGTTCATGCTGCCGTCGATGCGAGTGTACCCATACCGCGCTTCATCCAGCTGGCGTTGGATGACCGTCAAGAAGGAAGTCCATTGAGAGAAAATGATCACCTTCGAACCCTCGTTCTTCAGAGTAGCCTGCAGGATTTTGAGCAGCGCTTCCGTCTTGGAGCTCTTTGTCTCTCGGTCAAGGCCGTCCTCCTCTTCCTTCGCCGAGTGCTCCGGTGCCGGCTCCACGAGCTTGTCCTCGGAGAGCTCTGCCCGGCACATGGGGCACTTGTGCTGTATATCAACCACCTTGGAGATGCATGCGCGGCAAAAAAAGTGCTTGCAGTGAGTTATGACCGGATCGGTCAAGGGCTCGATGCAGACAGGGCACTCCTCTTGGCTTTCTATGACAAGCTGAAGGGCCTTCTGCAGCAGGGCGCGGTTCTCAGCATTGAGCGGCACGACGTCTTGTTCCTCAAGGACCTTGAGCAGATCGGTAATGCGCTCTTTGCACAGAGTCCAGTGATTGCAACTGCTTTGGTCAGCCCGCTGATGTATCATACTGGAGGGGGTACGCACGTCTGGCGTAGACGGAGAAGCCTCTCGAGAACGCCCTGGAATCTGCCCTTCTGGCCCAGGCTCGATTTGCTCTGGTATTCTTGCAGAGCGCCTTGGGCTTCGGAACTGCGAGAAGTTAGTGGCTGCTATTGCGCCTAGGTGGTGCGCTACTTACAGCAAAGCTTCGTATTTCTTCTTCTCGTCCTCCCAGAAGGTAATCCGGTGGATGTATTCAGTCTTGGGCGGGAGTTTGAGATCAACGAACTTCATATCCTTCCTGCGACGGAGGCAGAGGTCCCTCATGAGCGACTGCAACAAGGTCTCGGCACGTGTATCCCCGAATGCCAGTGGTCTGGCAAGAACAGTGTTAAACACGTCGGACTGTTCGATGCCGCCGGTTATTCGAAGGAATTTGATAAGGGCGTGAAGGTCTTTGATGTTGTTGACGCTGAAAAACATGTACGTCAGCCGAACTCAAGACCGGGTGGATGTAGACTTACATTGGTGTCCCGGTCAGCACCCATCTTGACTGCGCCTTCAGCTTGCAAGCCGCCTCGGCTGCTTTGGTCTTCGCGTTGCGAATTGTGTGGCCTTCGTCCAAGACGACCCTGCGCCAGTCAACTTCGCACAGGGGCCCGCCGCTTGCGGCCTCGCTGCTCAAAGTGCCGTAGCTTGTGATGACAACACCGGAATCCTGCAGCGACTTGGCGGGCATCTGCCGAGCAGCTCCGTGGTAAATCAGAACGCCGGGCATGTGCTCCTCGAACACGTGCCGCTTGATCTGTTGTTCCCAATTGCTCATCACGCCAACGGGAGCAACGATGAGGGTGCTTCCTGTACCGCCAGTCATGATCAGACTGATAATCTGGAGCGTCTTGCCGAGGCCCATGTCGTCTGCCAGAATGCCGCCAGAAAGGAGGCTAGGAGGCGACGTAACAGTAAAGTTGGTGGCGATGTTGGCGTATCGACCCTTGGCATCACGTCTCCAGAGCTGCACAGACTCTTGAGATCCGGGTTCTGGAAAGACGGGGTTCTCTTTGGCCATGAGCCAAGCGAGTCCCTGGAGTTGATAGGGCAGAAGCTTCGCTCGCACCGAATCGGGTTGCTTTGCTTCGGGCATCTTGGAGAGCTGCTCTTCATCCAGGGCTAGTGTCTGGACAATATCCGCAGCAGCGCGGAAGTTGACAGCCTGGCTGGTTTGGGCAAGCTGCTCCAGAGAGACCTCTTCCTTCTCATCGACGGCAAAGCCGGCAGTTGACCTGCCCGCCTTCAAGCCCATGTTCTTCCGCACCTGCTCAGTCTCCTTCCGGGTCTGCTTGAGCTGCGAGGCCCTAACAAGCTTGTCTCTCTTCAGACGCTCTTCAAGGTCAGTCCGACCAAGGGGATTACCGGTCCCAAAAATAGATAGGCGAATCGGACAATCATAGAATCCTTTCTCGCCGGTAAGCATCGCCTCAACGGCGATTTCATTGCGGTCCTGGCATGTGTGAGCATCCCGGTCGCCGGGCCAGTCTGGTGCCTGGTACATACCATGTAAGGGGCGAGTTTCGCGGCTACCGTTCTTGGGATGTGCCCGATTTGGTGTCCAAGTACATTGTCCACACGGATGGCATTGGAATCGTACTGTGAAGTTTTCAGGTCAGTTCAGTCCAGTTGGCGCTCACAGGGCAGGAGTCCGTCCATCTTACCGGATTTGAGGGTTCCCTTCTGCAGACAACCACCTCGCCAGCGGTAGCCATGCCATTGTAGTATCTTACACCAACGACCTTGGCGTCTGTTCATCGTCAGCCTTGACATATCACCCACGTGGATCAGATGCATACCAAGCGAGCCATACAGCTCTAACTGCGGGCCGTCATCCCTCTGCGTAAGTTCCTGCGTCGACGGCTCGAAACCGTCGTTGGAGGGGTTCTGCCATGACATCCGGTCCGCGGCATTGTACGATGAGGGCCCCGCTGCTGAACTGGAAGGGACACGCAAGGAGGCAGTGGAAGACGGCTTACTGGGCCCCAGTACAGAAAGCTGCGCGTTGGATGAGGAGGGAGGGTAGCGAGGTGACTTGGCAGGGCGTGTGGTCTGGGTCTCCTCGGACCCGGTCAAGTCCACAACTTCACGGGTCCTTTTGGTCCCAGCAGCCTGGCGCGGTGGCATGGTGGGTCAACTGGCGCCGGGGTCTTACAGGACAAATAACGAACAGGGTGTATTCGGATGACTGCGAAGAGGCGTTGCCCAGCAGTAATGCGCAAGTCTGACAAATAGAGCGAGCATGCAGAGCGGTCTAAATTTTATTGACTCGGAGAGGAAAGGGGATTTCCGAGTTCGTATGGTTCAAAAGGTGCAGAAAATGAGACTACTAGTAGGTACCTACTCGGGGGCCGTGCAAAGCCCGCCAAGACCAATGAATAATACGGAAGTGGCGACCCTTTGTCCACGAAAGTGCTGCGTGGCCACGTGACGGTGTAACCCTGGCCCTGTCAATTGCTTTTTGATTCATTAAGATTCAGTTCTCACATTAACTGACTGTAGACCCGGACTGTTACTTGTATAAATACCCTCATTATTGCGAATATTTCTGAGAACGAGAATTGATTCCATTAAAACTGAGCATTCGCGATCTTACTAAACATAGAAATGAGATATTGCATGTTTCCAGGTTCCCATTACCGTTTCCACCCCAGATTTTAAAAAATCCCAATGCCTCTGCTCTGTCACGTTCAGTTTCTCAACCACCAAGCACGCCACCAAGCAGCCCACCACCCTTCTTCTTACCACCACCGCCCGTCAAGCTCTTGGTGACCGACCCAAGACCCAAGCCCTCGAGCACACGGTTCAGCCCCAGCGTGCCGAGCAAGCCATCGATGATGCCGCCCAGTCCCAGTCCACTCAGCTAAACAAGGTGTCAGCATCGTCGCAAAAGAAATACACGCAAGTGACGGGAGGCTTACCAATCTGCCCACAAGATTGAGGACACCGGCGAGAAGCAAACCAACAGCGGCCAGGATCTGGAAAAGTGGCTCGCTCAACAGGCCCCAGAGCGGGTTAAGCTCCTTCTTCACGTGAGGCATGTCCTCGAGCTTCTTCTTGGCGTTTTCGATGCACTGCGTCACCTCACCGGTGAGCTCCTTGAGCTTGTCAGCGAGATGGTACTCCTCAGGACTGGCCTCGCGGGCAGCTGTCTTGTGTTTGGCGTTGGCAGCGATTCTGCCGTCAGGGTCGAGACCCTTGATGGCGCCCTTGGCTTCGCTGAGGATGCGGCCTCCCTCTTCGATCAACGGCTTGACTTCCCTCACGACCGCTTCCTCGTCACGCTCGTCTTCGGGGGTGCGCTCGGCCTTGTCGATTTTCTGCGCTGCGTTAGTGATGTCTGGCGTTGGATCGGGACCTCGCGAACAATACTAACCTCGGTGATCAACTTGCAAATGGGCCGGATGCTCTCGAGGCACTGCTCGATGACAATGGACATCTGCTTGGCCAGCTTCTTGTCTTCCTCGGCCTGCTCACGCTTCTTCTTCTCCTCCGGTGATTCCTCTTCTGCCTTGGGGATGTACTCGAGCAGAGTACAGTGGCCGATGGTGTTCCCCTTGTAGTCGACAACGTCACCGTCGTCATCGATCTCCTTACCAGCGCAGATGGTCAGGTCGCCAGAAGTGAGCTTGCCAATGATGTTGCCGCTCTCATCAACAACATTACCCTCCCGGTTAACTTTGCGCCCTGTCATAGGGTTCTTCTCGCGTTCCACCTTCTCCGGCTCCCAGCGCTCGGCCTTGCCGACGACGTTGCCGTTCTTGTCGAGAATGTCACCGTCCTCGTCGACCGGTCGTCCGAATAGCATCTTGGGGTCTCCGCTGGTGAGCCTGCCGACGATATCCCCGGCCGGAGTGACGATGGTGCCGTCTTTGGCAACAGTACAACCCTGCAGCTCCGCGAACGGACCCTCCTTCAGGCCCTCACGCTCGCCCTCCGGGACAAGCTCAGCCTTGCCGAGGATGTCGCCACTCTCGCTGAGGATGTTGCCGTTCTTGTCGCACATGCGGCCGATCATCCTCTTCACATCGCCCTCCACAACCCGGCCGAAGATGGTGCCGCTGCTATCAACCAGATTCCCGGCCTTGTTGACACGCTTTCCCGCCAGAATCGACTTGTCCACCTCCGGCTCGGGCTCGGGCTCGGGCTCCGGTTCAGGCTCCCACCGTTCAGCCTTCCCGATCACATTGCCGATCTTGTCCAGGATGTCGCCATCGGGGTCCACCTTTGCGCCTTTCAGTTTGTTGAAGTCTCCTTCAATGACCCTTCCCACGATATCCTCGCCCGACAGCACGAGCCCGTCCTTGCCGACCACCGCATCGGGGAAGTTCTCAAAGGGTGACGGGGCCCGGCGCATGGCCTCGAGTTCGTCTTCGGGGATGGGCTCGGCCTTGCCGACAATCTTGCCCTGCTTGTTGAAGATGTTACCATTTTCGTCGACCCCTTTGCCGACGAGGTCCTTAATCTTGCCCTCGACGACGCGGCCGATGATCTGGCCGTCTTCGTCGATAACGTTACCGCCTTTGTTGACGGTGCCGTTCTTGAGGATCGAGTAGTCGAGCTGCGGCTTTTCGGGCTCGGCTTGCGCTTCCTCTGCAGGTGCTTCAGCTTCCTCCGTGGCGGGCTCTTGGCCCTCAAGGCCGGCTTGCTCCTTGGTCTCGGACTCCGCCTTCCCCTGCTCGGCGGGAAGGTCCTCGGCCTTTTCCGAGGCAGCAACGACATTCTCTTGCTCGGCAGGGATGCCTTCAGCCTTGTCCGACGCAGCTGTCACCTCCCCTTGTTCGGCAGGAATGTCTTCGGCCTTTTCCGAAGTAGTTTCAGCTACTTGTTCCGCAGCGACGTCTCCAGCCTTGTCCGAGGCAGCTGTTACCTGCTCTTGCTCGGCGGGGACGTCTTCAGCCTTTTCCGAGGTAGCTGCAAGCTTCTCGGCCTCAGGTACGGTCTCCGGTTCGGCATTCTCCAGCATCTCAGCCGGAGCCACGCCGCTTTTCTCTGAGGGGCCAAGTTTGGTCGCCGGTTCCTCCTCTTGAGGCTGAGGAGACAGGTCGTCCCTGGCTTCCTGGAGGAAGGAGTCCCGAGCCTCGTCGGTGGGCTGGTTCGCAGATGCTCGGTCGAACGCGGTCTTCGCCTTTTCGGTAAGTGACAGATATTCTCCCGGCATCTTGGTCTCCCGCTCCTCCCCTGCTTTCTCGCCCTCCTGTTGGGGTTGTTGCTCCGTATTAGGAGCATCTGGAAGCTTAGCCTGCTCCTTTTCTTCAGCAGGCTCCGGCGCAACACCCTTCGTCTCAATGGTCTTTTCCTCCTGCTCATGGAGAGCTGGAGCGCTTTCGTCCTTCATCTCAATGGGCTGCCCCTCCTTCTTCCCCTGGCTCTTAGCCAGCGGATTCTGGTAAGTGTACTCGCCGCTCTGTGAATCCTTCACCGAGCTCGCCGTGTCGTCCCGACCATAGCCCTGGTGCTCGGGCACCACCGGCATCGACCGGGGGGTCGCGCTCACTCGCTCAGGCGCGGGCTCGCCGGATTCGCCCTTGTTACATGGCCACGATCCCGGCGGGGTGCTCTTGTGGGCGACGTTGCTCATTGTGTGGAGTGCGGAGTGGATGCTCGTAAGTTGTAGATTCCAATCAAAGGCAAAAATAAAGTACAGTGCTTGTTTAGACTATCGTTGGATCTTGGGATGAATGCAATGCTACCTGTAGATCTTGGTTCTAGACTACAAATGCTGCTTCCACTGTGGCAGCTTTTAAGAACTTCCATGCCCCGGGACAGGCGCACACATACTCTCAGACGTCATCCCTGAGCAACTACGTCAGGGGGAGAGAAGGTGTGGTTGAAGCGCTAGCCATAGTCATCGAAATCATCGAAGGCTTTATTGAGAGTTTCGCCACAACTGGCCTGATATGACTTCATCCCTCCCGTCTCCAAGAGAATAAGCGAGGTTCTCTTGCATGAATTATCCGGATCTCGGCGTTACACGAGGTGGGAGGGATCATAAGCCTTTTTCTCTAGCTGCCCACTGCTGCCTCAACAAGGGAAGTGGAGGTGGTGAATAGGCGGCCGGCCTTAGAGTCCGGAAAAAGCAAACACCCGAGTGAAAGTTCCCGGAGAAGAGGGCGCATAATGCGGGAGGTGGCTCGGTGGGTGAGACCCCACCCGACATGTCTTTCGATCATGGGACGGCCCAGCCATGCCAGCGATGCGGAAGGCTCTGTGTGCTGGACTCAAAGGTGAAACGTCATATTACATGACGGGGGCGCCAAGTGGCTTGCGTGTGCCATCCTCCGGAGCAGTTGAAAACCTGCTTTGAACGACAGGATAGGTACGGTAGGTATGCATATCCCGCGGGTTGGCTTGATTGACACACTGCATCCTCTTCACTCATGCGCCTCGCCCGTCTTTGTTGGATGAGTCTAACTCTAGGGGGTCTCTGCTTGATTCCATCCCCAAAGACTTCTGCCAATGTGGCTTCAAGATTATTGAGTGAGGTACACACATTGTCACCCCTATGTATGAAGTTACAAGTATCCCTTCGAGTTGCTAACATATCCAATCGTCCAGTGTCATCCGCAACAGGTTCTACTGTCATTAGACCTCCGTTTTACGCCTCCGTCATTTATCCTCCTTTCCCCGAAGTTATCACGAAAACGAGATATGTGGTGTGGATTGCTGGCCGTTAAACGTGGTCGGGATCCTGATGGTAAGCTGGATGCCCTCCCTCGTCGACTTAACATCCAGGAAGATATCGGACGGGCTCTCGTTCGGGTTCTCTTTTCTCCACGCTTCAGCGTTTTGCCTCCTCTCCTCTTCTGTTCTCCTCGGCCGCTGCTGGCCATGTGGAGGTGCTGATTGGGACTGCTCCTGCTGCTGTTGGGGATGTGCTGCGGTCGCAGGCGGGGGCTGCTTCTCCGGATCGTCCTTGGGAAGGGCTTCCATCCGTTCACGGGCTTCTCTCTCCTCCTTCTCCCTGCGGTGGAGCGGGTTGTTCTTGTCAAGAAACTTCCCGACAACGTTGCCGCTCGGGTCAAGAATGTTTCCCAGGTGGTCGACCATCAGGGAACTTCTTGCGCGACCCATTACATCAAACAAACTGCGCGGCGACGCTGTTGGTGGCGGACGAGCCAATCCCCACTCGATGTCGGCGACATAACCCAGAAGTTCCCCATTGTCTCCCAGAATGTCGCCCTGAGCATTAGATATCCTTCGCCCAACCATTGAGGGCAGATCACCCGCAGTGCGAGCTAGGACCTGCCCGGAGTTCTCGTCTACAATGTCGCCATCCTCGTTAACCACCTTCCCAACGAGGAGGGAGCCTATCAGACGGGGGAGAAATGGCCGGTCCGTCGCGGATATTTCTATTCCAGGGGAAACATGTGGAATGCTGCCGATCTTTGGAATAGGTGCAACATAGGCAGGGCTGCGTGAGCGGTCCGGCGTGTCATGCTGCTGAGCGTCGTCTTCTTGCCCGGGAACGTTGTCGCCGCCCTTTTGGTCCTCCTGCTCAATGTCGACAATGCCATCTTGTTCTGTCTGATCTCGTGTGTCAGGCGACTGTGAGCGACGCTCTGACATAGCTGCCATAACCCCTTGATGGCTTCCCGGTCCTTGTCGAGTTACTTCCCCACGTAAATAGCTGAAATGGCAGAGCTTGGCTTTTAGGGAATTATGGCCTTTGGGGAACTACAGAGGGAGTATTGTTGGCTATATGGGATAAACTCCATTTAAGTGTGCACCCTAAAGCCCAGGGGTAAGCGCAAAGCTCAGGCAGTCAGTCGTCTTCGGATGTGAACGTGCGACGCGATTTTCTGTGAACTAGAGTGAGAACTAGGATGACGTCATAGGGGTAACGGCCTTCCCCGCGCAGAAAAACCAGTGGGGGGCCAGTGTGACGTCAACGGTCTAGGCCTTGTGTGGGGCGGCCGAGATCCTGCCGAGCACGGGTCCAAAGGTAAATCCAAATCCACCTCCGAATTCTGAAGGGGCTGTCTCGAGGCGGTTCAGCTTCCCTACGAGCGAGTACCTAATTACTTATACAATGATTTTTGGTTGCTTGGTTGCTCACTTTTACGACGGACTGCTCTCCACATGCACGTGTATATGGGAAGTGCCATTCAATATGTCCCTTGGGCCTTGACATGTTGGAGCCGTTGCGTTGATGCCAAGTCCCACAGGCTATAGTGTTGCGAACTTGCGAGAACATACAGGACGCCATATAACTCGATTTATGTAGTGGTAGGCAGAGTTCAGACCTTCAAAGATTTGACTCGAATATATTAAAACATAGTAGTGAAACAACATGAGTACCTGACCTAAACACCAATTCCCATAACATGCCCGTGTACGTTGGGAAAGGAAACATGCAAGTAGGCCGCCTCCTAGACCGGTTTGGCGACGTCGAGGGATACAGCGAGCCCTTTGGGACTCACAAAGCGGGCTTAATCAGTTGCTTCAGTTCCTAAGCAATTAGCCGCTATACCCATTCGCGGTCCGCAAGCATCATCCGCCACTGGCAACAAAGTGTATCGCCTGCCCAAACAGGAACGGAACGATGCGGAAACCAATGTACATCCAGAGAGCTGAGAATATTGCTCAGGTTTCTCTGCATCGAGCTTTAGCCTAGGCAAGCAACATGATGGGGCTATAGAAAAGAGTAGGGCAAGGGGAAGAGAGGTGCGCAGTACTTTGGGTCTGAAAATTGCAAGGACTAGAAGAAAAGAGGATGGTTGCCACATACAAGAGAGCAAGCTCCAGATCACCATGGATCTTCGCCTTGAGGGTGATCTCGACATCGAGGTTGAGATCCAACCTAAGCCTGAGGGTATCGCTCTTGCCGCCACCTTTTTGTTGGTTATCAACGGCGTTGCCCGCCACGTTGCCCAGCGCACCGGTCGCCGTGTTGACGAGGCCGCCTGCTGTGTTCTGAACATTGCCGAGCGCGAGGTTGTCAAGCGGGCCCTGGGCGCCTCTCTGTTGGCGCTGGCCGCGCCTCTTCTGACGGGGCTGGTAGTCCTCCGACTCTTCGCCTTCGGACTCGTACGTCTGGGTTTGCTGACGACGGGGCTTCTTCTCTTCAGATCCGCTTCGGGAAGCCATGGTTGCTGCTGAGAAGGGGTTGTTGTCAGGAGGAAATATAGGGTAAAGAATGGAGCGAATCTGTGACTGCGATCTCGGGATGCTGTAGATTACAGTAGATCGATCTTAATGTTGCAGTGTAAGGAGATGAGTTTGAAGGGGTCCTGCGGCAGCTAATAAATGCAACGTCTCAGCCTTCCAGTGGCCAAAAACCGGATCGAAAGACATTGTCTTCGGGTGTAGGCACCAAGAAGACGATGAAGTCATCGGACCCTCAGAACCCTCAAAGACAAGGCCCTCGCTTACAATTTCCTCCAATGAAAGCTCACTATGGCCTCGGGGTACACACAGCAACTGTATCTGAAGCGTATAGATCAAAAGAACCACTGTTCGAAAACTTGCAAGGCGAGGGAACTCGGACCCAGCTCGCATAACGTCAGTCCACTGATCTTACACGGTTTCCAACTTCATCCGTTCGCCCCTTTGACGTATCGACTTTCCATCCCGAGTTGCATCTTCCTGTGAAGCATGACGGGCACCCATTTCTTCGGACGTGGTGTGAAGTCCGCCACCCCCTCCGTTTCCACCGTTTCAGGCTCCGTTTCCGTTTCCGTGCCGCTTACTTCTTCAGCGACCCCATTCTTGCTGAACCGGCCATCAGCATCCCACGCAATTGCCCACTTCTTGTCCTCCGTCTGAACAGCCGCAAACCGGGTCGCATCGCCCTCCAACGTCAACCACTGCTCGTCATCGCTCCAGTACCATGGCCCGATGGTGTGGCCGCCCAGGGTGTCCTGCCGGCCTCCATGGCGCACCATCTTGGTGTCCTTGTCCACAAAGATCCAGTTGAGCATGGGCGGGTCGTCGGCGATTGTGCTGACAAGTCCCATGTGCTTGGCCTCGGACGGGTATGTGAAATAGTAGCCGGTGAACTTGTGGCCAGGCATTGGGAACGCGGGGTGGTCGATCCAAAGCTTCGCGGGACCGGGGCACGTCAGTTTCGGGTCACCTCAGCCCCCATGTCCTTGCAGCGCTCACTCACCTTCCCATCTTTCAAGATGCACCAGCACTCGACTGGGTCCCTTCCATCAAGCGAAACAGTAACGGTCAGGTGGAATTTTGCCTTTTCCTTGGCCGATGCATTCGCCTTCTTCTGCGCGCTCAACGCCTCGCAAACACCTATGGTCGTCGGTATGCCCGCAATCAATAGCAGGCCGATGGGCATGGTCTATTTGACGAGATTGGCGACTGTGTAGCTCTATCGTCGGACCACAAGCGAACCGTACTAGTAGCACCCCAAACTAGGTGATCTGCTGGCTGTGTAAGGTATGTACAGTATGACTTCCAGACAGAGGTTGCTCTTGATTGAAGGACTCTGCCGCGATATCAGGCTTGCTTTTGTTGCGTGGCGGCGCCTTCACGATTCTGGACAATGTCATATGGGTCATTCAACTTGACTATTCCGGGCACATTTTACGACAGTACAGTACTGGACATACACAGTACCAGCGGAATTTGCTCCGCTGGGAAGCTGTTCATGCAGGGCTGACGTCATAGATGTGGCGGGTAAGGTGTGCAGCAGAGGGCCCCAGATTCCGTTCCCTGGCTGAAACGGTGTATGAGAGCCTGATCTGGCAGGGCGGTCGGACCCCGAAATCATGTTCTGTGATGCAATAAATGCGCAGAGGCTCATCCGTATCTTGGTTCGTGTCTTCGTCTTAAATACCACCTACAGTGACCTTTTGAGCACCTGGATTGTCCCAATCTTTCAAAGAATACTACCATCCCATGGCAAAGAGAAGGTCCGGAAAGCGGAAATCCACAAACATGGCATCGGTAAGAGCTCCAACTGCAAGTGGGAGTGAATACAGTGGAATATGTATGACTGACGACAGACAGACACCGAAAGTAGAGAACCAGCAGCTCCCTAAGCAGGAGGAGGATGCACAGCAAGCTGGGCCGTCCAACCAGTATGAGCAATCACAACACCACGCCACTGCCGACGACGATGATGGCGTGGAAAATGATCAGCAGCATATTGAAGCGGAAGACGGCCAGCAGAATGATCGGGTTGACCAGGACCGGCAGCCCGATGGCGAGGAAGTGAAGCAAGTACCGCACGAGGATGATGCGGAAGAAGACGAGGAAGAAGACGACGCCGACGAAGCCTACCCGGCTCCTGCACGGCAACAGCAAGACAAGGAAGAAGAGGACAGCCCGGCACTGTCTCAGCCGCCCACTCCCAAGGACGACGAGAAACCACAACCGAAGTGGGCGCAAGAGCGCGCTCAGCAGAACCAGACCCAGGACAAACAGCTGGAGCGCCGCCGTCCTCGCCGCCGTCGCCAGCCCCGCTATTACTCAGATGATGACGAGGAAGACGACCAAGACTACGACAACCAGCTTGCCCCTCGCCAGCAGCAACAGCAGCAGCAGGTGCAACAGCCACAGCAGGATGGCGGCGGTGGCAAGAACCCGCTGAGGCTGAGGCTGGATCTGAACCTAGAGGTCGAGATCGAACTGAAGGCACATATCCACGGTGACCTGACACTAGCTCTACTGTACGTGATCCTCCCTCTCATCTGCCCTTTCTCTGCCCAATTACCTTCCCTCCTTTTTTCTTCTGATCTCGCTGCCCTCGCTACCCAGCCGGCCTGGACTACTTTCCCAGGTACCGGTGTTTGCGAGGTGCAAACAGTCATCCTCTCTGATCCATGCGCTCGTTCTGGCTCCTTTAGTCAGGGAGGTCTCTGAATGGAAGCTTATATTTCTAGCCAATGATACAGCAACTAGGAAGTTGAGGATGGGTCAGCTAACCATCGCGTTTTCTGCTTGCCGCTTTTCAGGGACGGAATGTAAATCAGTGTTTCGTTGCTTTCTTGCGCTCCGCACCGACCACAAACACCGATTCGGCGCGTGGGCTTGGGATCTGGTTCGCGGCGCTTGTAGTGGACACCGGTTTCCCCATATGTGCACAAGCATTTCCTGCTCTATGGTACTGTTATAAAACAACATCATGTACGCGCGGATGACAGAGAGTTGGAGAGAGTACAGGCATTCGAATTATGCGGTTTTCGTACGGGGGAGGGTATTAATGGTTCACACCTGTACACACTTATTTCTTTTGTTATGTTGGATCGAGTATATGCTGTTTTGTAATCTGCAAGGTTTTTGGGAGGGGCTGGAGAAGCTATGTCTTTGTCTTGTGGCGTACCCGGATTGTAGTGTCGTCGGTTGTCAAGATTGTTATAATGAGTGGCTCATTTCGCCTCACATAAGTCTTCTCAAGGGTGATATGTATTGTATAGCCTTATAGAGTACAATGAGGTGTTTACAAGCGTAGCGGCTAAGTTGCCCTAAGCATGTGTTGGAAAAGCAAGAGCCACGATTCAACGAGAGGATGGTGTGATAAGCAGGCAAGTGATCAAATCGAGTGAACAATTCGCCCTACCTGACTACTAGTACTAGGCGGTCTACCTTTATGACTGGATTGGTCTTGTGCGTTTTCAAGTTATCTCCCGTTATTACAGTGTGTCACTAGCCGATCAGAGTTGCTGTATGAACTCAAGTTAAACCTTGACCTTCTACAGCATAAACCTTATACATGCAGGCCGCTTGTCACTGAGGCACCTCTAACACAAAACGCGTACCGATGTCGCTTAACTGAGCTTGGAAGGAAGTAAGGAGAGATAACCGACTTGACGAGGGTCAATATCCGAAGTGAAACGAGGATGGTTTGATAGTAGCCTTATAAGGTTGATCCGCTCAGCCAGTTGTATAGACCCCTCGTCTTTGGGGATTTTGCCGTCAGAAGCATCATACCATCCCTACGACTAACCATTCCTTGGCGCCACCTACAGAGAGGCCTCGGACTCAGATTCAGAGGAATGACAACTACACCCCGACCCCTATGATCTATCCCCTGCCTAGTAGCAGCCAACCACTCCTGCAAGTGGAACGCCTACGGAGGCTCTCAGACCGACTAGGACGGGCGGTGCTGAACAAGCGCAAGTCTGAGCCCAGGGACAAAAGGCTTAAGTGTAAGAAGGAGTCGGATCACACATGGAAGGAGGAGTGTTGGCTGAGGTATAGAGTGTTTACACCCATTACTGGGGGCTGGCTAGGGACCGAGTATGTAGGATATAATGGTGAAGGAGAAGGGGAAGGGGGCATAATGGGGAAGTGGTGGGGATGTGGACGAGTGGGGGGCTTAAAAGTGTTAAGGGGGGTTGAAGAGGCTTCTTTTGAAAGAAGACGGAGGGCAATAGAGGCAAGGAGGTATTTTGGGATGTCGAGGGCGGGATAGTCAGTCAAGATGTACATATATGGATACACGGGCTTGGGTGAGTGCTGGGAACTACCTTGTCGTCATCATCTTGTTCGTAATAGTAAGATTCTAGCCTCAAACTAAAACGGTAGCCCAAGAGCTGTCAATAGGGAGACGATGCTCGAAACCGACTGGCCTTCGTTGGCCTTCTGTCTGCAAGGAGTGGCAATTCGTAATCGGGAAGGAAAACTTCCGTCAGCTTAAGTTACGGCCGTTTTGTCTCGATGGCTTCAAACGTTTGACCATTCGGCAGCGCCACCCCATTTGCCATATCCAGCTTGAAATCGAGTTACCGAGATATTCGTGCCCGGATTGCAAGCGTGTCAACGTGTAGGAGAGATCAAGAGATCTTATCTATCAGCCGTGGGATCTGGAAGCTATTACGGGTCCTCGGCACCTGGGAGTTAGCGCAGCAGCGGCATACTGCAAATAACGGCCTTCCAAGCGGTGTTGCGTTGGAGCTCGACGCCTAATCTCCCAGCGACTCAGAACACTGGTTTCAAGAACTACCATTATACCGCTGATGCCGATGGTAACAATGACGACAATTTGCAAATCGGACGATCCGGAGCACGGCTAGAGCACGGCTGGATCAACGGCCAACAGGTGGTCCTGCCTCCTGCGACGGCCATCCTGAGGCTCTTCTCAATGATACCTCTGTTCTTGCCAGAAGAGGGTCTTGAAAGGTCCCGCAAGTTGGTAGCATCACGCGCCTCATTATACGCCGGCGCCTACGGCGCTTTCTTCTCCCTGTTTCCCTTCTTTACAACATACACCTTTGGCCCCATGCTTCGTATGTTGCACATTTTCCTTGTCACGTTCATTTTACAGTCGCTGCAGCCCCTGAAGCCTCCAAGTTGGACGATAGTACACTGTTACTCGTAGTACTAGTAGATACCTTTTGGCCCTAACCCTGATTAGCTTCAAGGCATTACGGGTATCGGGCCTGATCCTCCCGTTCTCCAGATTCCGTCCAACGTCGCATTGCCGAGGATCCGCCAGTGCGATTCAAATGGTTTTGAAGATCTGGAGTCTGGAGTCTGGATCTCTGGATCTCTTCACAACACCACCATCGGAGTCGGACGGGTGCATCCCACAAAAACATCCGGGTACACTATGACGACGACCCCGCCGCCGCCCCCGCCGCCGCGTATAACTGTAGATCGACAAGAAGTTGATGCCAAAGGCAACCGGTTCATTATGGTGACGGAGGCAATTCGCTGACTCCGGAACCCTTGCCGGTGAAATGTGCTGTTCCTCTACATGTGCTACATGTGGGTCCCGCTGAACCGAACCCTTGTGCTTTCCGGGTCGGGATTGTTACAGTACAGAATACACACTACATTACCAGATGGAGTATCTTGTGCGATGCGCTGCATCCGAAGAGTGAGAGTCATCGGATTGTGACTGCGAAGCGGCAACGTGCCTACCAGGCACGCCAGCACGCTATGGCCACAAAAATGGAGAGGTATCCAGCGCACATACCATAGGATCTCTCTTTTTTTGTGGCCAGCGCGTGGCCAGGTACCTACTTCAATTGGTACCTACCTCGCCGTCAGTGGGTAATTGGACGAGTCTCGGAGATCACTGGTCCACAACTATGGCACCCCTCAACAACATTCCATGGCCCGAGTCGTGGTTGCTCGGTGGCTGCCCTGTGTCATCAGCCATTGAGAACGTGAAGCGGAGCGAGCATCGTTCTCGTCTGATTGGGAGTTGACTCATTGGCATCGCATCTCCTCTCTCTAGTGTACTATAAAATACAACGGTCGTAACCTTCTGGGACACCTCATCAGGTTATTCGCAAGTGAAAACCAATCGGGCGTGTTCTGCAACATCCGACATCGCACAAGCTACCATGCAAAGATCGTCTAGCAGTCCGTGCCCCGGCAGCCTTCCCCATCCTTTACCCCACAATTTCCGGTTGAAATTTTGAAATCAAGTGGCGACTCATTCCCAAAGAGTGGCTCCGCCAAGACTGGTTCTTTCTGTAGCGACACCAAACACTCGAACACTTGGAGTCATTGACTCCTCGCCTTCTTATGAAGGGCGCTACTCCCGGCGCAGTACCTTCATAGTAATCTCTTCTGTTTTTCCGTTCACTGCTTCTTTCCCTCTCTTGTTGTGTTGTCGTGCTCTGGTCCCCTCTCCGCTCTTCCGCCCAATGATGCTCCGTCATACGACGCGCGCCCTCAGGGGCCTTGCCGAATCTCGGCCCGGCCACCAACAAGCCCTCACGACGCTCCCAAGAGCCACAGCCGTGACTACGAGGCGCAATGGCCCGTCCTACGTCCGAAATCAGTCTTCAGCGGCTGCTACGAAACCCGCGGCGATGTTCGTTTGCACCCATTTGATCTTTCTAGACTTTTCACCATTGGTGACTCACCACTAACATGTATTCCCAACCAGTAGTGAGGCCCGGCCGAAGCCCAGCCCATCATTCAATGCGGCAAACACCAGAGATACCAGCCATGTCCAGCCCTTGGTGAACCCTCGGAAGAGCGAGATGGACGAGTCGTATGTCCTATACCCAGTCGTCCACCCCGCTGGCCCTTCCCCCCCGTCTCACCCAGGTGACTAACACAAGCCCACGCAGGTTCATTGGGAAGACAGGAGGAGAGATTTTCCACGAGATGATGCTTAGGCATGGTGTGAAGCATATCTGTGCGCCTAGTACTGTTCCTTCGCTCTTCGTACTCAGCTAATCTCGTACTACTGCAGTCGGCTATCCTGGCGGCGCCATTCTCCCCGTGTTCGATGCGATCTACAACTCCCCCCATTTCGACTTCATCCTACCGAGGCATGAGCAGGGTGCCGGCCATATGGCTGAGGGTTATGCGCGCGCTTCAGGCAAGCCCGGCGTCGTCCTGGTGACTTCTGGTCCCGGTGCTACGAACGTCGTCACCCCAATGGCCGATGCCTTTGCTGATGGCACGCCCATGGTCGTGTTTAGCGGGCAGGTTGTTACCTCTGCCATTGGTAGCGATGCGTTCCAGGAAGCAGATGTGATTGGTATCTCGCGGTCGTGCACCAAATGGAACGTCATGGTGAAGAGCGTCGCCGAGCTACCCCGCAGAATCAACGAAGCCTTCGAGATCGCCACCAGCGGTAGGCCTGGGCCTGTTCTCGTTGATCTTCCTAAGGATATCACGGCCGGAGTTCTCAGGAGAGCTATTCCCACTGACACGGCCATCCCTACGATCCCCAGTGCCGCGTCCCGCGCCGCCCTGGAGCTGACTCAGAAGCAGCTAAATGCTTCCATCCGCCGCGTCGCCGACCTTATCAACATCGCCAAGAAGCCCGTCATATATGCCGGTCAGGGAGTCATCCTCTCAGAGGGCGGTCCAGAACTTCTTAGGGCTTTCGCAGACAAGGCAGCTCTCCCCGTCACCACCACCCTTCATGGCCTGGGCGCCTTCGATGAACTAGACGAGAAATCTCTGCACATGCTTGGCATGCACGGCGCTGCATATGCCAACATGGCCATTCAGGAAGCTGATCTTATCATTGCCCTCGGCGCTCGCTTCGACGACCGTGTGACGCTCAGTGTCAGCAAATTCGCACCGGCCGCCAGAGCGGCAGCCAAGGAAGGACGGGGAGGCATCATTCACTTCGACATTTTGCCCAAGAATATCAACAAGGTCGTACAGGCCACTGAAGCCATCGAAGGGGACGTCGCTTCTAACCTCAAGCTTCTTATGCCGCATGTCCAAGCAAAGACAATGGCCGACAGGAAAGCTTGGTTCGACCAGATTAGCGAGTGGAAGAAGAAGTGGCCTCTTTCCGACTATGAGCGGGCTGAGCGCACGGGTCTGATCAAGCCCCAGACGCTGATCGAGGAGCTGAGCAACCTGACCGCCAACCGGAAGAACGACACATACATCACCACGGGCGTTGGCCAGCACCAAATGTGGGTGGCTCAACACTTCCGATGGCGCCATCCCCGGTCTATGATCACTTCCGGTGGACTTGGCACCATGGGATACGGCTTACCGGCTGCCATCGGCGCCAAGGTGGCGAAGCCAGATTCTCTGGTTATTGACATTGATGGCGATGCCTCGTTTGCTATGACCCTGACTGAGCTGGCGACCGCCGCGCAGTTCAACATTGGCGTCAAGGTCATCGTCCTGAACAACGAGGAACAGGGGATGGTCACGCAATGGCAAAACCTATTCTACGAGGACCGTTATTCTCATACACACCAGAAGAACCCAGACTTCCAGAAGCTGGCGGATGCTATGGGTGTGCAGCATAGGCGCCTGGTTAAGCCAGACGAGACCGTGGAAGCCCTGAAGTGGCTGATCGAGTCTGACGGGCCGGCGCTTTTGGAAGTGGTGACGGACAAGAAAGTGCCGGTCCTTCCCATGGTCCCTGCCGGGTCCGGTCTCCACGAGTTCATTACGTGGGATGGTGGTATGTAACCCCCATGCCCTGCTCTTTTGACATTTTACAAACTGACACGTATAATAGCCAAGGATAAAAAGAGGCGGGAGTTGATGCGGGAACGCACCGGCGGTCTCCATGGCTGAGCTGCTCCTTGAGTGTGGGGCATGGTACCGAGATTCCTTGTGGCCAGGTGAACAGAGGTTGCAGAAGTTCTCTTTGATTTTCCAACCTCGTGACACAGTCTTGCTATTTATACTGGGAAATGGGCTGAGGAATACGGCATTGGCATTTGGACCGACATTCGAAAAACATCATTGGGGTCGGGAAAAAGTTGGTGCAGATCCGCTGTGGGATCTGGTTCGATTTTACGAAAAGGACCTGGGGTTGAGTCTTGCTATTTCACGTCTCACTGGATCGGTGAGCTGTACATATTCAATGGATACCAAGCGTGCGTTAGGCGTTCTGACACTCGTTACGTTCGGCCCCCTCTTCGGACGTCAACAGACGTGATACTGTGGCCTGGAGAGCTGCGAGGGATTCCCATCCCTTGAGCTGGATCTTGGGGCCTTTTGTGTCTCGATTCAAGGTGCGCAATCCATCGAGTGTAAGCGTATTGATGGCTCACTCACAGTTATAATCCCTTCAGTAAGGTCAAAGTCCTGGCTTATAGACAGTTGGGACGTGCTTGGGCGTGTCTACCTCCTTGTGTATATCAATATGTATATGATACTGTCAACTTGATCACACATGCTTCCACTGAAAACAAGTCGACATTATTCACACATTCAGATCTTGGCCATTTGAATTTGGAGCTTGCTGGCCGCGCATTCACCACCATGGTTATGTTATGGTTTGCAACTTGGCATATCACTCGGAATTACAGTACAGAGCACCATTCCCGGGACACGTCCTGAGAAATACTACCTGAGTACTTACGGTTTGACATGAACTCATCTGGAATTTATCTCAGCAGGGTCATATTCTGTCGGCCGAATCAGGACTAATAAGGTATGGAATTCTTAAGGCCGCCTATTCAATCCATCGTCCTGTCCGGTTCAAGGGGTGCTTCTTGAAAGTACAAAAACTCAACACAACAGCCGTCAAACCTTCCGTAATCGTTCTCAAGTGATGCTTTCATTTTACTTGGGGGGTTGCTTGCCACCAAAGCTTGTCAGCCCCTATTGTGAGATTATCACTGCGGACAGACATATGTAGACTCACAGGGCAGCTGGGACATGTACACTGGCCCTTCGGGCAGTTACAGGTCCCGGTAGACGAACATCCACAGTCGCTCATTGTGAGATGAGTGGTCCTGTTTCGTCGTAGGCTCCTAGGTGAAGAGGAATCTTGAAGACGAACAATACTATTTGTATTCTGCCTTCACTTGTAGGTAAGCACGAGCAGTGTTTCAAGATCTCTCGTTGGGGGCGGAGATGTACAGTAACCAAGGACGAAAATGGTCAATTGATGGATGCTGAGAGGGACGAGGCGTTTCTATAGAAGAGAGTCTTCGTTGTTAAAGCGGGTGGGGGGAAATTTATAAAATGGGGTGCTTGGCTAAGGTAGGTATGACGTCGGTGAGGTCATCAACAAAGGATGATCCGTTGGGTCCAAGCTTCGACCTTACTTGATCATTCAAACGGCAACGGTGTCGGGGTGCCGTTTCAGGGTTGACGTCTGGGCTTCCGTCTTTTTGGGCCACTGGTCATATGTGTTGTACAGCACCGCGGCCTAAAGCCTAAAGCATGACAGCTCCGTGCCGAATTGGGAGTAAGACATATCGAGATTGATCAATTCGAGATGTTATTGCCCTGTTGTTCCGTTTACTACTACCAGGTAGTAAGTACTAGAGGTGCCGAAGGGCGGGCAACCCTCTTCACGGGCCGATCTCTCTAGACGACTCGCCAATGCCCATGAAACTCACACTTATTTCAACCTTGACGTTTGCGCTTAGGCTTGCCTGAAACGTCATGCCAGCGTCTATACCGGTCAGGTCCATTATTCTGTAACTGGAATGTTCAGTGATGTGTTTCATGTCCCCAAATATCGACATCAGGATTAGCGGCTACTATGCAGAAGTCATGGGCGAGCAATATTCCCAAGACTTGAAATAAAACCTAGCAGTGTAAGAAGAAGCAGAAAGATGAAATTGAACAGGAGACTCATGAGACAATGAAGACGAACCGGTAAGGATCCGGAGGGAAAAGGAAAAGGGGGCCAGAATGATAGAGAGAAAAGGGATATCAGAGAATGGTGGCATTATACTTCGTCTCTCACGACTCTCAGCCGAATTGCTCACCCAAGAACTACACTAGAGTACTGGTACTAATTGAGAACTACCTTACATACGCATCCCAAGTAGCACTATGAGGATGACATGATGGAAAAGAGGTCTAATGCTCCAGCCTTTGATGTTATTGATACGCTTATCAATGTCTGCTTGAGGTAGTTATGGCTGCTATATTTGTTTCCTTTTTCACAATCCAACCCATTGCCGCATCCTTACAGTGGTCATGTCTCAACATCTATCCCAAACTATACAGGTAAGTGATTCCACAACACGGGCCCTAGTATTAGATTTAGGCTTATTATTAGCTCGTGATCGAAGCAACCTAGACTTCTGAATTAAGACTGCTGTGAACTCGATGTATGAATCCTCTTACTACAGTGCATCTTCCCGAGCGTTGCGGTTAGGCCAATTCTGTCACGACCACTTGGATACATGTCTATCTGAGAGTGATATCAGATGAATGCTGGCCGGGTGCTGGACAAACCCCGAGCGTGAAGGGTCGGGTGTATTTGTCCCGCACAGGCTCCGCTCCCCGGTGAATTACTCGGCGAGAGAGAGATGGCATGAAATGGTGGGGTTCCAGCCGAGCGTCCACATGACAACAGCAGCGAGCAAACATCACACAACCAACACGCGGTATTATTATCGGGCCTGGCTTCTCAGGAAGCCATTGCCGTTTCGTGCGATGTACCTTCCGTGTTCCACCAACGACGCCACAGCCATTGTGGCCTCTGGTTTTAGACCGCAACCTTCGGACGTTCCACACTTATTTACCCCTCCGATGTATCTGTCTCCTGTTTAGTGCGGGGCAACTTGCAGCTTCCTGTTCTCGCAAGCCGACCGAAGTAAACCAGCGATACAAGTACTCGGCGTCTCAATGTTTCTTTGTGCCTGAACCCATTTCCCTCCTTCTTTTAATCTGTTTCTCTTACCGGCTGGGGGGACTTCGTGACGGTTGTTCATTGTCTCAACATGACTGACCCTGTCCCGGTTGCCCGCTCGCTGGGCGACATCTACACCTCGGATGCGTTGCCAATACAGACCAAGCGATGGAGCAATCTGCTTTCCCAGTTTGAGTCCATTTACGGACACTCGCCCGAGTTCGTCTCGCGATCACCAGGCCGGGTCAACATAATCGGGGAGCACATCGACTACTCACTGTACTCGGTGCTGCCCATGGCCATCACGGCCGATGCGCTGCTTGCTGTGTCGATCGACCCTTCACCAGCCACGAGCAACACTTTCAGGGTTCAGATCGCCAACGTGCAGAGTGACAAGTTCCCCTCACACGAGTTCGACATCCCATACGACAGTGTAGATATTGATGCCACTGTGCATGAGTGGACAAACTACTTCAAGTCCGGGCTGCGTGGTGCCCTGGAGCTCCTCCGCAAAAAGCACGGGGCGGATTTCAAGCCCAAGAGTATGAAGGTTTTGATGGACGGCACCGTTCCTGCTGGGGGCGGCTTAAGCTCGAGCGCAGCGTTCGTCAGCGCCAGCGCCCTGGCCGTAATGGTCGCGAATGGGGAGCAGACTGTGGACAAGACCGAGTTGACTGAGCTGGCCATTGTGAGCGAGCGTGCAGTCGGTGTGAACTCGGGAGGGTAAGCCTCTTGCACATGAACCGTCGCTGATAACAAAAACTATGGCTAACGAACCAGCAGAATGGATCAGTCTGCGTCTGTCTTGTCCGAACGTGGCTCGGCCCTTTTCGTCTCTTTCACACCCTCACTCGGGTCGCGCCCGGTCTACTTCCCCAAGACGAACCCGGAGTTAACGTTTGTCGTCGCCCAATCGTTCGTCACGTCTGACAAGTTCGTTACCGGGCCAATCCATTACAACCTGCGGGTGGTTGAGTGCAGCATGGCCGCCGCGTATCTCAATGCGGTCCTCAACCCACCCGGCACCGTCCTTCCCAGTGACGCCAGCCCTCTGGGTACCAGCCTGCACGGTTTTCATGAGACCTACTTCGCCCTGCAGGAACATGCCAGCGGGGCCACTACAAGCAAATCTGTCCCTGACCAGCTTGCCGAGCTGGTGAACCTTGTCAAGCAGACCCTGACCAAAGAGGAGGGTTACAACCGCGAGGAAGTTGCTGCCGTTCTGGGTATCCCGGTCGACGAGCTCAACGCGAAATTCACCTCACGCTTCCCCGTCCGCGCCGAGCGGTTCAAGCTGCGTCAGCGCGCGCTGCATTGCTTCAACGAGGCTCTTCGTGTGCTCGAGTTCATGCGCCACCTCGAGACGACGCCGTCTGGGGACGATACGACGAGCTACAACGAATATCTCGGCTCCCTGCTTGACAAATCCCAAGCTTCCTGCCGCGATATCTACGAATGTAGCTGCCCTGAGATCGATGCGCTCTGTGCCATCGCCCGCGAGGCGGGCAGCTACGGCAGTCGGGTGACTGGTGCTGGTTGGGGCGGATGCAGCGTTCATCTCGTGCCTGCCAACAAGGTGGCGGCTGTGCGGGAAGCTTGGGAGAGGGAGTATTACAGCAAACTGCAGCTGACTGAGGAGCAGAAGGAGGCGGCTGTGGTGGTGAGTCGGCCGGGAAGCGGGAGCGCCTTGTATCTGGTTAAGGGGGGAGTTCTGGCTTGATGGTGCCTAGCAGAGGATCTCAAAAGGATTGTTATTCCGTCGATGCCAGTTAACTTTGTGGACATAAGTCATCGTTTCCATACCACCCTGGCCGCCGCTTATCTGGAGTGCTCGCTGATTGTGTATCATACTCCCGGATCGCTATGCATTACAAATGTCATGCCCCTATGTCATGTTTCTGACTCCCACATCTGGCCTCCCGGGCCCCTCGAGTTCAGCCAGCACTTCCTTCCACCGCGCGCCCTGTCTTCCTCTCGACGTTCTTGATTCTCCTCCTTGCCTTGACCTGCACCCGCCTGTATTTGGTGTACAACCCAATGACATCCCGTAGCACCACAAACAGGCACCCACCCACCAGGCTGCGGCCCCACCGCTCTTGCAGTAGGCCTGTTGGGGGCTTGCGCCAGGGTCGCGTAACCCAGGCCTTGGGTGCTATCGCGCGTATCAGCTCGCCCATGCCGTAGGAGATGACTGGGAAGAGAAGGGACGTGGAGATGCTGTTTATGAGGAGCGCGAGGCCCGAGAGATCGCCGTTGTTGTTATTGTTATTATTTCGGCGCTGGTTCTCGTTCGGGGGCGGCTGTTGGTTTTGCTGCACAGGTTGCGGTGCTGGTTGTTCCGCTGCTGCCGGTTGTTGCTGTTGCGGTTGCTGTTGCGGTTCCTGCTCCTGCTCCTGCTCCTGCTCCTGCGCGGGTTCCGCTGCGGCATCGGCTGCCAGAAAATGGAACTCATCACCCTCAACTTCGACCACGCCTTGTTCCAGAGCCTGACCGACGTCTTCGCCGGGCTGATCGTTGCCTTCGCCGCCGACCTCTTCAAAGTGAACTTCCTCTACAATCTCCACCTCCACGCCAACTGGTCCCCCAGCGCCCAATAATACTCCCAACACGGTGCGGCCGAGGTTAGCGACCGTTCCCCAAACCCCTTCGGCTGCCGGCTCGTCACGGACGGCTACTGCTCCTTCAGCTGGCTCGGGCGCTGCGATTGCCGGTGCTTGTTCCTCCCTGGGGGCCGCATCGTCTTCGGTAGCCGGCTGGCCACGGAGGGCACGGTTGAGACGCCTTTCTAGCGGCCCGAACAGTTCATACATGACGTATGAGTAGGTCAGCTGCACATATGGCATCATTGCGAAGGCCCACTGCGGCGAAGGAGGCCAAGTGGGAAGATCATCATGCGCTACTAAGCTTGCGCCATACTACGTAGGACCTGAACGTTAGTAGGATTGTACCTGGAAGGAGGACGGACCAGAATGACCACCCACCATAACGGCGCAGGGCAAGAATAGCGTACTGCCCCGCCCCGAGAGCCACCGCATAACCACTAGACCTGGACCAATAGTCGAAAGGATGTACACCTTCAACAGGAACGACGAAATGCGCTGGCGCGCCTGGGGCCTTAGCCACCTCGACACAGCATCACGTCCTGCAAAGATACAGGCCGCGCCGTGACCGTACCATGCCGCGCCGACGATGCTACCGGAAAATCCCAGCACCAACAGTACGTATGGCGACACGCGACTGTACCGGCGGAGCAATCGATCGTGGAGGGCGAGAAAGGGGTCAAACGGTTCCTCAACGACAATCGGCGCCTTGCAGGCGGGGCATTTGAGGTCGTTCTTCGCCCGTCCGGCGGATACTTCCATCTCGCCTATCCAGCGCAACATGCAATCTGCGTGCGCCTCGAGGCTGCACGGGCATGGATTCACCCATGTCGCGTTGGGCGTGTCGACCTCGTTTTGTAGGCAGATGAAGCAGACGTGCTGGTCGTTTGTCGCGATAGGAGCTGGAATGATGGCGTGGCCGGTGGAAGCGGATGGCGCGGGAGCAGCTGTGCTGCCACTTCCGCTAGGACTCGCCATCTCCGGGCGAGTCGGTCGACCGCTGGCGGATCTTGGAGTCTGTAATAAATCAACACAGCTGTTGGCAAGGCTGCATCGGCTGAAGTGGGTTGGCAATTGACATGGGGAAGCTCGGAGCTCCGTACATAGGTGACATCAGGGTCGCTCCACTGTTTGTCTTTCGCGGAAACTTATACAGGATCCTGTATGTAATTACATAAGTACACATGTAAGTTGCAGGTACGTACATACATACCGTACATGTAGCTCTGTTTGTTACCGCAGACTGGTTCCGAATCCAGACCACAAATTACCCCCACATCAGCCTTAAGGTAGCCCCTCCGTGGAATCTGTTCGATTTCAAACAACAACACCGGGCACCGATTTTTTGGCTGGAAACCTGCGCTCGATACACCCCTCGATCTGTTAGCAGTCAAACCCCATCCTACTCTCAACTATTGAACTCGAAGTCAACGGACAACTCCACGATGGTCTGTGTTCCACCCTTCAGCGGGGAAGCCCCTCTTTGATTCGTTTGTAGACTAACCACTTCCCCTTAGACCACCACATCCAAGCAGCGCCTGGCGCTGGCAATCTGCGACTTCCTCTCGACGTCGCTGACTGATGGCACCCTGCAGGCCGACGAAAAGGACAATGTCGAGATTGCCATCAACTGCATCGGTGAGGCCTTTGGCGTCGATCCCAACGACAAAGCGGCCGTGTCCCAGGCCATCGGCTCCCAGAGCCTCCTCCAGATCTACTCCGTCTACGAGACGCTAAAGAATGCCGGTCCTCCCAAGCCAGCCGCTGAGTCCTCGTCCTCTACCTCCGCGCCATCAACAGCCGGCCAGCAGCCCACCGAAGAACAAAAGAAGCAGGCCGAAGCACTCAAGTTAAAAGGCAACGCCGCCATGGCCCAGAAGGACTACCCTGCTGCCATCGACTTCTACACGCGGGCGCTGGCCCTGCTCCCGGGCAACGCGATCTTCCTCTCGAACCGCGCAGCGGCCTACAGCGCGGCGCGCGACCACGAGTCGGCGAAAGCCGACGCCGAGGCCGCCGTGGCCATCGACCCCAAGTACACCAAGGCTTGGAGCCGTCTGGGTCTGGCACGCTTTGCGCTCGGCGACGCCAAGGGCGCGATGGAGGCTTACCAGAAGGGCATCGAGCACGAGGGGAATGGCGGGAGCGAGGCCATGAAGAAAGGGTATGAGACAGCCAAGCGGAGGGTGGAGGAGATTGCTGCGGATGAGGCGGCGGCGGCAAATAACAGCTCGACGCGTGACGCTGGGGCCGCTGCCGGCGGCGCCGGAGGTGGTGGTACGCCGAGTCTAAGCGACCTGGCGGGCATGTTTGGCGGTGGACGGGGTGGTAATGGCGGTGGCGGTGCCGGCGGTGGCCTGCCCGACTTCGGGTCCATCATGAACAACCCGATGTTCGCGTCTATGGCGCAGAACTTGATGAGCAACCCGGACTTGATGGCCAATCTGATGAACAACCCGCGCCTGCGCGAGATGGCCGACTCGTTTGGGAGGGGCGGTGGCATGCCGGATATCGGCTCGCTCATGTCCGATCCTAACATTGCTGAGATGTAAGTTTCGTCCCTCTTGGAGATCTCGGAGAGACACTAACGATATGCTATAGGGCGAAGAACTTGATGGGCGGCGCTGGACGGGGTGGCCCTGGTGCAGAGAGGTGATAACCGTTGGATATTTCAGGCTCTTTATCAAATTCTCGTCTTCGTTTCATTTCATTGCTATCAGGCCAGGCCAACTAGAGACGCGGGAGTGCAGATATGCATCTGGTGCGAGACCATGCTTACCTTCTGTGTCTTCATACCTAACGTATGTGTTTCCGTGACCGCATTGCTAGAGAACCACTATTGTCCCGGGTTTGTAGTAGGCAGAGTGAATATATGCCGATTTCGGCTGATGTATATATACGCTCTATAGCAACCACATTTACATCCATGATTTTCCGTGCATGGCCTACGCCGAGCCAGTCCCACAATAACCTTCGCCCCTACCCCTTTTCACAACGCCGCAAGCAACAACCAACCAAGTCTAACCCACCCATCTCCGCGCGCTTCTAAACAGCCTTAGCCACGGCCCAAACTCGCCCCACTCCCCGGCCTCCTCGGGCGGGGCATAGCTCGCTACGCCAGCCATGATGGTCCGCTCCGGATGCGGCATCATTGCTAGCACGCGACCATCCCTGCTGGATACGCCCGCTACACCTGCCGGAGAGCCGTTGGGATTGTACGGGTACTGCTCAGTCACCTTCAGCCGGTTATCGACATACCGCAGCGGGATGCCGCCCGCTTCTGTCAGCGCTTGGAACGACTCCTCCGAGGCAAACTCGGCCCGGCCCTCACCGTGGGAGACGACGATAGGCAGCGAGGAACCGTTCATGCCGTTGAAGAAGACGGACGGGCTGGCCGGGTTGTCCTCGACCTTGACCATGCTAAAGCGTGCCTCGAACTGAGACGACGCGTTGCCCACAAAGGTAGGGAAGTGCTCGGCGCCCGGGATGAGCTCCTTCAGGCGCGAAAGCATCTGGCAGCCGTTGCAGACACCCAGGGCAAAGGTATCCTTGCGATTGAAGAAGTCGGCAAGCTCGCGCCGCGCCCTGTCGTGCAGCAGGATCGACTTGGCCCAGCCCTGGCCGGCACCGAGCACGTCGCCGTACGAGAAGCCACCGCAGGCGGCGAGGCCGACAAAGTCGGACAGCGAGCGGCCCGCGATGATGTCGGTCATGTGGATGTCGATTGCGTCGAAGCCGGCGGCGCGGAAGGCGAAGGCCATTTCGGCATAGCCGTTGACGCCCTGTTCACGGAGGATGGCGACGCGGGGCATCTTACCGAAGAAGCCCGTAATGGACGCCGTCAGCGGGGTGATGTTCTCAGATGGTGAAAAGGTGAGGTTGTAGGATAGACCGGGATCTTCGGAATCCAGGATGGTAGCATACTCGGCCTCGGCGCACGACGGGTTGTCCCTTAGCTTCTGCATCTCGTACGACGTCTTGGTCCACCACTGCTGCATCTCAGCCCTGTCAAGGCTGACAAACGGCGCCCCCTCGCCATAACGGATGGTGAGCGTCTGCTTAGAGGTGGGTTGGACGACGCCAAACTTTCTGATGAGGCCGGCAGGGGGGCCGCAGGTGGCGAAGCACCTCTTGAAGTTGGTCTCGTCAGAGGCGCGCACTTGGAAGACCGCACCAAGCTCCTCGTTGAAGAGGGCGTCCACCATGTCTGCCAAGCTCTTCGAGGCTGCGATACCATCCATCATCAGGTCAACGCCGCATCGACCGGCAAACATCATCTCGGCAATCGTTGTGATGAGGCCGCCGTCGGACTTGTCATGGTAAGCGAGAACGACGCCACTCTCATGCAACTGCGCCAGCGCGTCAAAGTAGTCCTTGAGGAGCTCCACGTCACGGACATCTGGTGCCTCGTGGCCAACGGCGCCCAGCGACTGGGCGAGAGCAGAGCCGCCCATGGCCTTGCGACCCTGCGCAAGGTCGACGTAGAGCAGGATGCTCTCGCCAACATCTTCGACACGGCGAAGCTGAGGTGTCCACGTGCGCCGGACGTCCTCGACCAGGCTGAATGCGGAGATGACGACCGACACAGGCGCGGTCACACTCTTCCTGGTCTCTCCGTCTTTCCAGGACGACTTCATGGACGTCGAGTCCTTGCCCACGGGAATGCTGACGCCCAGTTGAGGGCACAGGCCCATGCCGATAGCCTCCACAGCCTCATAAAGGGCCGCGCCCTCGCCTTCATGGTTCACAGCCGCCATCCAGTTCGCGGAAAGCTTGACCCGTCTCAAATCTCCGCGATGGTCGCCGCCCTTGATATCTGCTGCCCCAAGGTTAAGCAGACTCTCTGCCACAGCCATCCTCGCGGAGGCTGCGGGCGAGATCAGGGCGAGGGTAGGCTTCTCACCCATCGCCATTGCTTCACCAGTCCTCGCGCCGTTGAGGCTGAAAGAAGTCGCCGTCACAGCAACATCGGCAACAGGGGTTTGCCACGGCCCGACCATCTGATCCCGGGTCGTGAGACCACCTACTGTGCGGTCGCCAATGGTGATCAGGAACGACTTGGAGCCGACCGACGGCATCCAGAAGACCCGCTTCACAGCTTGCTTGAAGAGGTCCGCATCGCCGAGCGGACCCTCGACAGCGGCCTTCAGGCTTGTGATAGGGTCAAAAACAGGCCAAGCAGGTTTCTTGGAGTTAACAATACGCTCCAACTTGCGGCCCTTAGGGAAGAGCACATCCATTGGAACGTCGATGGGCCGCGGGAATTCGTCTGATTCTCTGTCACTAAGAATCAGTCTGGAGACTCCGTCCACTTCCCGGGAGAGGACAGTGCCAACGTCCGAGAAGCCACAGCGTTCACGACCTATTCCCTTGTCAGTCGGAAGCAAACAAGGACGGCTGGGGACACCGCTTACGGCAAATGCTGGTGAAGCGTTCCATCCCGTCGCTGTTCACCAGAAGAACGTAGCGCTCCTGCGCCTCATTGCACCAAATTTGGAGCGGGCTCATGCTCCGGTCTACGCTCTCGACCTGGCGAAGCTCGAATCTGCCACCGAAGCCGGCATCCCTGACAAGCTCAGGCAGTGCATTAGAGAGACCCCCTGCGCCGACATCGTGGATCATGGCGATCGGGTTGTGCTCGCCCAAGGCCACGCAAGTGTTGATAACCATCTGTGCCCGCCGCTCCATTTCAGGGTTGCCGCGCTGGACACTGTCAAAATCCAGATCGGCATTGCCCTCTCCAGAGGCATTGCTCGATGCAGCACCGCCACCAAGCCCAATCAGCATGGCAGGGCCACCGAGGACAATTACGTGTGCGCCCTCCACGACATCCTCAGGGCGCTTCAGTGCGTGCTTCTCCCTGACGGTGCCGAGACCACCGGCAATCATGATCGGCTTGTGATAGCCCCGGAACGCCCCTTCAGCCCCTGTGTCATCAGCAGCGAGGAGAGTCCGGAACGTGCCCGCGAGGCAGGGGCGGCCAAATTCATTGTTGAAACGGGCACTGCCGATGGGCGCCTCCAGCATAATGTCGAGACTGCTCGCGAAATGAGACGGGCGACCGACGTCCATTTCCCAGGGCGCCCTGTGATCAGGGATGAGCAGATCGGAGACCCAGAAACCGCAAAGGCCAGCTTTGGGCATCGAACCTCTTCCAACAGCTCCTTCGTCGCGGATTTCTCCGCCAGATCCGGTGGCAGCGCCGGGGAAAGGTGCAATGGCCGTCGGATGATTGTGAGTTTCGACCTTGGCCAGCACATGCAGAAGCTCTTTCTGCAGCTTCCACGAACCAGTCGAATAGTCGGGGGCCCAGAGATGGGCGTGCTCGCCCTGCATAACCGCCGCGTTGTCGCTGTAGGCGGACACCGTGAAATCGGGGGTGGCCTTGTGGGTGTTCCTGATCATCTCAAACAGCGACCTTCCCTTGGCCAGCCCATCGATAGTCCAGTTCGCATTGAACTGCTTGTGGCGGCAGTGCTCCGAGTTTACCTGAGCGAACATGAAGAGCTCGATATCGTGTGGCGGGCGACCCAGTTGCCTGAACTTTTCCACCAAGTATTCCACCTCGGACTGGTCCAAGGCCAGGCCACGCGCCTTGTTGTATTCATTGAGCACCTGAGCAGGGTCGCGCCCATCGGCAAAGATGTCGACAACCTCGAGAGGCGCGGGCTCGCCGCTGGCGAACATGGCAGTGAGGTTAGGCGCATCGGCCGAAAGTGTCTCGGTCATGCGGTCGTGCAGGATGTCGCGGAAGGGAATGGCCTTGTCATTGTAGGGCTGCTCGAACTCGAGAGTGACAATGCGTCCGCGTTCGATCTGGCGGATTTGCTGCTCGAAGCCGCAGACATGGGCAATGCTGGTGGCCTTGGAGCTCCATGGAGAGATGTACCGCGGCGTCACGTACCAGGTGCGCCCGTAGCCAATGTGTGTCAAGTGAGGAGTGGATTCTCCCGACTCGGCCGACAGAGGAAGCAATTGAACGAGCTTCTGATTGGCCGCGTCGGTATCGCCCTCGATGTGGGCGTAGTAGACCCAGGATCCGCGCAGCGTCGAGACCTTGATGGGCGCCACTTTGTTGATCTGATCTTTGAGCTTCTGGGCCTCGTAGGCCGTGAAGCAGGAGTCGCCCGCGAGAGTTAAATACGCCATGGCGACAACGTATGTCGGCCGCGGTCGAGAAAGGCGTTGGCGATTGATGGATGGACTGGCAGAGAGCCAACGCTCACTGGGCTGGAGCTCGAGTCATCGAGCAGCGAGGACCGGAGGAGAGGGGGCGGGGTTGCGAGAGGTCTGAAATTTTATAGCGCGGGGAGCGCTCCGTATGGGCCGCGCCGTAACGTAACAATGGCGTAACCATCCGTTACACACAGTATACAGCATCCTCGCCCGTCTGCACCAGGCCTTTCAAGTTGTCATGGGAATAGTCAAGAGGAGTTAGCTGTGCGAGTCGGCCGCGTTTCCTAGAGTCAAGAGATGTCATTTTAGGTACGCAGTGGCTATATGGACAAGACTCCCCCATCACCGTTCCTTAATTACCCGGCCTGGCATGAGTGGGTTACCTAGATGTAAGTTGACAGATCTGGGAGTAACGAGGTAGTTAAGGTCCTCCAGGTCCGTTCCCTTGCTGTATCATATACAATGCCATGTAGAGAGGTGGCCTACGGTAGCTTACATAGTGGTCACAGTTCCACCGGCTGATGAATAGCGGCAGGCGAGATCACGTTGTCTAGACGGTGAAGAAGCTGCTGTATTCAGGGCGCTGAGTCGAAAGAAGATAAAAGGGCTGAGAGGCTGAGAACGAGGCCAGAGCCGCCAGACCCACTAGACCCCTGCGGCCCTTAGCCGACCTACCGCGCCGGAACCTCCGACGGACTGAATCGACCAATGGCAGCGGCCCGAGCTGATCGGCAGTGGAGCCGCGTTTGGCTCAACTTTTTGATTCCCCCATGAGCATCCATCATCGCGAGCACCCGGTTTGGCCAGGGATCGACGACAGCAGTGCAGGGCAATCCGTCCGCCGTATCCTTTCCAAACACTCTTCGCAGCCCTTGAGGAGATATTAACGGGCGGTCTCGATCGAGGGCGTATCACGGCGGGGGACGGGGTATCGCTGAGCCGCGACATCTACAAGAATTCCGGGAGGTCACCCATCTGACGATACTCCGGACTTTCAGGTATCCAACCTGGAAGCGAGACTCCGTCCGCCACGACAAATTACTTCCGCCAGCGACCGCGAATGACCACGATGTCATCCTCCCTCCGTTCTTTCGGGGGCCTCGCCTCCCGGCTCCTCGCCAGGCCAACTGCCCTCACTCCCTCGACCGCCTACGCCCCAACCGTACAATGCCTCGCGCCATTAACCCGCGCATTCTCAACAACGCCCCGCGACCTTGCCCCCCCGGGCGCGAAAAGCAAAGCTAGCGGTGGCAAAGGTGGCGCCGCCAAAAATGCCAAAGGCGGCGCCAAACCGCAAAGAAAGGCAAAGAAAGGCCCGGAGGCGCCGCGAGACCCCAAGATGATCAGCATGCTCTCGCAATTTGCCGTGCTTTCGCCCAAGCGCATCCCGCCGCCGCTCCGGATGGGCCGTAACCGGTACTTGCGGCACTGGACGATCCACCGGGCGTGGCTGCTCTTCCGGCGCCGCGAGCGGGAGGCGCGCGAGCGGAACCTGATGAGACAGTACCAGAGCATGAATGCGGCGTGCGAAGAGCTGAGGCTCACTTCCGGGCCGGGGACCAGAGAGGAGGGTTATCTCTTCCGCGTGGCCATGGAGAAGAAGGGGGTATGGGGCCTGAATGGGATCCCGATCGAGTACGCGCGGGCGCAGACCGAGACGCCGGCAAAGGTGGCGTGGAATCATGACTGGAAGCGGTGAGCGGCCAGCGGTCTGGAAGGCGGATGATTCGTCGAGATCTGAGAGGGCCACCATGGTCGATTGGGATTGGACTGCCATGGCTCACATTGACCCTCTTCTTCGGTAGTGAGATGGTTCCTAAATGTAAAATATTCTGTACCAACTCAAGAATAGTCCAGGGTCAAGGCGTGCCGCATCATCTGTTTGTTCACATCATATCTTAACTCCTGCGCGCGTGCGATTACGCCAGCTCTTGAATCCGAATCGACATTAAATCACCGCTAGATTGGCGTTAGACACCAGAAACGATAGACACAAGAGAGGGTAGAAAAATGCCCTGCACTAATTACTGCCTGACCTCCACCATACTCCAATGACCCGAAAGGTAACTGTAAGTGAAACACGATTTTCGCTCCTGTCTTGTGATCCTTACAGTCCATCGATAGTCCAGCCCAGCTTTGACTAGCCTCTTCTGCTTGAGGTCATCCGTCGTAGCATAAAAGGAGAACCAAAGGTCTATAGCGTAATAATACAGCGTGGACCATCATTCGCTTAGCTCGCTGTGTATGTGATCGTTAGACCCTATGTGCGGACTTCTCCACCTCATTGTGCAGGTCGTTCCGTGCAGTCTTTTAGTGATGATGGCTGATTCGTGGTCTCGAAGGGCAACCCAGCGGAGAACTGGCAGGCTGGGGAAGGTCTATATCCTGATCCCGGCAAGCTCGCCTTGGTCCTGATGAGGTCGCCGAGTCGATTCTCGTTCTCACGCCGGAAGCGGTCGCGGTGGTCTGGGAGAGAACGGCTAGCGGAATCACCCGTGGCCAGCACAGCCGCTCATAATATCACGCAGCACCCTGCCCCCTCAACCTTCTCCAACATCAGTAATGAGGCTCGTGTGGCCGCCTCAAAAACGTCGTCGACACCCTCGCCGCTCAAGCTAGAACATTCGAGGTACTTGCGGGCGCCGATTTCCTTAGCCGCATGCTCGCCATCCCCCGGAGAAACGAAGCGTTGTGATCGTTTCCGCATCTCCTCTTGTGCAACCGGGTCGTCCCGCAAATCTTTCTTGAGGCCGACGAGGATGATGGGCACTCCGGGACACCGTTCGTTTGCTTCCAAGACCCACTATGTTTGATTGGGTTAGTGACCGGCATCGACCTGATACATCCGCTGTCTCAAAAGGGAAGGAGATTGCATGCGTCGGACAACCGTTACACATGACGCTTATGTAGAGCACAAGAAGCGGCTTGCAGCATGGACAAGAGGGCCGTTTGGCCGGAGAAAGGAGGCAGGGGCGGTCAGGATTGTGTCAGCCCACCCACCTTGTGCTTGACGTTGTCCAGGGAATCCGGCGTGTCGATGGAAAAGCCTATCAGGATGACGTGAGCTTTGGCGTATGCTAGCGGCCGTAACCGCTCATAATCCTCCTGCCCAGCCGTGTCCCATAGCGCTAGCTGGACGGACTTGCCGTCTACTCTGCAATCCGTCACGTAATTTTCGAAAACAGTCGGTATCTGCGTGAGACGAGTTGGTCAGTTGTGAGGTGTTCGACAAGTGACAGAATGGCGTGACTCGAGGAGCAGGCAAGCGAGCAGATGTTGCATCGTTGGAATGGAGGTTTGTTGGGTGTGTCTCAGACCGGAACCACTCACATAGTGCTGCGTCGTCACCTGTTAGCTCTGGCAGTGAGGACTTGTGGAGGGGGCGGGCGCTTCTCCAGTGTAGTGCCACTTACTGTTGGGAAGAAACCAAGAGTAAACACGCTCAGCAAACTGGTCTTGCCGCACGCACCGTCGCCAATGATGACAAGTTTCCTAAACAGCGGGAGTGTCAACGAGGCTGAATGAGCGCAGAACCGGGGCTTGGGTGTTGGGCGTCGGCCAGGAGGGGCCAGCGTCGGGCAGTTCCCCGGGCCGTATCCGGCGGGCTGGAGTTGCGTACCTCCGGATGACATTTTGGGCGTTACGATCATTTGCCATGGCTGGCAAATCGGGAAGTGAGCGTCGGTTCGCTCGGTTGCCGTTCGTCGTGCGCAGTCACCGAGAGGGGGGATAGAACTGTTGGTGTGGTAAAACGTGGGTGGAAAGGATCCGGATTGAAAGAACTTGATGAGGGTGGTTGACCGGGGCTTTGAATGAGAGCCGGCCGAGCTGTCAGTAGTTTAGTTCTAAGTTAACTGTTACAGTGTAAATGCGTGCTGTTCGACCGTGTCCCAGGACTCGGGTCCTACCGACCTTTAGGAAATTTCGAGCGGAGCAGCAAGTGGATACCGGCCTGAGCTCCTTCGACAGCCAGTTACATAATCTTTGCGGTGACGCACGCGGCACATACCCTACTCGGCCCGCTGTGGTCCTAATCCTCTCATGGTAAGCTTGGCGCGATGCCACTGTGTACCGACCTATGTCGGTACCACAGTACGTAGTATCGTGTTTCATCAGACACTTCAAGTATTCAAGATCGACTACCTTCTTGGTATGCCCTTTCCTACTTATGTATGTACTACCAAAAGAATTGGCACTCGTCATTCCCTCTCGGATATGGGTTATTCGGTGGATTTCAGGCACGGGCTGCTCTTCAGATGTTCCCACGAGGAGACCTCCGAGTGTTTAAGCCCCACTGTTTATGTCCTTGGGTTTCACCACTCAGTCAGACGTTATGCTCCAGGCTGTAGGCGCGAAGCGACAAGCTGTGATGTTGTGGCTGCAATTGCAGTGCTTCCTCAGCATTGGATTGACTGGATCAAAGCGCTTCCAGTGTCCGTCATCAAGCTGAATCGCTTCGTATATCACTCGCCAATCCCACCTTGATGTTGGACAACGAGTCGTATCGCGAGCGTGCATCACCAGCCGGCAGTCGCGAGGGTGCTCAGCCTCGACGGGGCGATGAATTCAGGGGTCTGATAGGTTGCCGGGTCGTTTGGGCAGCGCTGAAGACCGGGGCGGGGTGAGGCTGTGCACGAATTCAGCATCCATTTCATGCGGCAAGCGTCTCCAATGGGCCATTTCTGGACATGCGAGTTGGCGAGCTGCGTCCATAACTTATGCCATCAGACGATAGATGCGAGCTACTACCTAGTATTTAGCTCTTGAAATGCACATAGAGGAGCGTCCATCTTCCACCGACCTACTTGCAGCACTTCGCTATAGCAAAATCCAGGAGGTGAAGACACAAGACCGAATTAGTAGAACGTGCTTAATATCCCGCTGTCGTCCGAAGACACCTCTGATCTACCTCTTGACATATAACGTCGGAAGGCCGGTGACCGACTGAGGTATGGTGAGTATGACGTGCGTCTTGTCGAACTTGATGCTAGCCTCGATGTTCCACTCGTCGCTCGGTGCATGTGCGGATCCAGCTTGAAAACGGCGAGGCACGACGTCAAAAACAGCATTGGATTAGGGATTCAGGCGGGCGTTGAAATGCTGTTCAGTGGCTGCCGAGACGGCAGACGCTTTGCTAATCACCCAGCACTAACCTAAGTATTCCTCGCCCGTCAACGGGACTTTCGCATGGAGCGAAGGTCCAAATGCCGAAGGGTGTGTAGGACGGTCACCTACAGCATCATTTCGATAGGAATGGAGGAGATGATGCGGCCGGCGTTGACATGCCATGCTGCCGGTTTCAGTCCAGTCCCACGCCCTAGACTGGAGAAGTCCGCATCTAGTTATGCACTTTTTTGGATTATGAGTCGGCATCGCCGCCGTCATTGACAATGATAAGTAAGGTATTGAGTAAGCGTCGGCCGACGGAAACAAGCCAGCCCAATTGGTGAGTCTGAGTGTAATACGCATAGTGTGCTTGTATTAAGCGGCCGACCCTCAAACAAGCGGCTCAACATCTTGAAGCGGTTGAACCCAGTTGAACCTCGAGGCGACGGCCGGCCAGGGAACTTGGAAGTCAGGGGCAGGCACGCGTGACGCCGCACAAGGCTGCCCCGATCACGTGTTTGCCCGACCAATCGGCGCTTGCTCGATAGGGAAGATCGATATGCATGGCGGGAACCACAAATCTAGCAACACCTTTAGAACATTCAGAACACCTCGACGAAGCGCCGAGAGACGGGTATCATACCTTCGGCTGCATCGTATCGCGTGCAGCCAGCCCGACCACATACCTAGCGCCGCGGCTCTCCCTAACAGGCGATCTTTCCACGCAGTCAATTCCTCGCCTGCCGGTACTGGGCCTTGTGTGAGTTTGTTCTGACCCCTCTGTTAATAAATTAAACCTCAAGCGGCCCGCCTGCTTGGGCTGGGACCTGCCTTCGAAACGTTCACATGGCAACGCCTCCCCCGTTCCCGCCCAAACCGCTTTCCCAGCCGCGCAGCTCTCTCGTCTGCCGTCCGTTTCTGTTCCTTCCCGACATTTTATTCTGTTTCCGCGGCTTTCGCGCTCTATACGCAGCGTTCTGCCCCGCATCGCCTTGTTTGACCGAGGAAACATTCATACTGATCCGAACCCTTGCGCCACGGCACCGGCTTACTTTGTTATCCTTTAGTCCTCGCATGATTCCTGAACTGCAGAGATCCCTACAGCGCGACGTATTCCCTTGATCTCAACCCCCCTTTCGGTTCGCAATAGACGGACGAGGATGAAGGGAAACCGCAACCCACCGGCACCAGCATCCGGCGCCGCCCCGCTGTCTCCGACCTCCAAGGGCACCGCGAAATACACGAACAAAGACGGGTCGAAGTTCATAACAGTTCCCAAAACGAGCACTCCCGTCGACTCCGCTCAGCCTTCCCCAACAGCTGCATCCTCTCCGAATAACAAGGCCGCAGCGCACCTCTCCCCGGGACACGCACCCGCTCAACCTGTAAACCGGAAGAAGCAGAAGCGGCGCGAGAAGGCAGCTGCGAAAGCGGCCGCCGAACAAGCCATGAGCGGCCAAACCGTCAGCGGGATACCCAGCCCTCCCGGTACCAGCGACCAGCAGTCGGCAGGCGCCGACCCAGAGGACGACGAGGAGGAGCCGGTCCCCGGCCAAGGTTATCAGGGCGCGGCCGCGCAACAGAACCGGGGTGGGCAGAGTGCGTCTGGGAAGTCCAAGAAGTCCAGGAAGAAAAAGAAAAAGAATGCCACCGGGCAAAAGACGGACGAACCTCCCGACAACAGCCAAGGCGCGCAGAATGTTCAAGGTCGCCCGCAAGCCTCTGAGGCTCCTCCGTTAACCCCCCAGACCGACCGGCCCACCATGTCAAGGGAGAAGATATGGAACACGAGCTCCTCGGAGGAGCGGGAGCGTATCAAAGAGTTCTGGCTTGGGTTGAGCGAAAGCGAGCGCAAGTCGCTGGTCAAAGTGGAAAAGGATGCAGTCCTCAAAAAGATGAAGGAACAGCAGAAACACACCTGTAGTTGTACCGTGTGCGGAAGGAAGCGGACCGCCATCGAAGAGGAGCTCGAAGGCCTCTACGACGCCTACTATGAGGAGCTGGAGCAGTACGCGAACCACCCCGGCCAAGGCGAAGGGCCTCCGATGCGGTCATTTGGCTCAATGAGCGGGATACGGCCTCGCGGGCTTCCCTCGAGATATTCCAGTCATCAGCCGTCCCATGGGCGTATCATGGAGCAGCTGGGAGACGAGGAAGAAGAGGAGGCCGCTATGGAGGACGAAGGCGAAGGCGAGGGGGAGGGGGAAATGGTGGATGTCTATAGCGAAGATGATCCAGAAGACGACTTGTACAGCGAGGAAGACCATGAGCCCTCGGAAGAAGAACTGCACCGACCCGACTACGCTGCCGATTTCTTCAATTTCGGGAACAGCCTGACTGTGCAGGGTAGGGACGGACTTCCCATTCTTCCACCATTCTTACAGACTTATCCCTTCTCGGGGGCTGGCAATAATGCTTATGGCTCATCTTCTCTAGGCGGCATCTTGACCGTGGCCGACGACCTGCTCAAGAACGACGGCAAGAAATTCATCGAAATGATGGAGCAACTCGCCGAACGCCGTATGGCCCGAGAACAGGAGTCTAGGGAACAGTTTGAGCGGGACTACGGTCACACCACTGGCGATCCTTATGGCCATAATCATCCGCCGCCCCCAGAAGAGGAAGAGTTTGATGAGGAGGAGGAGGAGTATGAGGACGACGAAGAAGACGAATACGACAGCCAGGAGGAAGAGGTATGGGGGTCGCTGCGCCTTGTCTTCGTCCTGGGAACTTGCCACTGATTATGCTTGGAACAGGATACCATGACAGAGGAGCAGCGGATGGAGGAAGGGAGGCGGATGTTTCAGATCTTTGCGGCCCGGATGTTCGAGCAGAGAGTCCTTACCGCCTACCGAGAAAAGGTCGCCAAGGAACGTCAGGCTAGGCTCCTGGAGGAAATCGAGGCCGAGAAGCTGCAAGATGCCCAGCGCAAAGCAAAGAAGGCCAAAGAGGCGCAAAAGCGCAAGGAGAAGGCTGCCAGGAAGAAGGAGCAGCAGGCTGAAGAGAAGGCACGTAAGGAGGCCGAAAGGGCTGCTGAAGAGGCGGCACGCCGAGAAGAAGCGGTCCGCAAGGCTGAAGAGCAGCAACGCAAGGCCGAGGAAAGACGGGAGAAGAAGGAGGCCCAAAAGAGGGCAGAGGACGAGGAGCGTCAACGGAAGGAGGCAGAGCGGCTACGCAAAATGCAAGAACGGGAAGAGAACGAGCGCAAAGCTCGTGAGGCCAGGGAACGGGAGAAGAAGGCTCGCGAGGAGGCGCGCCTAAGGGAGAAAGAAGCTCGAGAGCAGAAGGAGCGTGAGGCCCGCCAGAAAAGGGAACAGCAAGAGCGCGAGCGGCGAGAGAAGGAGGCCAAGGCGAAGGCAGAGCGGGAGGCGAGGGAAGCTAGGGAAGTCAAGGGGCCGAAGGAGGGAAAGGAGACCAAGCACAAAGGGGCAAAGGAGAAGGCAGCTCAGGGGACGGCAGCAATCACCGCCCCGGTTCCGGTTCCGGTGCCCGTCACGCTTCCCAAAAGGCCTTCAACCCAAAATCAACACATGCCCGGGCACCCTGCCGCAACCGCACCAGCGCCAATACAACAGGCCCCAAAGTCCTACGCCTCGCCACAGATTCCCGTGGCTACCCCAGCACTACCCAAGGCTCCGACGCCCATGCGTGTCCGCCAGGCATCACAACATGAGAACGCCGCGACTCCTTCAGGGGCAGCCTCACACCGCGGGTCTGTGGCTAGCCAAAATGCGTCCCCTCGTCCGAGTGCACCAGGGCAGGCGAGCCCCGCGCGGATAGCACCTCCGAATAAGCATGGGGCTGCGAGTATCAACGGGCAGAGCAGTGCGCAGTCACAGTCATACTCGGCGTCTCCACTGAACCTGCCAGCCAAACCACTGCCACCACAACATAGCCCGTTCGGCATCGCCACTATGGGTGGTAGTGGCACACCTCTCCCGCCAGGCTTGCCTCAAACTCCCCCTCCCCCTGGATTCAGCAATGCCATCCACCGGGAACCTTTGTTCCCTCCGGTGTCCGGCTTCAGGCCCGCGCCGGGCATGGGCCCAGTGCCCCCGCCTGGGTTGGGTGGCCCGGTAGGAAACCGAGGGTTCCCGATGCAACCTCCCCCGGGCCTTTACGGTCCTGTGGATGCTATGTCAGGGAGCCATGCCCAAATGATGGGCCCGGCCGTGCCAGCAGGCGACCCGTCTCCGCACTCGCGTCAAAACTCGACAAGCTTCGAGGCAAGCTCGTCTCAACAACCTACCAGCCGCCCGACACCGATAGGGCGACCGGCAAGCGTGGTCCACGGTCAACGACCGTTGAGCGGGACACCCTCGCCTGGGCTGCCCAAGCCAGAACCGGACGCTCATTTAGGGAGTCGCGCTCTCTTGGATGATGGTCTGCAGGACTTCCCCGGACGCCTGGCTCGGGGTACCACAGCACCGGGCCCCCGCCCAGCACCGGGATTCCCAATGGCGCCTTTCGGAATGGAACCCATATTCCCATCGTACGGCAACCCCTGGGGCCCGCCTGGCGTGCTACAGCCGAATCCGTTCGGACCTCTTGCGCCTCCTGCTTTCGGTCACAGCCCGTTAACCATGCATGCCCCAATGAGCATGCCCTGGGGTCACCCGATGCCACCAGCGTCAACTTTCGGAGGACACGGCGTCGTCGACCGGCCGATGGAGCCTCGGTCAGTAGCCGTCAGGAAAATGCTGCGTCGTGCCTGCGAGGAGTTGGCCGATGGCAGCAGCAAGCAGGATGACAACAGTCCTCAAGCCCCTGTCAAGTTCATACCTCTCGAGAAGATCAAGGCACAGATAGAGATGTTCAACCACGGGCATCCTGTCGAGGAGAAGGAGATCCTCGACATTTGCGAGACCGAAGGCAACGAAGTCAATGGCGGCGGCAGCTTTGACGTGCGGGATGACGACAAGGGCGGCAAGCTGATCAGGTTCGTGTCCGGCGACGAGCAGAGAACGCCACAACCGGTGCAAAGGGCGGTCGGATACCACCCAGGGAGCCCAATTGGGACCGGTGCTGGCTCGGTGGTCGGCAGCCGCTAGGATTGGCCGTATGCAGAAGCACCTAGCAGCTTCCAGGCGTGGAGAATCGCGTGGATGGATCTTCTGGACATGTTGCTCGCTCGAGAGCACGGTGCTACCTAAAATTGGTTTCAGCCCGGCGTCCGCCGAAAGGCAGGCGGGTTGCCCTATTAGAAAGAGTATTCCGCCGGACCAGCGAATATCATGGCGATGGGAAATCCTTTGCCACGTAGCGACTTTTGACATTCAGCGAGATATGGATTGTGTGTGATGCACAGTGTAGGCATTTAGACTAGCGAAGGAAGCGATTCGTTGAGTTGCAGCATTGCATTTGCTGCCCTCAGGGCAATCAATTCGGATGAACCACTTTTCTCCCGGGCCGAGCTGTGATCTTGCTTTCTGTTGTATTCGGCGCATTGTCACCGACCAGCTAATGTGAAGCAAGCAAGCGACTCCCGGCGCAGGGGATCTGTTCACCACATGGGCAGCCCCTGGGTGCGTCTCGATCGAGCCCCGATTCAACGGATATAACGCCGGGCCCAAAAAAGAGGACGATGTTTGCCGTGGGAAGCAGCAGCGCTTGCCCGATGGAAACTATGCATTACCAATCAAGATAGTACCCAAAGTACCGTGGACATTGTTCAAACAACCTGTTAAGTTCCCACAAGCTTCTTCCCCCTTTCCCCAACCACAGATTGCCCAGCAACTCAACCAGCACGGCAGCCGTGTGCCGAACAGGTCAATCTCGAGCCCAATAGTGCTCACGGCTCAGCCAGTACACCTCTCTCACCTCAACGCCTGCCCCCATCGCTTGAACCATCAGCAAACGGGTTCGCCGCGCCATAGCCCCCCTGCTGGCCCTGCAGGCCCGGCGACGGCGGGCCCTGGTTCATCAGCGGCTGGCCCTCCACGACGGGGGAGCCGCCCATGCCCGTGATAGAGGTGCCCGGCCGTTTGGCCGTGGCAGTAGCCGTCTTGGCCTCCTTGGCAATCCGCGCCGCCTCGGCCGCCCGCTCGATGCGCTTGTGCTCGCGGCGCTCGCGGCAGCAGAGGAAACAGATGGACACGATGGAGATGACGATGGCCGAGGCGAAGATGATGGCGATGATGGTGCCGTCGACGCCCAGCGAGGAGTGCTTGTACATGCACGACGGGTTGCCCTGCTTGTCGGACGTGCAGATCAGCCCGTCGCGGCACACGGCGCTGGTGAGCACCGTGGGGAAGCACGAGAGTTTCTTGCCGGCGTCGGTGCCCGTGGTTTGGAGCGGGCACGAGGTGATGGAGGACGTTGTGTCGCTGAAGCAGGGGGACGGGGAGGCCGGGTTGGTGGTGGCGGCTGTGGTGGCGGCTGTGGTTTGCCGGGGGACGACCATCGCGGTGATGGCTGGCATGGGATTGCGGGCGGCCATGAGCGGCTCTTTGGCGGCGGCCGCCAGGGAGTCCTCATTGTCGGGTTGCCGACGGCCGCGGCGGAGGTCGTTGGTGGGGGTTTCACATCGCTTTTGGACCCAGTACGCCTCGATTTGGGATTCGGCCGGTGTGCAGCCCGCTGAGTTAAAGCAGCGCTCGAGTTCCCCGGAGAGGGCCTCGGGTTGTGTGGCAATGGGGAGGTTCGAGAAGCAGTAGTTGAGTGAGCCCTTGTCACCGCAGGACGCAACGGAGGCGAGCTCCTCGCTGCGGGTGTGGAGGCATTCGAGGCGGCTGGCGGATGTGAGGGTCGCCGAGGCGAGGAAGAGTGAGGTGAATATTGTGTCGCGCATTTTGTGAATTTCCGCGCTTCCGGATTAGGGGTCGCCGGGAATGTACTGTATAACTAACAGGTCTCTTTCCCAATCTGTGAATCCTTCCTGCGATCGGTGGCTATCCGCTGGTTGTGCCTCGTGGTCTTGGTCGACTTCACTGTCCACAGATCGGCGGGATGCGGACACCAGACTGCTCTTGTAGGGTGCGAGGCTCGACGCGGTGCCGACTGCGGTTGTGGAAATGAAACCCTCAGCGCAAGATTCGCAGGGCCGCAGAATTTCAATCCTGGCAGGCGTACTGCAGGGATATTTTGCGCGGGCAACGTGCAACCGCGTCGATACTTCTCGCCTTCAGGGCAACTTAGAGGGAGGAGGGTTTGGGAGGGAGGCCCAGCTTTAATATCAGCAGCACCTCCTTTTTTTTACATGCCCATTCCATTGCCCAGAGTTCAGCCCAGCCCCTGCTGGGTCAGGCGGGGCCCCTTGACAGCAAGCAGAATGGAGAGGGCATGGGATGGGCGCAATTGGCTCCGGGGCTTGAGTCGCGGTTCACGATGGCACTGCCAGTTGGTGTGTGCCTTTTAGTTCGGCAGGGTCCTGGGTCCAAACAGGGGCTCCTGAATTGAACCAAAAATCTCACGGCAAAGTCGGCTAGAGCATGCACTATCAGCAGCGACAGCCAATAAGAGTCTGCGATTGATATAAATCAAGGCCCACCGAGTGCTCCTATCAGCCAAGGGGCTCCATTGCGACGCAGCCTCAGGTTTCTCCGCTCCTGCGGCGGCTGGTCTCTTGACTCTTCACCGTTACCCAACTCAATTCGGGCTTCTCTGCTTGCTGATATACAGTGTTATATATAGGTAGTTACTGCTGTTCGCGACGCTGCGAACCCGTCGTGATGAAGGACACAGCCAGTCGAAACTGTCTAAGTTGAGATCGAACACCGCACTGGCAACTTGGACGAGTCAGTCATATTGTCTGTGGGGTTCCATTTCGGGAAAAGCCCCCCGCATAATTGTACCACAGTAAAGTGCGGCTGTGCCTAACATGCAGCTTGGGCTGTTCTCCGAAAATGCCCAGACGTTTGATGACCGATAAGGTCTGCCATGGCAAGAATGCATTTGTTGAAGTCCAAGACCCCAAATCACTGATAGCCTCTTTCAACAAGTTCTCAATCCTCTCAGGCATCTTCAACTCGTACCAAGATACAACCCCCCCAGCCTGAGTCTTTCTGACCATATTTTCTTGACTCTCTATACTGTGTATTCACCGCCTTTGCTGAGTTTGTTCTCTAGACTTGCTGCAACCCATTCATCGCACTGTGTCCGCCGCCAACAGCCCCTCAGCGGCAAAGACAGAGTTTGCTGGCAAACCATTACACAACTGCGGTCACCTGCAGCATCTGGCGGCCGCAGCAGGCCGCTAACGTTAGTCAGTGGCTGGGTGAACCACGCTTTGTTGGAGGAGCCTTGCGAGACCGACGTTGCAACCCTAACAAAATTGCTGATTGATCCTTCGATGCTAGCTGAACGTTCCTCAACCTGGGCTGTAGGGCTGGCTCGCATTTATGACCCAGAGGATCTGGACCCAAGTCCGATAGGCAAACTTATAGATCCTGGCCGGTGCTTGATGAGCGAGGGGTTCTACGGGACAGTTGGATACTTTCCACATTCGGAACTTGTAGGCCATCATCCTAAGCTCCGAGAATCAAGTCCTTGCCATCCAAGTCATTTTATTATCTTCCATTTTTATGTTCTCATCTGCGTTCTCCTCTCTAAGGTATTTCTCTTACCTTTATTTCTATCTTTGTCTTTTCTACTTCTCTTTCCTTGTCTCTTGCTGGCTTCTTCTCAGTCTGCTTTCGTCTTCTGTTGTTGTCCTCTATTCTCCGTTTTATTACAGTATTAAGGTTATGGCCGGTGGTGGTCAAAAGCCTAACTATTATACGTACTTTATTGATAATATGAAACAATTGGCCGCGTGGTGTAGTTGGTTATCACGTCAGTCTAACACACTGAAGGTCTCCAGTTCGAACCTGGACGTGGTCATTCGTCAATTTCTTTTGCAAACATGTATTCCACACGTTAATTTATATTTATATGTATTACTTTTTGTTAAGTGAATCTGGAAATAAGCATCGAAAAGGCGGTACAGAGCCGGTTTGCCGGCTTGATAATGGTACCAGATTTTAGTTGTAGCCAAAGAAAGGGCAGAACTGGTCCGGATGTGGCTGTGCAGCACTGCAGCTGGCAGCGCTACGTCATCTTTTGTACGCCCTCAAGCCTATAAAGAGCTTATGTGCGGCCAGCTCGTGGACCATGGCTATACGTAAATGCTTTGCAAGCCAGAACACCACAGCGTACCTCATCATCAACAGCACAGTCGCTCAGTTCCAGAAACTCTCAAACAAAATGCCTCTCGTTGTTCCTGGAGTTACCGCCGACAACATGGGTGGTGACAAGACCCAAGAGTGGATGAACAAGCTTGCCGGAAAGAAGCTGTCAGAGGAGCCGACATCCGAGACGGTCAGTCGAGTTTCTGGTTTCTTCCCCCCTGTGTCTGCTTGCGCTGACGATTCTATGCTCAGACCTTCTGCAAGACGGAGCTGCCCAAAGAGACGCGTGTCATTGAGCCCGGGATGATGGTGACCAAGGACTTCAAGGAAGATAGACTGAACGTCCATGTCAATGAGGATGGGACCGTCTCGCATGTCACTCACGGTTAAGGCAATGGACTGGTGGACGAGCTAAGAGGCGGGGTTTCGCACGTTGTCTTTGCTGCTTCTTGTATGATACCAATCCTTTGATTTTGAGTTCTGCCTTCATGCAAACAGCGGAAACACCTTATTCATCGCATATATTTCCGTCTTCCTTTTAGCATTCAACAGCAAAAGCCGGCACTTCAACACAACGATTCCTCATCTGCCACACTTCACCGTCGTCAAGTGACGACACTGTGGCTGGTGGCGCTCTCCAAGAACCCCGCCAACAGCTTGGCAAACACCCCGCCATCCTTCCCCTCCATTGAGCAACAATCGCGGGGCAATCTTAGCAGTGGCAGCGCAACCAGCAAGTTCTCAACACGCAACGTGTCCTTTGCCTTATAATTCACCAGAACCCTTTAGTATAACGGTGTTGACAAGAGCGTCCGTCGCTCCACCAACGTGCACAATGTTCAAGAAAGAGTAGAGACCCTCTCCCATTGCAGTCCCCCAAGAGCCAAGAAGCTAACCGGACCAGCCTCAACGCCTCCCCCAAGCAGAGACAAAAGCTCAAGTCGTCTATCCAGCGCTCGATCCGGCAGTCCCTCCTCAACACATACCCACTCCTGACGCCCGTCATCGACGAGGTGCTCCCGAAGAAGTCCTCCCTGGAGCAGGTCAAGCTCCCCGACCGCGTGCTGCTCTACCTGATCGACAACCATCCGGTCTTCTACCAGCAGGACAGCGACGGCGTGCTACTCCCACACCTGCGTCTGGTCCATCGTTTCCCGCAATGCTTCCCGACCATACGCATCGACCGCGGCGCCATCCGGTTCGTGCTCAGCGGCGCCACTCTCATGGCCCCAGGGTTGACGAGCAAAGGGGGACGGTTGCCGATTCCGGTTGACAGGGGCGCAGCAACTGGGGAAGAAAAGAAAGATGCGCAGAAGGAAGGGGAAGAAGGAGGGGAGGCGGGCGAAGATGACGGGGAGGCGAAGACGCCGGACGAGGGGCCTGATGAGGACGGGCATTGGAGCAGGGAGCTGGAGAAAGGGGAGCCGGTCGTTATTATGGCCGAAGGGAAGGAGGAGGCTTGTGCCGTTGGGGTGTTGACTATGGGCACGAAGGAGATAAAGGAGAAAGGGAAAGGACCGGCTATGGAGGAAACTCATTACCTCGGAGACGGGCTGTGGCGGTTAAGTCTGGACTAATAGGTGCTTTATCCAGACGGTATAGCCTGCTAGAAGCTTTGCTGGGTGATGACATCGGGATTAAATTGTAACGAGCAAGTCGCCAGCTTATCCTCAGTGGTTGATTCTGTCAAGGACCGGCTGGCTCTTGACTTTGCCGTCCGGTTAGCTCCTGCTCCATGGGGGCTGCCTGACCGAACTAGCAAAGTTCGTTTGGAAAACTTCGGCAGCGATGGAAGTCTCTTCTGACAACATTCCCTACCTTATTCAGGCCACTCCGCATAGATGTCATTAAGTCGCCTTTGCAAGCTGGTGCGTTGCCGACCCCCTTGAACTACATATGTATGAAATCCGTCTAAGTTCTAACCGCCATGCCTTGGCCGCGGAAGGCGAACGGAGTAAAGCTGGGTTGGACTGCGGGAAGCCACAAGGGGGGAAGACCAGATCTGACAAAATGCACCGCAGAAGCAAAAGCAATTGAATAACCGACAACGAACGGATTCGAACCGTTGCGGCCGAAGCCATACGCTTTCGAGGCGTACCCATTAACCACTCTGGCACGTTGCCTTTGAGGCAGGGATGCTGAGGCATCTGTGTTGGAATCACTATTGTTACCCTAATATAGGGTTAGGGTTAATGGCGCGATTTGAACCAATCCGGATGTTCTTTGCTGTTGATGACGCAGGCGGGAGTGGTGAAGTCAACGAGGCGCCAAGGCTACCGGTACCCGACGCAACACCCCTCTTCTTTGCCGCATCGATGTGAACCATCCAAGTTGGCTTACACTCATCTTCTATCGCCATTTTCGTGACGCCTGCGCAAGTCCTCGGTCTTCGAAGACAGTCGATTGCAATCATGGTCGCGAAGGGCGTTTCGGCGCTCAAGTTCGTCGGTACCGTATCGCTCGGTGTCCTGACGGTAAGTTGCGACCTTCCCCGCGCTGACCTTGCATCTGGGATGCGGTGCGGTGTTCAGGCTACAATAACACCATGGCATTCCACCCCTACTGACTCATATCTCCAGGGCCTCTCCTACACACTCTCATCCCTTACCATTCCTGCGCTCCTGACGCTCCCCTCCGCCGACTCGGCCGCCCGGGCCTTCGACACCCTGACGACCAGCGCAACTCGCCACCTCCGTTCCCTCGCCGCCATCTCTTCTTCCGCCTTCGCGCTCGCCTACATCCTTTCCCCACGCCCCGTCCGCCATCCATACCTGCTCTACGCCTCTGCCCTCGCGCTTGGCTCCCACTTTGCCGCCTCCGATCTGATCGCCCCTTACCTCTTGGCTCTGGGCCCCGGCGGCCGGGCGCCACCCGCCTCCGCAGCAGCCCCCAGCAAGGAACGACAGAGGGAGAAGCGCGCCGCGGCGAGGGCGAGGATGGAGGCCAGCTACGAGGTGCTTGGGGATGCGCACAGCGAGGGGAGTGCCGAGGAGATGGAGGGCAGCGAGGAGGGACACGTAAACGGGGAGGAGGTGCGGGCTGATGTGGAGGTCTTCCTGAAGAAGCAGATCGTGCGGAGCGCGGTTGCTGGGCTGGCCTTCTTACTTTCCGTCGTGGGAATCTGGGGCGATGGGGTCGCTCCGGTTTATGGACAGGCTGTTGTTATTGAGGTCTAGGGCACAGACAAGATGAGGTGAAAAGGACGGGGGTCTGTGCTGGATATGGACTTGGGTTACTATCTAAACACTCGGTCTGTTCCGTCACGGAGACGACATGATGGAAGATGTTGCAAAGCTTTTTGAGGTTCGTTTTCCGGAAAAGCCCTTTGGGCCTACTCCTGTCGGGTCTAGTGGTTACGGAAGATTTTTGGGATTTCAGCCAAGAGACTGCAGCTAGAGAAATAAGCGGAGTTTCTTTTCTTTGGTAGGGTTCGTCTCAAGTGCTCCTGCTTGCGCCTTGGACTTAGCGGTCTCACCATCAGGTACCAAAGAAATCAGCTGGTGCGTTCTCTCCTTACCACACCCACAAACTGAGGGCGGTCTTCGTCGTGGCAGCTGGTTCCCCAAGATTTCAGTCTCGGGAGTATTAACCAAGGTGTGGAAGGAACGCCTGGGCAGGGGGGTTCTCATGTGGCAAGACGAAGAGACTAAGAGGGCAGGAACAGCTCAGCAACCGCTGGATGCCGAACTCAGTCTCTCTCACTGCGATGACAATTTCATCTTCGCTCATAGGAACAGTATTTACGCCACAGCTATCTCTAAGGTCGATCGGGGATCACCAACCTTTATCCACCCCTTTGATTTCATTCACTCCTGTCTGGGTCTGCGACGCTTCCGGATCTGGCTTTACATCGCGCTACAACCACGACACTGGTCGACGGCACGCTGGACGGCACCAACGCAAGCTAGCTCCTGCGGGGAGTAACTAATGACCATGGTCGGGGAGGAATGGCTCGAACGGCTTCGCAGAGCTCGTGATCGTCTCCTCAGCCGGCGGGACGACTCGCGTGCCGCAAAATCGCGTCCTGCTATATCTGCGCCGCAGGAGTGTCGACGGCTATTCGAGCCACAGCTGCCTTCCCAGCGTCAGGACAACTTACCCGTACCTGCGAACAACGGCCGAGAATTAGCCCCAGCCGGCCGCTCAGTTACCCCGTCTGGACAGCTGAACCGGCCCGCACACGTCCAGCTATGGGCGCCAGGAATGCCTCGCACATCACAAGCCCCCGCAATACAGCCGATCCCGCCGGTTCCCGGCACGCTACCACCTCAGACCGAGAGCAACGCCAGCCGGCCCTCACGCCCCCGACCTCGTCGTCGTCGCGACACGAACCGCCCTCGCCCTCGCGTATCACACCCTTCACCCCCGGTCGGCGGAATCAATCCGCCTCTCACCAAGTAGTGCTGCCGGGCCTGCATGGCGAGTGAGCGCGAGAGTGACAGCGGCAATGCGCATGGCGCAATGGAGATACAGGCTTATAGTGTGCGCTCTAGACGGAGCATTCCGGCGGTGTCAACTCCAGTGGCAGCCGCCAATGGAAACCCGGGGAATTGGATGCCTAGATTGTCGTCGGCTTTTGGTTGAATGGGGGTGTCCCTTGGCCAGATCAGTTGGAGTTGGGTTGTTCGGACTGGACATGCTGGCCGTCGTGATGGGCTTCACCGCGGAGACACGAGGAGGTCGAATGCAGAGTTCACCGGCAGTTCCAGGGGCGCCAAGCCGTGTCTGAGTGTCTCCGGATTCATTTGTTGCCGGCCAGCGTTGTTTGTTTCCCGTTTGAACACTAAGGTACTTTTAGAAATAAATGGTTAAGACTATCTCTCCTGCCGAGTCTACTCACTTGATCGATTTGATGGTCATCCTTGTCACATAAGATGGACCTGACGAAGATGGTGGTGTTTAAGAGCGGGGCCGTGGGAAGGCTCAGCTCAGCTATGTACTAGTGTAGCCTTCTAGAGCTTCCATCAACGGATAAGGCAAGATGGCCGAGCGGTCTAAGGCGCTGTGTTCAGGTTCTCTGATTCGCAGTCCGAAAGGGCGTGGGTTCGAATCCCACTCTTGTCACAAACTTTTGCTTCTTCCCACAATTGTGGGAAAATGGTTCTTTTTCGTTTGTTTCCCAAGCATTTTTGCTTCCTTTCTGGCATCACAGAACAATCATAGTAGAACCTCGTGACCCCCTGCCCCGTCGCGAAGACGGAATGGTTTGTGAGGTGGCGGTGGTGCAAGAACGCAATGGCTCGTCCCTCGGCTTGACTCTTTTCTGAATCGGGTAGGTGGGGAGTTCAATGTTCAACAGGTGCACCCCCTACGTTCTTAAGGATGACCCCTGGCATCCCGTCCTCAAAACTCCGCGGCAGAAACTATCACAGGATGTGTCTGATATAAATCAGCCCCAATTGCGTCCAACGGTAGCTGGCAATGCCATCCGACCTCTGCCCTAGACCCCGCCCGCACTCTCCTTTGGCATAGACGGCGTTCCCGTAGACCACGTCGCTGGTTCGGCTCTCCAATGCAACCAACGCCGCCCCTCCGGTTCACGGCCTGGCCCGCGATCAGCAGCAGCTTCCCGTGCTTGCGTGCTCCCCTCACCAGAGCATTTCTCACGCTCGCCCGCAGCTGTACATCTCAGCTCCGCAGCCGAAATCCAACACAGTCCCGTTCGCCATTTCCATCCGCCCGCACAATGGCCTCCCACTGCTCCTCCCGGCCCGGGCCGTCGTCTCCCGGCGGCGGCCTCGAAAAGCTCCCGTCCTCCTCGATCCGCGTCCTGCGCTCTGTCGAATCCCTCCGCCGCTGGCGCCGGCCGCACCTCCTCGACCGGCGCTCCGTCGCCCTGGTGCCCACGATGGGCGCGCTGCACGAGGGCCACCTCTCGCTGATCCGCGCGGCCGCGCGCGAGAACCACCACGTGGTCGTCTCCATCTACGTCAACCCGGCCCAGTTCGGCGTGCGCGAGGACCTGTCGTCCTACCCGGTCACCTGGGACGCCGACGCCGCCGCCCTGGTGAAGCTGGATCGCGAGTTGGCCGACGACGGGCAGAACCTGGGCCGCATCAGCGCCGTGTTCGCCCCGACCACCGCCGAGATGTACCCCGGCGGCTTCCCCGGCCAGGAAGTGGATAGTAAAGGGAGCTTTGTGACCATTACCCCCGTGGGGAGGTGCTGGAGGGCAGGTCGCGGCCGACCTTCTTCCGCGGGGTCGCGACCGTGTGTATGAAGCTGTTCAACATCGTGCAGCCGGAGCGGGTGTACTTTGGGCAGAAGGATGTGCAGCAGACCGTGGTGATCAAGCGGTTGGTGCGCGACTTTATGCTGCCGATCGAGGTGGTTGTGGGGCCGACGGCTCGGGCAGAAGACGGGCTTGCGCTGAGCTCGAGGAACGTTTATCTTGGCGGGAGGAGGCGCGGCGTGGCTACCGTGTTGTACAGGGCGCTCCAGGCTGCGGAGGAGGCTTATAAAAGCGGTGCGAGAGATCGCGGCGCGGTCTTGGGCGCAGCTGAGAAGTTGCTGGGCGAGGCGCTCTCGGAGCAGACGGCGCTCGCGCCGGAGAGGCGGGTGCGGTTCGAGGTCGACTACGTTTCGCTGGCTGATCCTGACACGATGGAAGAGCTGCCCGTTGTTGACCCTGCGAAGGGAGGCATCCTCAGCGGTGCGGTGAAGATGTTGCCCGTTGAGGTCCCGCGGGACGGAGAGGACCTTGGCCACAGCGGAGGGCCGGCCGTCAGGCTGATCGACAACATCATACTGCAACCTGCCGAATAGTGCTACTATTCATCCTGTCCTTTGGATCGTTTTGGATTGCGTGGCGTATGAGGACTTTGAACGGCTTTAGCGGCATGTTGGTATGTTGGCATGTTGGCAAGCTTATAGATGTGTTAGAGCTGGAATAGTGACATTAGCATGGCAACGTGCGGGTTCTCAGGATAGCCATGAATTCTCTGCTTTTATTTTCTGCTGTATGTCTCGATGAGACATTAATGCGGCGAAAAGCAGTCTCTTATACCATAATTGCTTCCGAGACCTCGGGTGTTCGGAGCAACAAGATTTCTTCTATCAGTATTTCTCCCCGTTTTCTGCTGCGAGACGGTGATTTAGGTGGGCGTGTCCTATTCAGTCGACAAGGCATAACCACCTGTCTGTTCACATTCAACCCTCATAGTTGACTCAGCCATCGCCCTCCCACCCATTCATCGACAAACTCGCCATTGTCATCGCAAATCGATACAACCAGCAGGCGGAACGCCATGAATCGGTCATCACGATGGCCAACAACTGGGGTCTGCACGGTCCTCGCGAGGGCCTAGGTTTGGGACACCCACAACCTTAGCCGACCGTCGACGTGGCAAGAGAGGTAACTAAAAGCAGAGCTGGTCTGACCGGGGTGACGGGAGGGATCTGGCTGACGCGACGAGCTTGGCCTATCCGTCTTGAGGTGTCTGTCTTGACGACCTCGATTGTGTCTCTATCAGAACTGCAAGCCGATAATTCTTTTTGGCCAAGACAATGTGAAGATGCTTCTATGTTAAATAGTCCACGAAACGTGGCTCGAGCCGTGACCCGGTATTTATCGGCCTCAACTTCGAGCCGTACTGACTTGTACCCTCTGTACTGGTGCTTGAAAGCAAGGGAACCTTCGGTGTTCTGATATGTGGGGCAGCATACAAAATGGCAACAATGCTTGCGTGGCTAGTTTTGGACGACAAGGTCGAGGGGTGACTTCATTTCCCCAATAGACGCGCAGAAGGGTCGTAGAAACCGAGGCCATCCTGGCCTGGGTTCCGGCCCAATGGCCGAGAACTAGGCGTCGGCCCTGTCCTTGAGTCGAGATACGGCTCGACGGCTATCGGGACCTTCAACTTCGGGATAAAGAAACTATAGTGGGTGCTCGGATCCAAGCCGATCCAGCGAGTGGTAGGTCATGTTGCGGAGTTCATATCAGGTCGTCCTACGTATCTTCAGAACTCCTCCAACCCAACGTTCTGCTGGGAATCGCTGAAGGGCAGGCAGTCGTGTGCCAGCGCGGGATTCTGCTTGAGATGCCACAGGTCGTCGCCAGAGGGCGCAATGACCGTCCCATCAGGAGCTCGGGTAAGCTGAAGAAGATAGCTGTCCGAGAATAGATCGAACGATGTGCCGGTATCGATCCAAGTGCCCATAGAGCGGAAGATGGACCAGGAAAAAGAACGGCGGTGACCGACGCCAGTCTGCGACATGTACCCTACTTCACTCAACTATTCGAGGCTGCCTTGGCGTTCAGCGCCTTCTCCGCGCTGGCGATAACGGCGGCAGCCGGCGTCCACCACGAAGAGACCGTCTCGGGAATCTTTTTTGCAGAACACTATGAGAGATGTGAGTGAGTGACAAGAGATAACACGGAAGAACACAAACCTCTCATGCCCTGGAGAGTCTTGTGGGTACAACCGGGACCGCGAGAACCCTCTGGCCCTTTCGCTGGCGTCACCGGGCGTCGGAGAAACAGGCTAGGTCTCGGGACGTTTCTCACAACTTCTTAGAGAAGTGCGACCTGAACTTCCGCGATGCACGATCAGCCGACCGGAACTGGAACTGCTCCCCGTGTATCTCAAACACCATCTTGGACATCTGCTCTAGCTGCTGCCCCTGCGCCTCGCCTTCTCCGACCTTCGATCCCGGCACAGGCAGCGGCGCGGGCACCTCAAAGCGAAACACCGTCCCTTCCTTGGGCACCAGTTTCAACCTATCCTTCCGGGTAACGATCTCGAACGCAAACTTGGAATCCTTCACCACGATGCCCTTGATCCCCACCCGACTCACACACCCGCTGCGCACGACCTCGACCCCGGCGCCGTGAAAATCCGCGCTCGCCAGCTTCGCCGCGGCGCCCTCGCCGCCCGTGTAGATCTCGCCGCCCAAGATCTCGCGCACGTATCCCAGCCAGAGCTGGTGCAGTGGCTCGAAGAAGGCGTATTTCTGCCTCTCGCGGGGCACGTCGTAGAGGCCGAGCTTGCGGCGCTGCGTCGCGGATAGCGGTTTTGGCTTGAGCGCCTTCTTGCGCTGCTGCTTTTTCTTTTCTTGGGCTCGCCGTCGCGCGGCGCGCGCGTCGGACGGTGGCGGGGAGGACGGGGTGAGGAAGAGCGGCCGCTGTTGGATTTTCTCGGTGAAGATCCGGTTTGCTTCGTCTGGTTCGTGGGCGCGCGAGAGGAGAACGGCGGCTATGGGCTGGTCCTTTTTAGACTTGGTGTCCATATTTGGGGGTCGTGGGAGTGGAGTGCAGCAAGCACTCCGGAGTGTGTACGAAGTATTACTTCTAGTACGGCGCTATGAAGCGTGATTTTGCAGATTGGAACTGGAACTTTCCGCCGCGTGCAGCCGTTGAAGCTGAGTCCCGCACTAGTCCCCGCTAGGCTTAGGCTCGGCTCGGGTACTCCACCACCCCATGGGACAGTTGAGAACCCCTGTCAACAGCTTCCCATCCTTGGAGCAATCACAAGCCAACCTCGGGAACCGGAGGAAAGCGTCGGCAACTTCTCCCGTTACCCATCAGATGATGTGTTAAGTGCTAATAAGGCAACGGCCATTGACTCGCCCGCCCTGAAGTGCTGGCAACTCGCAGCTATCGATCTGTACTCAGACGACACAGGGCACCACTCAATTTAGGCTTGACGAGTTCAAGGGTGAAGGGCGAGGAAAAGAGGTCGCAGACGTCACGCAACGTTGGACAGTCCAGCAAACCAGAAGTCGCCAACATGGCGCAGGACAACCGCAACGATTCGGCGCCCGACTTGCGCATCCTGGGCGACCGCATTACGCTCCAGCCCAGCGGCTTTGTCGAGCCGGCGCTTACAGACGAAGGTAAGGAGGAGGCGCTCATGAGATATGGCGCTCGCTTCCGGTCTGAGCCGTTGCGGTACGCAGCCCCTTTCTCCCAGCGTCATTCACTCCATTTCCTTGCACGCCCCCACTAACGCTGACTGAACCCTCATACAGCTTCCTCCGCGAGGTATCCCTCTATGTCTCCGGCACCGGCTGGCGCGCCTATGACGACGTCATCGGCCAGCCCATCTTCTACTCGGGCTTCTCGGAGCACATCAGGGGCCAGGTCATGTCGGCGACGCTGTTACAGGCCAAGATCGCGCAGCTGGCAGACATGCGCATCGCCATCGAGGAAAAGGAGGGCCTACTGAATAAGAATGATGAGGATTTCTGGGCGAAGCGCGCACAGCGCCGGTCGGTGCTGGTCCAGAGCCTGCAGGAGGTGGCCGAGAACATGACGGACAACATGATCTGCAAATTCGACAGCAAGCCGTTCATCAGAGGCGCTTATTACTTGGTATCACAGCTGCTGTTGAGGGCGTACCATCAGGGGATCCACGTCTCGAGTGAGGAGGTGCTGCGGTTGCGGAGTGTGGCCGAAGAAGCAGCCCGCAAGAAGCAGAGCATCATCTTCTTGCCCTGTCACAGGTCCCATGTCGACTATGTCTCCCTGCAACTTCTCTGCTACCGGCTTGGCCTGGCGCTGCCAGTCGTCGTGGCTGGGGACAACCTGAACTTCCCGGTAGTTGGGAGTTTCCTACAGCACGCCGGTGAGTCCCTGCTGCTCGCTTACCCTCTCTTGCAAGTGCCGGAAATGCTCACGTCTCATCCAATAGGAGCCATGTACATTCGCAGATCCTTTGGTGATGACCAGCTCTACACCGCAGTAGTCCAGACGTACATCGATGTCATGCTTCAGGGCGGGTACAACCTCGAGTGCTTCATCGAAGGCGGCCGCTCTCGGACGGGGAAGCTGCTCCCGCCCAAGTTCGGTATCCTCAACTTCGTGCTCGACAGCCTTCTCTCCGGCCGCGTCGAGGACGCCATCATATGCCCGGTCAGCACACAGTACGACAAGGTCATCGAGACGGAGGGTTACGTTACGGAACTGCTGGGGGTGCCGAAGAAGAAGGAAAACCTCGCCGACTTTCTCACGAACGGGTCCAGTGTGCTCTCGCTCCGGTTAGGGAGAGTTGATGTACGCTTCCACGACCCTTGGAGTCTCCGGGGCTTCATCGACGAGCAACTCTCCCGGCTGTCGAAGGTACCATCGGCGGTTAAGGTCGACTGGAAAGACATGGAGAACCAGGTCGTGCGCCAGAAACTACTGCGGACGCTGGGGTACAAAGTGCTGGCCGATATTAACGCCGTGTCTGTGGTGATGCCCACGGCGCTGATCGGCACTGTTCTTCTCACGCTGCGCGGTCGCGGCGTGGGGAGAACCGAGTTGATCCGCCGCGTCGAGTGGCTCACGGAAAGGATCCGAGCCAAGGGAGGACGGGTCGCGCATTTCGGCAGCGCGCCGTTGCCGGACGTGATCGAACGCGGCTTGGAAGTGCTCGGCAAAGACCTCGTGGGCTATGTTGAGGGGCTCGCAGAGCCGACGTACTACGCTGTCGACAGGTTCCAGCTCTCCTTCTACCGGAACATGACGATCCACCTGTTCATCTCGGAGGCGTTGGTTGCTGCGGCCCTGTACACGCGCGTGAAGCAGGGAGGCGGACCGGCGATCCAAGACATTCCCTACCAGAACCTGTACGACCAGGTCTTCTTCCTCTCCTCGCTCTTCCGTGGCGAGTTCATCTACTCGGGCGAAGGGCTAGCCACGAACTTGGAGAAGACAGTTCTCGGCTTGGAGGCGGACAACGTCATCTTCATCGAGAAGAACGAGGAGGGACAGATCACCAAGGTCGGCCTCTCCGACGCCGAGAGAGCCGCGGGCCGAGAGAACTACGACTTTTACTGCTTCCTGATCTGGCCGTTCATCGAGGCCAGCTGGCTGGCTGCCGTCTCGCTGATGGGCCTGACTCCGCCGCCGGGCCAGAAAGATGACATCTGGATCCCGGTGTCCAAAGCACAAGAGAGCGCACAGTTGGTACGTTCTTTCTGAGCACCAAACTCCAGCGTCTCCGGAATGCACTGACAGATTTTTGCTCTCTCTCGCAGCTAGGAAAAACGCTCTACCACCAAGGCGACCTCTCCTACTTCGAGGCCGTCAACAAGGAGACGCTCAAGAACTCATACCAGCGCTTCGAAGAAGAGGGCATCATCCAGGTCGTGAAATCCAAGGACACGCGCATCCCGCCGAGGCTGCGCATCGCGCCCGAGTGGCGCCCCGGCCGCGACGAGAAGACGGGCAGGCTCCTGGCGTCCGGCCGGCTGTGGGACTTCACCGAGAAGATTGCCTCGAGCCGGCGCGAGGGCAAGAACAGACGGGACGGGGCCACGGTGAGCACGCGCGTGATTGGCCTGACGGACGCGCTGGGGAGGAAGCTGTTTGACGACGCCGTGAGGGGTGATGAGGGGAAGGGGAAAGGGAAGGGCAAGGGTAAGATGACCGCGCCGGCTAGGCTGAGTAGTGAGGAGGAAAAGAGCTTGAGCCGGAGCGTGTTGGAGCAGAGGAGACGGCGGAGATTGGAGGGTAGGGCGCATTTGTGAGTTTGGGTGGGACTTGAAGTTGGGTTATGATTTACTAGTAGCTTTTGTTTCGATGACCTGTACATGTATGTGCGCGCATTCTGCCCGGGAGGGGATGGAGACGGTGAGCATGTTTTGGCAGACTTGGTAAACAAAAGGGGTCCAAACCCCAGGCGTCAGGGAGTAGAACTGTGGTAGGAGGCTTAGGCCTTTTGAGTTGCATATTACAGACTGTAGTTATTGTTAGACACATCAAGGCTGGCAGATACACGGGGAATTGGGCTGCTTTGTGGGAGGCTAAGGTTTATTTCGGGGCGTGGAAGATCCATCCCGCATTTTGGGTGCTATTAAAATAATTAGGTAGACAGACACCAGAATAATGCTTCTTGAACACGCTGCTTGCTCAAGTCAGAGGCCCAGACCCTTTTGCATGGTGATCATACGGAAGGGCCCTCCCTTGTTTGTTCCCAAGAGGTTGCCAGAATTCCCAACATATATTAACTCCTTATCTATGCTAATAAATGTTTGTGCGGTGCAATTGCTGTTTGCCCTGCCAGTACTGAGGGGAGCCGGTGACTGGGAGGCCGGGAGATACTCAGTCTGCGCTGCGCGAGGTTCTTCTAGCCCCGGTCGTTCACCATCTTTCCTCGTACTTCACCGCCTCGCCCGCTCCGCAGACTCATGCCCTGCGGCAACCCAACCGGAGGAGGTAACGGAGCCAACTGGCCGAGACTCGACGCCGACGGCGGACTCGCCCCCACGGCGTCTTCCCACCCCCACGCGCTCTTCAGCTCGGCCGCAATCCTCCCCAGCCGCCAGCCCGTTTCCGAGCCGATCCGCTGCAGGATGCCGAGCACCTCGCTCTGCTCACGACGATCAGCTAGCGCGGCGCCAGCAACGGCTAGGCTGCGGATGGCGATCGACATGACGACGCGATCGCGGGTATGGGCGACGATGCCGCAGACGTGGTGCGCGTGGTGGAGCTGTGCGGCCCGGTTTTCCCTGCTGTCGCGCGGGTCGAGGGGGTTGATCTGTGCTAGGAGGCACATAGCTGTGTGGTAGAAGGCTCTGCCGAGCTTAGCGGAGGGTTTTATGAGCCTAGAGCAGTCAGTGGTGACATTCCGGGTCCGATAAGGGGCGTGGGAGAGTGGGAGATCAGTTCAGTTACGTAGGTAGTTTGACTTACCACACGTTAGGAAAGAGAGACTTGGGCGACGGTCCCGGTGAATATCCATATGGACGCATCGACCGGGGGCAGTTGAGGTTCCAAGCGTTGCACATGTTCTGGAGGCGTCTCCACTCGGCGAATCGGTTCTGCAGGCGCACCTGCTCGTCATGGGGCGACGGTTCTTGGAACTGCGGAGCGTTGGCGCGGAAGTTTGCGACCTTGGCCAATATGTAGAAGATGCGATGCACCCAAAGTTCCTCGTCGCCAAGCTGTTCGGGATTGTTCTCGACGGTGGGATGGCGAGCACCGCCGTTCTCGACCTGGACACTCCATATGTCATCGCTGGTAGCGACGCTGCGGCTCCTGCTCCTGCTTACGCCTCCCAGAATGGCAAACTCCAGGTCCAGACCCCATTGATCGGGGTCCCAAGCCGTCGGCCAGCCAAAGGATATGCAGCTGAGCACTTCCATCCCAACATTGACCCAGAAACAGGCGGCCCCGAGACCGGCCGAGGAGGCGTCCCAACCGCATCCGCGGATCAGCGCACGCGTGGATGCGATGTGTCCCAGGCGATGGTTGAGCCGGTCGCCCATGATATCGTAGGCATTAAGCACAACGGCCGTCAGCGCGCACTCTGTGAGGTCGCGATCTCGGCTCTGCTGGCTGCGCATGAGCTGGGTCGTCGCCATGTCGTAGTAATAGTCTGCTTTCTCGCCGTCTTGTGCACCGATTAGCGCTAGGTGTTTGGCCCCGCAGGCTAGCATTGCGTTGAGCAGCATGGGCAGCTTGAGTGCTAGGTAGGGCACCGTTGTGGCGAAGTGTTTGTCCTTGTCTAAAGCGTCCATCCAGCTGGCCACGTCGTCTATGAAGGCCTGCATGAAACAGATCTCTTCGTCGGTATTCAGATAGTCTCGTTCCCCTGTTGTCTGCTCACTTGATGGCGTCTCGAGTCTGCCAGGCACATCTAGATGCTGTCTTGGGTCTAACTGGCTACTGGATCGGAGGACATGTGCTGACCCGGCACTCCGGAAAACTGCCGGTGAAGCGGTGCTCAACCCATTCTCCGTAGCGGTATTATAGGTACTGGGAATAGGTCCCTTAGCCATCTCTTTCCCATCGAGCGGTCCATAGACGGGTATGTCCTCGCCGAACCCAGCAGCTCCCGGTTGCAATCCCAGCGCAGGAGGGAGGTTAGTAGCATTCGCCTGGGTCAGGCCACGGTCTGTGTGAATTATCACTTTAGGGGGAGGCTGACCGACGTCGCTTGGATGATATACATCTCGGGCAGTCGATGCCTCCCCATTGCTGCTGGTCACCTGAGAACCCGCCGGCTCCGTCTGGCGAGCGCATGTCACATCTAGATCCGCCTCTGACGGCGATGAGACGATCTTCGGATACCGACCAAGGCCTCCTTTGTATTCGGAAGCGATCGACCGAGACTCATCCAGAATTTGGACTAGAGCGGAGTGAAATCAGCACGTCAACTATAAGAGAGCTGTATGCAGAAGGAACGTACATGACCACTCCGTGGTTAAGGCTAGGCGAGGAGGGTCTTTCACTTGGATATCGAGGAAGTTCAGCCGTATCCCACGCCTGCACTCGCGGTTGCTCTTGCGGCAGTTGTTGCAGTTCGGAACCCCCTCGTCGCACTTGAGATGACGTTCGCGACAAGTTAAGCACCCTGTACGTACGCGCTTGGGTTTGCCTACCACGGGGCTCGCCGGAAGAGCATGCTTACTTCCGCTGCCCCTGCCGTTATGGTTGCCAGTGTTGACTGTTCCCATGTTTAGCACTGGTGGGGGTGTAACGCCGGTATCTGACGCCCATAGCTGGCTGCTGGCGACGAAGAGGCCCTGTGGTGTGTCCAGGAGTCTCACCGGCGAGGCCCCGCGCTGGGCGTTGGGGCTATGGTTGCTACCGGGTGTGGTATACGGAGGCGATGGCGCGGCATTCTCAAGGTTTGGAACTGCAGAATGCAATGAAATACCGAAGCTATGGTGTTGCTGGCGGGAGTGCGGATGGACCCGGCGATCTAGATCCATAACCCAAGGCGTCTCAGCGAAGAGGTGCCAGGGAGCTGCTTGACAGGGCTCAGAGACGGCTGACGACGCCAAGGGCGGAGGGAGCTCCTCTGAAACCAAATGCTTGTGATGTGGAGTTCGAGTTGGAAGCCATGGGTCTGGGATTCAGATGCTGCGGCTATCCGCTCGTCCTGGCCTAGGCAGACGGCGCTGAAGGCTGCTGGTGTTGCTGCAGGGTCCCGAAGCAAGGTCGAGGTATCCCAACTCTAAACCGCACACCGTACTCCGTATGCTTTGGACCGAAAGCGTGGGGTTGCAGATTGTCACCAAGACGTTGTGTCACAGGGTCACCCAAGCGGAGCGACGCGCGGAACGGCGCGCGGGCGTGGAGGTGTGGAAGTAACCATCGTGTGCCATGAAATACGGGGCAGCGTCGCACTGACAAGTGAAGCGGTTAGAGTTGCATTGTCGACAGGGGCCAGCTTGTTTGAGGACCAAGGGTCTTGTCTGGGAGTCTGGCTCGAGCCTGGGAACCTGGGAACCCTTCGAAACTGTAGAAACATCCCTTCTCCGGGGAGCCGCTAGTATATCCATACATTAAGCTCAGTAAGATTCCTGTTTTCGTTTTCTAAATGACTTTATTTAGCATGTTTCCGAAACTAACGCAACGATCACCACTTACCACGATGGACGTCCTGGAGACTCGCAAGGTGGGACTCCACTTGGCAGTTGTACCTAGAAGCCAATTCGAGGAGTCGAAATGCACGAGTCCAATAAATTTGACACAGTCGTGTTGTCCCAGGTTGTGTGGCCAGACCGCTCAGAACCGAGCGCAGTGCTGACACCTGAGGACAGTTTGTCTGGCGAGCCTGGTACATATACACGTACGACGTGTCGTTTCCATTCAGTCAATCCTGAGAGGTACGGCACGTACGGTTCCTTTCGCATGTCTTCCTCATTGTCTGTAAGATACAATACATACATGTATTGTACTAGTATGATTCGAAGTACTGACAGAACGCACCTAGGGGAACTTGCACGCACAGCATCATCTGCGAATAGGTAGGTTACCCAAAGCCCTTCTACATATTTGTCTATCTTAACATCAAATCGATCGTGCAGGCTTCTAAGTCCCTTCTCTAAGCACTTTTATCGTGGAATCTCTCGTTGTAAAACAGAGAAATCTATGGAGAGAGTGTGTAACGTACCTACAGTGGGGTGCGGTAATAAACTTACGCTTGTATTGTATTTACAGAGATTTAAGCGTGCCAAGCACTGTATCTTACACAGTGAGATCCCCTCCGTCGATCTAGTGTTGGGTTGAGTCCAATGATCCTCAACGCCGGCACCCAGGGCGTGCCCGGCGAGCCTCCCTGTTACCAAGTTGTTTACACATAGGTATGGAAACAAGGTCCGCATGTCAAGATACTTATTGTAGTAGTGAGCTTGAGCGGCATATGTTCTAGAAGAAACCCACACTGGACTGGCAGTCAGTTCAAATCTGCGGCCGGACCTGCTTCAAGTTCCGCTCACACGTTTACTGCACGAAACCTTAAATCCTCCCCCCACAACACTTCTCCACCACGACCATAGCCATTGTCTGCTGGATCGGGCATCCGCCAGCCAGTCGAGTTCGGGTTGTTGACTGCCCCAAATGGCGACTGAAGCACGGCCCGCGCAGCCCAAGTCGATCCTGCGTGGCCACAAGGCCCAGGTGCACGCTGCCGCCTTCGTGCGCGGCAACGAACGCCTACTGACCGGCGACGCAGATGGCTATGTCGTCGCGTGGGATCTCACCATAATGCGCCCTCGGGCGGTGTGGCAGGCCCATGCCAATGCGATCCTGGGCATCGCCGGCTGGGGCCAGAACCGGTTGATCACGTAGGTTGATGCTGGTGCCTCCCCACAAAACTCGGATCGAGACCAGTTTTACTGAGACAAGGATGGTAGGCATGGAAGGGACAACAAGCTCATAGTCTGGAAGCTCAGCGCAGAGGACGAAAGCAGACTCAGCACCAGGCTGCCCCTCGATCCGTCTCCGGAGAGCCGGGCCCAGCCATGGATTCTGCACATGCTCGATGTCAACACCATGAACTTCTGCTCGTTTTCGCACTGCCCTGTCTCTCCAGAGTGTAGTGCTACAGCATCTGAGATTTTTGTTGCAGTGCCAAATACCCTTGCTTCAGAGGCTGTGAGTGCTATCCGAGACTCAATTCCAAATCGAGAGCACACACAGCTAATACATGTGCAGATTGACATATTCCACCTGCCCTCACAAACACGGCGGCACACGGTGAAGCTCGGCGAGAAGAACGGCATGGTCATGGCCGTGTCACTGCTCCATCAACGTGACACATTGACTCTCGTTGCGGGCTACGAAAATGGCCTGGCAACAGTCGCCAAGCTCGACAGCCATGGTAATTGGACGGTCAAGTACCAGGCACAGTGCCATTCCCAGCCCATCCTCTCACTCGACGTCTGCCCGGGGAGAGAGTTCTTCCTCACGTCCAGCGCGGACGCCATCATCGCCAAGCACCCTCTCCCCACATCCCCTCCTTCCCCGTCTGATGAGACGTCCATACCACCACCACCGCCCTCCATGACCTCCAGTCCCTCCTCGAAACCGAACCCAGCCAAGTCCCTCCTCTCAGCCGTCCTCTCCAGCCCAGACTCCTCCCACCCCGAACCCCAACAGCAAACCGCAGCCGCCAAGCCATCCCAACGCGAAGACATCCAAACTCAGCCCCTGAAGGCGGTCAACACGAAGCACGCCGGGCAACAATCCCTCCGCATCCGCTCCGACGGTCGTATCTTTGCCACCGCGGGCTGGGATGCCAAAGTGCGGGTTTACTCGACCAAGACGCTCGCCGAGGTGGCAGTGCTGAAGTGGCACCAGGTGGGGTGTTACGCGACTGCTTTTGCCGAGGTGGTGGTCGTCGACAGCGACGATGTAGCATCGACTTCAGAAGCTCTAAAGGAAGGGGAGTGGGAAGATGGCCAAGGGGTAGGGGTTCAGGATGAGGGGCGAGGAGGTGAGGAAGAAGAGGAGGGGAAAGAAAAGGGAGCGGGGCAGGGTAATAAGAGTCTGATTCCTGTGCCCAAGCTGGTGGAGATGACTGTGAGGGAGAAGCGTGTGCGTCAAGTGCGTACGGCGCATTGGTTGGCGGCCGGGAGCAAGGATGGGAAAGTTAGTTTGTGGGATGTCTTTTAATGTGGACATTATTGCAGTCCTCTTCGGTGTGTTTCACTGACACGAAGTTGTGAGTAAGTTCACGGACACTGCTTTCGTGGCATGCCTTTGTCTAGCCATTGGTGTGTGTCTACGTGGTGTAGCGACTTGCTCTGGCTCTTCATTAGAGCAACCGTCGTCTATATAGCTTACAGAAACCCACAGCAAATCCCTTTTTTATCTCTTGAGTATAGAACGTCTATGTCCGATGCCGACGTACCCGCCACGGCATGCCATGCAGGAGATCCTATCTTTATCTCCCAATTATTTTAGCACCAACAGCTGGCAGAGATTGTTCCAGGAAAGCGAAAAAGATGAGAGAGCAGAGCATAATCCCCAAGATGTCCCCCGGTGTCCATGAGGTTGGGACTCAGAAATGCCAATGCCGGCGCCTTCCTCGTTGCGTGCCCGCCTGATACTGCCGGCCTTTTGCTGCTCGAAAATGGCCAAGGGGCTGGTTTCCTTCTTCCCCGTGCGACGGGTGCACGACATCACCACCATTCACCGTCAACCAGCCCACCTATACCTCTTCTCCAAGCAAAGTCTTTAGATGGTGCCCACCGCCTGCACCACCTCCCCATCGGCGACTTTGCCGCCCTCCATCATGCGCGTGTCTTTCTCCACCTCGATAGGGGGAACAACAATACCGTACTTATCGTACGGAAAATCGACGAGGGTGGGCAGGTACTCTGCCCAACCGTCGTCAATCTCACCAAGCTGGTGCAGATCGATATTCCCGGCCTCGCCCGTGCGCCCCGCGAGAACCTCGGCTTCGCGGCCGGCATACTCCTTCTTGAGCATCGGATGCGGGCACCAGATGACGCGCATGCCGGCGCGGCGGCCGGCCTCGACGCCCGGCACGCTGTCCTCGAACACGAGACACTCCTCCGGCGTGATGGGCTTCTCACCCGCGGGGAGGGAGTCGTTGATCGTCTTAAGCGCGAGCAGGTAGATGTCGGGCAGGGGCTTGCCGCGGCCGGGGTCGATGCGCTTGTCGTCGCCTAGGACGCGGCGCGGGGTCTCGAAGACCGAGAAGAGCTCGGTCAAGTGGCTTGTCTTCAGACGGAAGTTGGCCTCGTGGGACGAAGTGGCCAGGGCGATGTGCACGCGGTGCGGGGCTTTGTTGTTGTCAGACGACTCAGGCTTGCCGTTGCTGTTCGTCTCATCATTCTTTGCCTTGAGGTCCCAGTAACGGGTGCGGCCGAGGGCGGAAAGCAGCTCCGGGACGCCGGGCAGAGGCTGGGTGGTCGGGAAGTGCTTGGCCTGGAGGGCGTAGTACTGCTCGATGTACTCCTCTTGCGTGATCGGCAGCTGGGCCCAGTCGTGGAACAGCTTGTTGGCAGCGGGGCCGGGACGACCTTGCAGCTTTGCCTTGATGCTCCACGGCAGCTGAGGGCGCTGGTACTTCTCAAGGATGAGGTTGATGCACAGCGTGTACAAATCCTCGGTGTCGAGAAGCAGCCCATCCATGTCGAAGAGACAGGCGCGGACGGGAGGGAAGCTACCGAGTGTTAGTCACACTTCCTAAACAGCAAGGTCCTTGTACTTACTCGGTTCTCGGCGCCATGATGATGGTTATTCAGACGAATCGTTCTTTATGGCGGGAGTTTCTGACTTCAAGACGAGCAGTTGGTGTGGACCAGGCGACCGACTCTGGGGATAATTGAGGTTGAAGGTTTGCGAGGACCGTATAATGAAAGGCGCGTCTCTCTCCTCCCGTCCCAATAACAAACGAGTGAATGCTGATCACTAGATGAGGACTGGTGGTTGTGGAGAGTGTGAAGACTGCGATCACAACTGGAAGAAAGCTCCAAGAGACCGAAGAGATTCTGTGCAGGGTGCGGGGCACCAACGCTAACTCACAGGTCGGTGGAAGCAAACAAGTCTTCCTTTCATCTTGAGATATTTACATGGAACGCGGCAGGTTCCGTTATCTTCGGGTGCCGTATCTACGAGAGAAGCAATAACGCTATATACACCGGCAGCAGTCAGCTTATCCCCTCTGTGATCGCTATGGCAGTCGAGGCAAGATAAAGGGTCCCAGATGTTGTGTTTTTGTTTGCTCACTCCGTTGCCAGTGATTCACCGTTACGTCTATTCTCTATCGCTCCGTTGCTTCCCCGGTAACAGAACGGTGAAGCGGCCCACCTCCGTTTGGCCACGCAAGGGTAAGTGGAACTGCACCGTTTAGTAACTGGAAGTAAACAGATGACATAACTGAACCCTCAATGCTACTCACTGCAACACCTCAGAGCTGTTGTGAGACTGCCATAACACACCCAGTTTAGCTGGGGGTACCCATCCGCAAGATGCCAGGTGAGGCCACGGAGCCCACTGTTCCGAAAGAGCAGCGGCAAGATGAGGGCGCCGACGAGAGCGGCGACCTGGAGAGGTTCACGCCCGAGGAAGAGGCGGCAAGTAACCCTTAAATCACCCTTGCAAGTGCTGCCCGGCTGACCCTCTGCTCCCAACAGTCAATGGTGGCTCAGTCCAACTCACACAAAGTCCAAGCGAACAGTCTCTTCAGCTCGGGAAAGTATGATGTTGCCCTCACCAAGTATGACGAGGCGGTCGCTGTGTGTCCAAACTACCTGGACTTCGAGCTGGCAGTCCTCCGATCCAACATCGCTGCCTGCCACCTGAAGCTGGAGGAGTGGAAGGAGGCCGTCAGCAGTGCCACCTCGGCGCTGGACGGCCTCGATCGACTAGAGAGACAGGAGAAGGAGCAGGCAGCCGCTAAAGCCGAAGAAGCCAGGGTTGCCGAGGCCGAGATCGAGGGTGAAATAGTCAGCGCTGGCGCTGCCAACGCTGGCCCAGCTCTCTCCACGGATCCCGACGACGACGATGCTATCGAATCCTCCCGTCGCAAACGCCAAGAGGACATCGCCCGGATCCGGGCCAAGGCCCTGATGCGAAGAGCGCGTGCAAGGAGCGAGCTCGGCGGGTGGTCAAATCTAGAGGGCGCCATAGAAGACTACAAGCGGCTGGCGGGTATGGGTAATCTGACGGCATCCGACAAGAAGATTGTGCAGGCGCAGCTGCGTGCCCTGCCTCCACGCGCCAAGGCCGCGCAGGAAAAAGAGACGGCCGAAATGTGGGAGAAGCTCAAAGACTTGGGCAATAGTTTGCTCAAGCCCTTCGGCCTGAGTACGGACAATTTCAAGATGGTAAAGGATGAGAAGACGGGGGGTTACAGTATGAATTTTCAGGGGGGAGGAGGTGGCAAGACGTGAAACATGGAATCCTCGTTGGACGCTGGGGGCTTTGGAGCTTCAAGCTCGTGATGTTCGCCTACGATTGTCACCTGTTTAGTTCCACAAGCCGTGAATGTGATTGCGGACATCACCGGCTCACCTGTTGTCGCCACGCTAGAGACGGCAGCACACAGAAACTCCCAGCACACCGTCCGCTCGGTTGGGTACTAAGACCGGGACTGAACCTTCAGCATTACCAGAGGGACTAGGTCTGGAGCTGAACCATGTTCCGAGTTGGGCCCAGTTGCCGGATCGTAGGTCATCACACCCACGATGGCCACTTCTGCAGACCTGACTCTTGCCAGACTGGTCTCTCGCCCTGTACGCTTGGCCTAGTTGTCTGGATCGTTGCCAATGCATGTACATAGATATCTATACAAACGATTCATTATAGAAACCCACCTAGGTAAGAAAAAAGAAACAAGAAGCTCCCGTCAGTACCAAACCCCCTTTTGGATCTCCCACAGAGGAGGCTTGAGGGTATTGAAGCTCCTGGCCCATTGAAATCTTACTTTGTTGGTCGATACTTAACTTGCTGAGCCAGGCGGGAAATGGCGAGTCGACTCCCGTTTGAGATCGAGCCCATTGTCATGAACAATGAAGAGACTTAACGGCGTCCACGGTCCAGCGGGCACCTCTGCACGGCCGGGGTTCAAACTGGTTCTCTTGCAACCGTATATCATGCCAGAACAGGACACCCTTGTAGATACCAGAACACTCCTTGCAGCCTGGAAGCCACAATAACGCCTCTCATGCTCATCTTGGCTTAAGCTTAACCAATGGGATGTCAAGTGTGACCCAACCTCAAACTTGGAAGGCTGTTTCGTCAAGCCAACGGAACAAATCAACGAGGATCGTACGGGCCTTCTCACTCATAGGTAGGTCTTTCATATCACAGGCCAAAGTGTGTCTCTGGCCCGGATATATGTAATAGAAATTTGAAGCACGGGACGAGGTTCTTACAGAGGCCGAGAGTGTATATGTGTAACGTTATCATTAGATTGCCTTCTAAGTTACAGAATGATGGAATGGAAAACGGGGGAAGCTCGCCAAGCCTGCCAAGACCCGACCGTACCCGGCCCGGAAGTGTGGGTCTTCACTCTTCAGCGCCACCGCCATCCCGATAAGCCCGCTTATCAAGCAACGCGGGGCAAATATTCCTAAAATTCTTGAGAAACGTCCCATACAAATGAAAGGTTGCCCCGCTGACCTCTAGCTTCCGACATCAAAACACTAACTCCGCTCCCAACTGCCCTGCCCTTTTGCTTTCTTCCAGAGAACGACCATCAACCAGATAATTACGGTCTGGGAGTTTTATTGAATCGGTAACCGGAGAGATTCAGATTGCGCCAGAACACATTACCATGGATCTGGACGCACCCATGGCCATGGCGCCGATGGTGGCCACTGGCGGACCTGGCGCAACGTGAGTTGCTCCTGTAACGTCCGAAATACGACTGAGCTCTAATATGTGACAGAATTCTTTGCTGCAACTGTGGCGCCCCTATCGACGGCACTGCCTCTGCCGGCGCTCTCTGCTACGACTGCCTCAAATCCACCGTCGATATCTCACAAGGGATACAACGAGAGGCGACCTTGCACTTCTGCCGCGATTGCGACCGATGGCTGATGCCGCCTGCGACCTGGGTGACGGCCGCCCCCGAATCACGAGAGTTGCTTTCTCTGTGTCTGAAGCGGCTACGGAATCTGACGAAAGTTCGCATCATCGACGCCCGTTTCGTCTGGACAGAGCCTCACTCCCGCCGCATTAAAGTCAAAGTTACCGTCCAGGACTCGGTCGCCGACGGTGTGCTGATGCAGCAAAGCTTCGAGGTTGTCTACATTGTCGCCCACCAGCAGTGCCGCGAATGCGCAAAATCGTACACCGCCAACGTCTGGCGCGCTGCCGTGCAGGTGCGGCAGAAGGTCACCCACAAGAGGACATTCCTGCTCCTCGAACAGTTGATCCTCAAGCACCAAGCCCACAGGGACACAATAAACATCAAGGAGGAGAAGGACGGTATTGACTTCTACTTTGCCCAGCGGAACCAGGCGGAAGCATTTATCCACTTCCTCAAATCGGTGGTGCCAGTCAATATCAAAGACTCTAGGCATCTCATCTCAGCAGATACGCACACGGGGAACAAATCATACAAATTCAACTACTCAGCCGAGATCGTCCCAGTCTGCCGAGACGATCTCGTAGCGTTGCCACTCAGGCTTGCGAAAGCACTGGGCAACATCTCACCGCTCGTGCTGTGCTGGAGGATAGGTACCTCCGTCAACCTTCTCGACCCGAACACACTGCAGACGGCTGAACTCAGCTCCGACATTTACTGGCGGGCGCCTTTCCAGCCGCTCGCCGGCGCGACCGAATTAGTCGAGTTCATCGTCATGGATATCGAGCCGACAGGCGTGCGCAAGGGGAAATGGGTGCTCGGCGAGGCGACAGTGGCTCGGGCCTCCGACCTGGGCGTCAACGACAATACCTACTTTGCCCGGACGCATCTCGGCAACCTGCTTCATGCCGGCGACTCAGTTATGGGGTACATGCTCACAGGGACAAACTTCAACTCGGATGCGCTCGACGCCATTGAGAACTCGCGGGCGTACGGGTCGACCATCCCAGATGTGGTACTGGTCAAGAAGCACTACCCGAACCGGCGCAAGAACAAGAGGCGCAACTGGAAGCTCAAGCGCATGGCCAAGGATGAAGGCGAGCTGCTGCCCAAGGCGGCCGACCAGGCGCGCATGGAGGCCGAGTACGAGGCGTTCCTGCGGGATGTCGAGGAGGACGAGGAGCTGCGGGCCGCTCTGGCACTGTACAAGAACACCAAGAAGAAGAAGTCGCAGCAGCAGGACGCGGATGCCATGAGCATTGCCGAGACAGAGATGACGGCCGAGGATGACGGGCCCAAGATCAGTATGGACGAGCTGCTGGATGACTTTGATGAGTTAGATATCCAGGATGACGAGCATGCTTAAAATGGGTTGTCACGGGGTTATAATTGATTTTGTACTTAAAATGCGAAGGGGCTACTAAAAGCTAGTCGGACTTCGGCATCAACAAAATTCACGGATTTCCCCATGTTGGGGCGGACACAATCGCCATCTTCAATGTGATCTACACGCGAAATGGTATTCGGGTCTATATCTAAGAATATCCAACTCCCACTACTACTACTTCGTAATAAACCCCTATCCGAGCTCGCACCTGCTTCTTACCAACGTACGTGCACGGCTAACGTACGGTCAACTCCACCACGCACACTCCTTAACCGGTCTGATCAGGCGAAGGCAGACAAGTAGACTTTGGTCAGAGGACAATCCCAGCAACGGCCGCTGTTATGGTAAGCGAAAATGGTATGCTGTTGCTGCTGTTGTCGGGGATCAATCACTTGCTGTGCCGCCATCCTTGGGGGTTCATGGGAGCCGGGGGGGTGGTACAATACACCGAGGCGCGAACCCGGTATACCGCTGCATGACGGGGCGATTTGGCGGCTGCAAGCTTGCTTGGTTCGCCATAGCGTTCACCGGCTGCTAAAGAACAGCACGTATCCAAAGGCGAGCTAAGACAGAATCTGGAGTGAGCTACATCGCGCAATTGATGAGGGCAATATTAACACTTTATGTGCTCTTCAAGGAAATGCTGAGCGTTGGGTACTGCAGGTAGTTCACAGTGTCTCGGACGAGACAAAGCCCGGCAGGTTGACAGCCTACAACAGAGTCAATATGAACGAATATCTGGGGTATACGCACAAGACCAGCCAGCAAGAGAACATGATAGACACAGAGACAACTCCTTTCTTTGCTTGTTTCTCGCCCAATGTGAATCAAAAGATTTTGCTGAGCACTCTTTGAACCTGCTCGGGCTGTTCTTCTTGTTTCCTCTTCTTGGCCAGCGGTACTTGTTTGAATGTCCGTCTCTTCTTGTGTGTTGGTACGCGCTCCGGCACATCGGCCGGATGTTCGCCGTCGTCTCCCTCCTCTTCATCCCCGAAGTTCTTCTTCCGTTTTGCTGCTGCCTTGGCCTGTATGCCATTGAGAACCTTGGCCTTCTCAATGTTGCGAACGAACTCCTTGTTCTCCCGGGTTGTCTTGGCGATTTCGGCACGCATTCTGCTGGCCCGCTCGGCATTTTCAGCTGCAATTTGTTCGGTGAGATGGTGCCTGACTCCGATTGTTAGCCTTCATTCAGATCTGCTGTATCGGGCCAGGAATGGAACCCACCATTTGAACCCTTTCAGGTACTTCATGGCCCAGACATCATCCCGGTACCAGCTAGACTTCTTCCCGCCAATTGTCTGAGCGTTTAACAAGTCGACGGCCTTCTTCGCATCCTTCTTCTTCACAAACTCAGCCCAGCCCTCGGTGTACGACCGCTTCTTGTTCCCACCACTGCGAACACGGCGGCTATGCTCGAGGGGATCCTCCGGTGTTAGAAAGATCCTGTTGATCTTGCCGTAGGGTTCGAGCAGCGAGCGTAATTTTGCAGGCTTCATGAAGGGGGGGATCCGCGATAGATAGATAACGCCCGATTTTTTGATGGCAGCCTCAGTCGCAACGAGATTCTTCTTCGTCAGCGGTTTTGACAAATCAGGGAGCTCTGGTTTTGACGTCGGCTTGCCATTCTCTGGTCTCCGTTCTGTCTCATCCGCGTTTTCACGCGCTCCTGTGGACTCTGTTGGGCCCTCGGCCAGCTTTGCGCCGCCATCCTCGTTGTCGCCGCCTTCCAGGTCGCTGAAATCTTCGGCTTCGCTCTCTTCGTCTTCGACCCTCCTCCGCTTGACGCTCCGGCCACCCTTTTGAATATCGTCTTCGGAATCATATCCACGACCAGCATCATCGTCGCTGTCGCCGGCATCGAGGAACTGGTTGCGATTGGCGGAGGACATGGTGGCAGCTGCAGCAAGTTTGAATGGGGCTAACAATTGTCGAAGGCAGTCAATAACTTCACAGGTTGAAATTCTAGGTGGGTTCTTTCAGGGGTCTGTGCACCATGACAGCCGGGGCTTGGTATGTACCTCTAAGAAATGACAGACTCCAGAGCGCACAAGGCTGCAACTCGAGCAATTCATGCTTTCGGACTTGAGATGAGTTGTCATGAGTTGCGTCCATGATACGGGTATTTGTTATTGCAACACACTGTTGCGCCTTCAACGGGGACACACAACAGTCCATATAAACCCTCCACCTGCACGTACCTTTTGCCTGCCGGCCGTTATCTTATCGGTTTATCTAATCTTATCGGAGCAGCCAGGAAGGTTGGAGGGGCAGAGGGGCAGACAGTCAGCAGCTTCACTCCTTTCAACTTCCTTTCTGCTGCGAACTGATCGTAATAATTGAGATCTTCAAATCTATAAAACCCAGTATTTGAACGTACCTCCAATCCTTAAACGCAGCTCAGTTGCAATCATGTCCGTCGAAGTGATCACGACGATCTCGCCCACGACCGATGAGCCGATCCTCACTCGCAATGGCATCTCGCCGCAGGAACTCGAGCAGCTCCCGGATATCGCCACGCAGTCATTCAATTCGTGGCATAAGACGACCCTGAAACAGCGGCAGGATATCATCAAGGGGGCGCTTAGACTACTCGACGAGAGGAAAGATGAGCTCGCCACGGAGCTCACCGTCCAGATAGGCCGACCCATCGCTTACACGGCCAAGGAAGTCTCCACTGCTTTAAAAAGAGCAGAATACCTCCTTAAGATCAGCGACGAGGTCCTCCAGGACACACCAGGAGAGGCAGAGAAGGGCTTCAAGAGGTTTATTCGCAAGGTGCCTGTTGGACCAGTCCTCATCATCTTTGCGTGGAATGTTGGTACCCCGAAAGACTTCTTCGCGGAATAGGGTCTAACAATACGCTACCAGTATCCGTATCTGATTCTCGTAAACGCCTTGATACCGGCATTGCTGTGCGGGAACTCTGTCATTCTCAAGCCATCTCCACAAACGCCCACCGTGGTCGAGCAGGTGGCCAAGGCCTTCACTGACGCCGGTCTGCCTCATGGCGTCATCCAATACTTCCACTCCGGTTCGCCCATGATCATCGAATCGATCGTCAGGAATCCAAAGATTGCTCTGATCTGCTTCACTGGCTCGGTAGCTGGCGGTCTGGCCATACAAGGGGCAGCATCGACCCGCATCGTCAATGTCGGGTTGGAGCTGGGAGGCAAGGATCCGGCCTACGTTCGCGGAGATGTTGACATCGCCTGGGCGGCCGAGGAGATCGTCGACGGCGCCGTGTTCAACTCGGGTCAGAGCTGCTGCTCGATAGAGCGTGTCTATGTTGATGAGAAGATCCACGATGAATTCGTCTCGGCAGTGCAGAACGTCCTCAAGGGATACAAGCTTGGAGACCCTCTCGACAAGAACACGCACCTGGGCCCAGTCATCTCAAAGCGCTCGAAAGAGACGATCCAGGCGCATATCAAGGATGCACTGGACAAGGGCGCTGTCAATGCTACCCCAGCAAACGAAACGTTTGACAGTCTCCCCGAAAGGGGGAACTTCGTTGCTCCAACGCTGCTCACAAACGTCAACCATAGTATGACGGTCATGAAGGATGAGACGTTCGGACCCGTCATCCCGGTAATGAAGGTGAAGAGTGATGAGGAGGCGGTGGAATTGATGAACGACAGCGAGTTTGGGTTGACGGCCAGTATTTGGACGAAAGATACTGAGAAGGGCTATGAGTTGTGTGAGGCCGTTGAGGCAGGCACCGTCTTCGTCAACCGCTGCGATTTCCCAAGCCCTGTAAGTCGGATGCGGCCCCGTAGCGCTCGTGGAAAATTGCTGACAGACATGCAGGACCTCGCATGGACTGGCTGGAAGAACTCCGGAAAGGGTGTCACCCTGAGCAGATATGGGTTTGACCAATTCGTCAAGCTGAAGAGCTATCATTTGAAGGATTACCCTAAATAGAGCGCCGAATGCATGCAGGGAGGAATTTCGGCAAGGGATATCGCCAATCGCACACGACAGGTTTTAGACTAATACCCCCCAACAGCCAACTCTCCATTTTCGATGGACGTGAAAATTTGAGATTTGTCTCGCATTGGACCCTTGATGATTGAGACGCATTCCAAGATTCCGGTTGAGGATGTGCGGAAACGGCTTGAGCCACGTCGGGATTCGCTTCCACGGTCCATTCACATTCCAGCCCTCCTCACCGTGAGATCGTCTTCAAGTCAGGGAGCACACTCCCGCGGCATGGAACCGGCGATCCGATGCTGTGGTAAAATTTGTCTTTGACATTGCTCTCCATCCCTTGGCTATGCGCCCGCAGCCTTTTTCTTTATGCCGGACCCGTCGCAGGCGGCATACCTGCTTACAAAAGGGAGCGGCCAAGGAACGGGAGATTTTTGGTGAATGAGGCTCTCGAGTTCCCATGCCGCTCCTTTGTTTTCTTGACCATATTCTCTCGTAAGCTGGCCTACGCTCCTTTCATCTAGTTCTCCCAGATCCCACTGGTTCCACGCCGCCGGCAACATCACTTCCAATCAGTGCTGCTCCTTCGTCCCAGCAGTCTGTCTCTGACGTCTGGCGGCTTCCTTCTTCTTTGAAGACTGATTCCGTCCTACCGGTAGTGCCAGCGAGGGACACCTTGTATATACAGGAGTATTGTCCGAGATCCTTCGGGCCCTCCTCTCGAGACTTTCTTTGCATCCAATCCGACGTTGCCGGAGACAACTCCGACATGGCAGCCATGAGCGTCTACTCAGAGGTGAAGAGGCTCCACACCTCCCTGCAGGAGTTGGTTGGCCTTCGCCGCAGGAAACGCCAGCTTCAAATCGTACGTTTGATATTTCACACCTTGGAAGTAATCCCTCCTTTTAAAAACTGACCATCAAACTCAGTCCGAACCCTTCAACTTCAGAAAGGAAACTGCCGTCGTCCCCGGCCTGACAGAGGATGAGTATGTCACCCCACTCCATTTATGCTCTCTCCCCCCTCGCCCAGTTCTAATACTTCAACCCGTGAAAAACAGAATCTCTGTCCTCCGCGAGAAAGCAGCCGCCTCCCGCCTCGGCATAGCCCACCCGGACGACACCGACGACACCATCCCCGTACCCGCCACCATCCTCCCCCGTCCCGGCTCCCGAAGGCGGCTATCCAGCCTGCCCCTCCACGCGTCGTCACCTCCTCCCCGTCTGTCCATTCCCATTCCCATCCCCATCCCCAACGCCAATGGCAAGCGACATGCCTTTGTCGGCTCGGCGGGAGGTTATTCCTACTCCTCCCTGCGAAGCAGCCGCACCACGGGCATGGCGCAGGGTATGGGGCTGGACAGGGGGGAGATGGTGCAGGTGGTGCTGGTGCCGGTGCCGGAAGGGGGCGGTGGGCCAGGCATTACGATGAGGCCGTCGGCGTCGGTGAACGACCTGGACCTGCTTCTGTTCGGAAACCCTTCCGGCGTGGGGAGAGACACAACCACAACCACAGCCGGGACCGGGACCGGGACCGGGAGTGCGTTGCTGCTGCTGTCGCCGGTGTCCGCTGCTGCCGCGAGCACGAGTGCGTCGTCGTCTGTCTCGATCTCGCCTCTGGATTTGACCTACGGCAGCAGTGGTGGCGGTGGCGGTGCTAGTACTGGGGCTACGAGTGTGACGGAGCGGAGCTCGGATCTGATGTTGGAGATGGACTTTGAGTTCCAGCTGGGAAGTCCTGTGAGCCCGCTGTCGCCTTCCCCTGCTGGCAGCGTGGCCGTTGGGAAGAAAGGCTTACTTGTGATGTGAGGTGAGATCAGACAAGAGGAGCCAGGTTGCTTTTTTCCTTTTTTCTCAAAAAAACGGAAGTCAGAGGTCGGGTTACGGGAAAGGTGGTTAGTAGGTGTTTGGTATCGTGTTTCCCATCTCTCTCCCACTCTTTCGCTCATGGGGGCTTGTGAAGCGCTTTCCTACGAGGACTGCTTAATAGGGATGAAGAGACGAGTTGATTCGAGATCTAGGCACCTTGCGAAGAGCGAAAGCCCGTGTTTGTTTGGTAGTGTATCGGCTTGTATTGGCGGAGGGGCATTTGAAAAGTGTTGCTGCTGAGTGCAGGCATTTGGCTACGGTTGTCAGATCATTTAATAATAAATAGTGTTGGAAAAAGTAAAAGCAAGGGAGCCATACGACTATCCTGAATTGTGTCTCCAATTGATGGTTTAAGACTGCCAGTTCCTAGGATTAGCCGGACGCGCTCTACTCGTTTCTGAGTTATAATCTCTCATCTAGCTCATATCCAGGACCTACCCCTTCTATTGTAGCCCCTTAGATTATATTAGAGAAAATAATAATATCGTTAACGTATCTTATCAGCGAGCCGATCATATCAGCGAGCCGATCACTTTTTGCCGCAACGCGTCATTTTCACACCCAACATCAATTTTCTCTACAACCTAACATGCGTTCTCCTTCAAAAGAAGCCAGGGTAATCCTGGCGCTTGAAGCTTGTCAAAACAACAAAAAACTAAGCCTCCGAGCCGCAGCTAAGCTCTACGACGTACCCTATATAACCCTCCATGACCGATCTACTGGCTGGCTTACACGACGCGATCTTCCAGCCAACTCGCGTAAGCTTACCAATCTAGAAGAGAAGGCGATAGTTCAGTATGTGATTGAACTATCTGCATGTATATTCCCACCTAGACTAAGTGGGGTGGAAGATATAGCCAACCATCTGCTACGCGAATGCGGCGCGCCCCCTGTTGGCAAGCTCTAGGCATATCGGTTTGTTAAACGCCAGCCAGAGCTCTATATGCGTTATGCCTGTCGATACGATTACTAGAGGGCTAAATGCGAGGATCCAAGGATTATTAGGGAGTGGTTTGCGCTTGTATAAAATACTAAGGCCAAGTATAGTATTATGGATGATGATATCTATAACTTTGACGAGACCGGGTTTATAATAGGTATGATCTGCCCGGGTATAGTAGTTACGACCTCGGATGGCCGTAGTAGGGCAAAACTAGCCCAGCCTAGTAACCGCAAATGGGCAATGGTGATCCAGGGAGTCAATGCGCTTGGCTGGGCTATCCCGCCCTTTATTATCTTGGCCGTGCAATACCATCTTGCCAACTGGTATACCGAGTGCAACCTTCTAGCAAACTGGCATATTGTAACTACCGACAACGGCTGGACTACTAATACGGTAGGCCTAGATTGGATCAAGCACTTCGACTTCTATATAGCACCTTATACAAAGGGCAAAAAGCGGTTGTTGATCCTCGACGGCCACGAAAGCCACTACTCTACCGAATTCGAGCTCTACTGCCAGGAGAATAACATTATTACGCTCTATATGCCTCCGCATTCCTCTTATAAGCTCTAGCCACTCGATGTTGGCTGCTTTAGGCTGTTGAAACAGTCATACGGTCGCCAGATTAAGGACTTAATACGCGCGTATATCAACTATATCAGCAAGCTCGAGTTCCTCTGCGGCTTTCGCAAGGCCTTCTTTGCTTCCATAACGGAGAAGAATATATAGGGTGGCTTTGCAGGGGCTGGCCTAGTACTATACGATCTAGAGAGGGTCCTTTCTACGCTAGACGTAAAGCTTCGTACACCGACACCTCCAACCTTACGACCTAGCACTGTACAATCTTGGGTCTTCCAGACACCATACAACCCCCGAGAAGCCGAATCGCAGTCAACACTTATCAAGACTCACATTGCCAACTATTAAAACAGCTCTCCAACTTTAATATTAGGTGCTGTGGATCAACTTACTAAGGGTACGATGGCTATAATGCACTAGATGGCCCTCCTTCGGTCAGAGGTCTCTTCGCTCCGTAAGGCCAACGAGGCACTAAGCAAGCGCCGGAGAGCCAAAAGAACACGCGTGCAGCTTGGAGGATCATTTGCAGTATAGGATGCAAAGGATCTACTAGACCAGAAGGCCGTGGTTGGAGAGGTGGTACAAGAAACGCAGCCGGACGGTGGTGGTACAGGGGGGGGGCGTACGAAGGTTCGATGCTGTGGTGTGTGCGGCAAGCCTGGCTATAATGTACGTACGTGCCAGGAGGTTGCAGAAGGGTCTGATTCAGCTGTTTCTGATGTAATTATAGTTAGTTCCTAGTGTAGTGTATTGTAATTGAGGATAGATGTTTTGGTGTGGTGGAAATTGATCGGCTCGCTGATATGATCGGCTCGCTGATAAGATACGTTAATAAATATCTAAGTATAGTTAACGTAAGTGTATAGCGAAAGTTACATGCATGCGAAAGTTACACTAAACTATACCCCCTTAACTTTATCTATATTAATTCCACCCAACCAGCTCAAAACGAACGAAACTACTCGGAATCGTCTTCCTCGGACGTTTCAACAACTATCTGACAGGTACGCGCATTGTGGCCAGGCTTGCCGCAGTTGCCACAATGCTGCGCGCGTGTCTCAACCCTCGGCTTCCGACCACTACCCGCCTGCGTTTCCTTCTTAATCTGTACCTTAACGTCTCTCTGGCCCTATAGATCCTGTGCATCCTATATAGAAAGTGATCCTCCTTGTCGGAGCCGTTGTTTTTTAACCCTTCGGCGCTTGCTTAGTGCCTCATTTGCTGCTCGGAGGCTCTGGTTCTCTGCCCTTAACAATGCCAACTGATATATGACCTTGGACGTCCCTTTAGCAAATATGTCAACCGCCCTTAAAATCTTAGTTGGAGAGCTATTTTGATGCCGGGCAATTTGATTCTTGATAAGGGTAGACTGCAAGGAGGCTTCGATTGGGTTGTTTAGGGTCTTGGAAACCTAGGCGTAGGCACTATTGGGCGGCGAGTTTGAGGGCGTTGGCGTCTTTAGACGGATATCGAGCTATGAGATTACTTTCTCGGGATCAAAAGGAGCAATTCTAGCACCTCGAAAACCTCCTTGAATATTTTCAGGAGTTATAGCGGCTTGGAAAGCGGCATAGAATATAGGAAAGAAGTCCTCCTTAGTGATATAGGTTATGCTTGCCTATATTATCCCCTCGATCTGCTTGCCGTATGCTGTCTTAAATGGGCTGAAACACCTAATATCGAGCGGCTAAAGAATATAAGATAAGTAGGGAGGTATATAGAGGGTAATAATATTATTCTCCTTGCAATAGAGCTCGAAGTCGGTCGAATAGTAGCTATTATAGCCGTCGAGGACCAGGAGGCGATAAACCCTAGCTATTCGAGCTTTAGTATATTTGTTAAAATGCTAAATCTATTCTAGGCCTCTCTTGTTGGTTGTCCAACCGTTTTCGGATATCGCAATGACCTAGTCCTTCGGCAATAGGCTATTCTCGTACCAAGAGGAGAGGTAATGTTTGCCCTTGACAATAATAAACGGTGGGATCGCCTAGCCAGTTATATTGACGCCCTAGATTACCGTTGCCTACTTGCGATTGCCAGGCTGCTTCGACTTTGCCCTGCTATGCCGTTCGGAGCTTGTAATAACTATTGCCGTTAAGATAATACCCATCTGAAACCTAGTCTTATCGAAGTTATAGTGTGACGAAACCACAGGCAGTCCTGCCTCTGAAAGGGTTCGCCGGTCGAAGGTATCTGCTGGTCGGACTGTAGGTCTCGGTGAAGCCAAAAGGTTCACAACAATGCAAGTCGCAATGTCTGCACAGTAATGTAGGGCTACCTTACTGCTTGTATTGCTCACTGGAGGACTCTCAGAGCCCTCCGTAACAAATGACTATATACTAGCTATTTTTCTGTGGACGCCCACGCTCGCCGTCGTCCTCGGGCGTCCATGGTCGCTAGTGCTCGCCAGCGTCCCTAGGCGTCCATACGGACGCTCCTGGACGCTGTCGTCCATCGGCGTCCATGTGGGGCATCCTACTGCCTTGTGCTCTCCGATTGGTAACTTCATCACCTGCATGGCCCCACCAGGTCGGGTTATATAGTTGGTTCGTAACACGATGCCCCTCCTCGACGTCTTTCGCCCCGAAAGACCTTGGCCGTCGTCGTGTTTCCTTTTAGCGTCAACTGCCCCCTTGATTTGGTCCCCTGGTAAGTTGTTATTCTTCTCCCTTCACTATTGCTATGGCTGATATAGTGGCGGCTAGGCCCTGTCGAAACTATGCCTTCGAACGTTGTGTTGCTACAATAGTAATTGAGCGCGACGGCGAGGAGTCCGACATGCCTTGCGAACGTTGTTGGAACGCAAAGCTATATAGGCGTTGCATTATGGTGCCTGGTTCGGACAAGTGTTCTTCTTATGTTCGTATAGGGAAGAAATACAGTGGTCCTAGCGTTGCAAACGCTTATAGGTACCCTCTTCGTTCGTGCTTGCTAGGCCCTTCCTAATAGAATAGTGGTGGCAAACTTATCGGCCTACGACAAGATTAATAAAGCGATTATAGATGCTAAACGTCAGCTTGCTAAGGCGTTAAGCTGTCTTTCCCGTCTTCGACAACAGCGTCAACGCCTGGCGGAGACCGGCTTATCATTGCTGGCTCGTGGACTGGAGGGTTTGGAAGAGGATGGGCCCCCTTCCCTAGAACCGATGTCGGAGGAGCAGCAACTTGTTGGTCAGGCGCAGGCCTTGGGTGCCTTTGGTGTGGTTGACTGGGAGGCTGCTGGCGTTATTCCTTATGGGTCTGGTGTTTCGTCAGGGCCCCTTGATTTCGACGCGCTCCTGCAGTCCAGGGATTCTCCTCCTGCCGTTGACGAGGTTCGAGGTAGTGCGGGTTCGTAGCCGGTGGCGGTCAGGTCTTGGTCGCGCCTGCCGTGCGTGTCGTGTTGTGGCATAGCTGCTTGCAGCCGCTCTTTCCTGCCTGGGGTTCTCAATCTGATTCTTGTTGCCTGTTTCCCAACAAATGAAATGGCTTAGTGGTACAGCTTGGTTATTATACCCGAGTAAATGCTCTGGGAGACCATGGGTTCGAATCCCATCTGGGCTTCTTCTCCATATAGGTCGCGTTACTATAGGGTGACACGACCCGGCCGGAGATTTTTATACTTCCCTCCTGGTCGGTCTGGGTTCTGTCGGTGGAACTCCTTTAGTTTTTCTATATAGTTAAGGTGTTCTGCTAGTTCCTATAAGTTGTCTTCTAGTCCGAAGTCGAGCTATTTGATTAGGTACTCTAGCCTTCCGTTAGCTATTTACAAGTCCAAGATTTCCTTAACGTCCTATTCTTCTTCTTTGTCCTCGGCTTCGATATCCTTTATAGCCTATACGTTCTTAGGTGCTAGTTCGAGGAGCAAGATATAGAAGATGTTAGTATATAGCTTTATTATTAATAGTAACGAAAGTCGATAGTTGGATGTCGAAATTCTTGCGTCGATTTTAAGCGGTCTAATCTTTCTAAAGTCGAGTTTCTGGCTTGGCCGTTTTATTTTTAAATTCCGAGAAATAAGATAGACTATATCTCCTCTCTTAAGGCGAGGTCCCTCGAGCTAATACTTGTCGTAGTATTCCTTCATCCTAAGTCTGACGAACTTGAGTTCTTCCTTTAGTATTATATATAGTATATATATTTTCTCCGCCTTGATTTTTGCCCTAGGTACTATAATATCTAGTCCCTAGTATAAATCTGCTTTATAACCAAAGTTCGCGAAGAATAGAGTAACCTTTATTATCTCTATTAGTATGGTATTATACGTAAGTTATACCGCTAGTAATAGATTAACCCAGTCGTTCTATTAGAAGTTAACGAACGTTCTAAGGTATTGTTCGACGGTCTGGTTAAGCCTTTCTATCTGGCCATCTGTCTATAGGTAGTATACTATTGAAAGCTTGCTCTTTATGCCCAAACGCTTTATAAGCGCTTGCTAAAATTTTAATGCGAATTTAGTATCTCGGTCTATGATCTATTCTCCTGGCCATCTATATACTAATGTAATATGCCAGTAGATTATATCCGCAAGTTGCTCTACTGACTATGATTCTTTATACGGGAAGAAGTAGCTTTACTTGGTAAGTCGATCAACTATAGTGAGAATACTATTGTACTTTGTTCCGGTAGTCGAGTCTTTTGAAAGCAGTAGTTTAGTGATAAAATCTATCGTCACCGAACTCTATAGTCGTTCTATAATTGGTAATGGCTCTAAGAGCCTATATAGTTTGTGCTATACCGACTTGCTTCGATTGTAGAGGTTGTATTCCTATATAATGGTTTTGACCCTAGTCCTAAGTCCTAGGAAGTTATAGTGTTGCCGAACCTTGGCAACTATCTTGGCGATTCCTATATGTCCTCCGAGCTTCGACTCGTGGATTATCTTGATTAGTTCTGTCTGATCCTATAGTACAATATAGGCCTTGCCGTTATACTATAACGCTCTATCTCTCTAAGAGATGCCTGCCTTTTCGTCTGCGTTATTCTACTTCCGGTCTTGGAAGTCTTTTCCTAGCCGTTCTTCCCTAAAGACTATACAATATTCTTTAAACGGTTGCAGAGGTTATATACCGGAATCTTCGTCCTATTATAGAAGTATATCGTTATCGAGATCTTCTATCGGTTAGGGGAATATACCGTAGGGAACTATCTGGCTATTGTTAAAGTAATAGCAGCAAGGCTTCTAGTTGGCTATTCCTAAAGTGATCTGGCCTCCTGCTTAATGTATCTACTTATGCGTTTTCCGAGCCTTTCTTATAGTTGATTTTAAAGTTGAACTCTAAGAGGAATTCTGCCTATCGAGTCTGTCGTCCGTTCAACACCTTGGTGGTAGTAAAGTACCGCAAGTTCTTATAGTCTATATAGACTTGAACTTCGTGGGTTGTACCGCTGAAGTATAGCCTCTATTCTTGAAAAGCCTCGATGATTGCTAGTAACTCCTTGTCGTAGATTGGGTAGTTAAGTCGTAGTCCTTCGAGCTTTTTCGAAAAGAATGCGACTAGATGCAACTTCCTATATTCGTCGTGCTAACTAAGTTGTCCTCCGATTGTATAGTCCAATACATCGGTTTCAACCTCGAATGGCTTCTGTAGGTATGACGAAACCACAGGCAGTCCTGCCTCTGAAAGGGTTCGCCGGTCGAAGGTAACTGCTGGTCGGACTATAGGTCTCGGTAAAGCCAAAAGGTTCATAACAATACTTGCCGCAATGTCTGCACAGTAGGTATAGGCTATTGCTTGTAATTGCTCACTGGAGAACTCCCAGAGTCCTCTATAACGAATGACTATATACCTAGCCGATCCTGTTGGCTCGCCGTCGTTCGACGGCTACCGTGGTCTACCCTTGATCGCCTTGGGTAGGCGGCTACCCAAGTCTATCATGATCGCTCTCGCTCGCCGGCGACCCTGAGCTACCCAGGTCGTCCTTATGCGGCCGCCTGCGGCTTTTACCCCTGCTGATTGGTTCTGCCTGTTTCTGTCGTGCCCTACCGGGTCTTGCTATATGGTTGGTTCGTGATACGATGTCCCCTCTCTATGTCTTTCGTCCCGAAAGACCTAGGTTTGCCGAACATTCATACTTTAGCGCTAATACTCCCGGTTCCCGTCGTAAGTCCTTTTGTTGCCCTAACCTTTTTCCCGTTCCTTCCGCCATGGCTGATCCTAAGGATTATAGTTCCTGTGACTTGAAGCGTGAGCGCCGTGCTTTCGCAACGAAAATCGAGCGAACGGGCTTCGAAGTCGCTATGCCTTGCGAGCGTTGTTGGAATGCAAAGCCCCAGAGGCGTTGTATAATAATGGAGGGGTCGAACAAGTGCTCGAACTATGTTCGGGCGGGCAAGAAGTATAGCGGGCCTAACGTGGCCGATGCGTATGAGTGTTGTGCTCGGGGTATTTTTACTTGGTGGTTAACAGGTAGTAGTACTATCTAACTTGTCGGAGCAGGAGAAAGTAGCAAAGGATATTGAGGAAATAGAATAGGTGCTGGCCGAGACCCTAAGTCGCTTGTCTTATCTTCGCTCTTAGCAGCGTTTCCTCCGCGAGCGTAGGGTTGAGATATTCCGTCGCAGAATGACTCGTTTGGAGGAGGAGGAAGAACCTGATTCCCCGAAGCCGATGTCGGAGGAACAGTCATTGGTTAGTCAGGTACAAGCGTTAGGTGCTGCCGGTATGGTTGATTGGGAGGCTATAGGCGTTGTGCCTTATGGTTCTGCTGACGCTATTCCTGATTTCCCTGGGGGTGGCTTCGACTAGTTGCTCCGCTCTCCGGGTGGTAGTGGCAGCGAGGTCCCTGCTTCTCCTAGTACTGGAGGTCCTGCTCTATCCGGTGGTGCCGGGGGTTCGTAATGGTGGTCAGGTCTTGGTTGCGCCTGCCGTGCGTGTCGTGCTATTGCTGCCTATAGCCGCTTTTTCCTGCCTGGTTCTCAATCTGATTTTGTTGCCTGTTTCCCAACAAATGAAATGGCTTAGTGGTGCAGCTTGGTTATTATACCCGGGCGAATGCTCTAGGAGGTTATAGGTTCGAATCCCATCTACGCCCCTTCTCTATATAAGTGGCTTGACCGCCGGGTCGAGCTATTTACGGGGAGAAGATTTTTACGCTTTCTTTTTCCCTGGCCGATCTGGATTCCGTCGATAGAATTCCTTTAGTTTTTCTATATAGCTAAGGTGTTCTGCTAGCTTCTATAAGTTGTCTTCTAGTCCAAAGTCGAGCCATTTGATTAGGTACTCTAGCCTTCCGTTGGCTATTCGCAAGTCCAAGATTTCTTTAACGTCCTACTCTTCTTCTTTATCCTTGGCTTCGATATCTTTTATAACCTATACGTTTTTAGATGCTGGTTCGAGGAGCGAGATATAGAAGATATTAGTATATAGCTTTATTATTAATAGTAACGAAAGTCGGTAGTTGGATATCGAAATTCTTACGTCGATTTTGAATAGTCTAATCTTCCTAAAGTCAAGTTTCTGGCTTGGCCGTTTTATTTTTAAATTTCGGGAAATAAGATAGACTATATCTCCTCTCTTAAGGCGAGGTCCCTCGAGCCAATGTTTGTCGTAGTACTTCTTTATCCTAAGCCTAACGAACTCGAGTTCTTCTTTTAGCATTATATATAGTATATATATCTTTTCTACCTTAACTTTTGCCCTAGGTACTATAATATTTAGTCCCTAGTATAAATCTGCTTTATAATTAAAATTCGCGAAGAATAGAGTGACCTTTATTATTTCCGTTGGCGTTATATTATATATAAGCTATACCGCTGGCAATAGATTAACCTAGTCGTTCTATTGGAAGTTGATAAACGTTCTAAGGTATTGTTCGACGATCTAGTTAAGCCTTTCCGTCTAGCCATCTGTCTATAGGTAGTATGCTATTGAAAGCTTGCTCTTTATACCCAAACGCTTTATAAGCGTTTGCTAAAACTTTAATGCGAACTTAGTGTCTTGGTCCGTGATCTACTCTTCTAGCTATCTATATACTAATGCGATATGCCGGTAGATTATATCCGCAAGTTGTTCTGCTGACTATAATTCTTTGTATAGGAAGAAGTAGCTCTACTTAGTAAGTCGGTCGACCATAGTAAGGATGCTATTATACTTCGTTCCGGTAGTCGAGTCTTTCGAAAGTGGTAGTTTAGTAATAAAGTCTATCGTTACCGAACTCTATAGTCGTTCTGCAACTGGCAATGGTTCTAAAAGCCTGTATAGCTTATGCCATGCCGACTTGCTTCGATTGTAGAGGTTGTATTCCTATACAATGGTTTTGACTCTGGTCCTAAGTCCTAGGAAGTTATAGTGTTGCCAAACCTTGGCAACTATTTTGGCGATTCCTATATGTCCTCCGAGTTTTGACTTGTAGATCGCCTTGATTAGTTCTGTTTGATCCTATAGTACAATATAGGCCTTGCCGTTATACTATAACGCTCTGTCTCTCCAAGAGATGCCTGCCTTCTCGTCTATGTTGTTCTACTTCTAGTCTTAGAAGTCTTTTCCTAGCTATTCTTCCCTAAAGACTGCGCAATATTCTTCAAACGGTTGCAGAGGTTATATACTAGGATCTTTGTCCTA